GGGTGACTAAAGTGTTAAATATCCAAGTATTATGGGTGTTGTGGTTCGGAGGGGAGGGGGTGGGGGTGGGTGGGAGGCGTTCACTGATGATTACCACCACCACGACGATCAGCTGCCTGGGTCATTGTGTCAGGTCAACCATCGTTAGTGCCATGAACCAGTGCCAGGGAGCTAGGTAAGGTGCTACTGGGTCGAGGTGGTGGCACCGGTGGCTTTAGGGGAGGGTAGGAGGAAGGGGTAGGAGGGGAAGAGTAGGAGGGGAAGGGGTAGGAGGGAAGGGGTAGGAGGAGGGGAGGGGTAGGAGGGAAGGGGGGTAGTAACTGAGAATATCACAGTTGGAAGATATATTGTACCCAGACAACACACACACACACACACACACACACAGATGGAAAGGAAGAAACAGAGATGATGTTTAAAAAGGAGAAGGAAGAGGAAGATGAGAGGAAGAAGAGGAAAGGACAAGAGGAAGAGGAGGAGGAGGAACCACAATAATTACTTGCACACCATAACGGGCTGGTCAGGGCAATGTCCTCCCCACCACCACTAACCACCACCCACTCCATCACCACCCTCTCTCTCCTCCCACACCATCACCCTCTTCCCACAATCACTCCTCTCCCCACACCATCACCCCCCTCCCACCATCACCCACACCACTCATCCCCCCTCCCCACTCCATCACCTCCCACTCCATCACTCTCTTCCCACTCGTGTATTTGTCAGGGCCATCACAGGACTGAGGGGGCCGCCGCTTCTCCCCAGAGAGATATGACCTTGTTATTTCCTGCCGTTGGAGAAGGCCCGCCCGCCGAGCCTATACCAACACACACACACACACACACACACACACACACACACACACACACACACACTGAGGAGAGAGACAAAGACATAACAGAGAGATGAGAGAAGACAGAGATGAAGAAGACAGAGATGAGAGAAGACAGAGAGAGAGAGAGAGAGAGAGAGAGAGAGAGTAAACCTTCTAGTCCTTCATAAGACACAGGATCAATACAGGTGACACCCGACCGACACCTGTAAACTGATGAACACCGGTCCTAATTACCTGTCTCTCACTGTCTCACCTGGGGACAGTATATCTACCTGTCTCTCCCCACCTCGTTACACCTGTCCAATTATTAGAGATCACTGTACATTAAGACGAGGACGTTCTTTCAGATGGTGGAGTGGGGCGGTAGTGGAGTGGGGCTGTATGAGTGGGACAGTAGTGAGGCTGTGGTGAGTGGGGCAGTGGAGTGCGGTGGTGAGTGGGGCAGTGGAGTGGGGTGGTATGGTGGGGTGGTGGTGGGGCTGTATGAGTGGGGCTAGGTGGGACAGTAGTGAGGCGGTGGAGTGCGGCGGTGAGTGGGGCAGTGGAGTGGGGTGGTATGAGTGGGGTGGTGGAGTGGGAGTATAACCAGTGTGGTATGCATGCGAGTGGGTCATGGTGTTGTACTGGTATGCAATAGGTAACATGCAAGGGGTGTTGACCAGCCTTGTGCAGCATACCACGCAGTCCTCGCTAGTCTGTGTGTGTGTGTGTGTGTGTGTGTGTGTCACTTGCACGCGCGCGCACACACACACAACGTCAGCTAGAGAAGGTACAGAAAAGGGCCTGCAGAATCATGCTCGGCGCAGAATACTCCGGCTACACCAACGCTCTCTCCACCCTGGAAATGCCATCCCTCAGTGACCTCCACCACCAAGCACTGGAAAGGTTTGGCCGTGGACTACTACCACCCTCGCCACCTCCTGCCACACACAGCCCCCCCACCTCCGCAGTCCGCCACTACAACAAATTCAGCCCATAAGAGCCCGCACCGATAGATATAAAACAGCACCATCCCATCTATTGTTAAAATAATAAACAACTCCTGATTTATGTACTGTACAGCCTGTAAATGTATTCACTGCATATTATATCATTATGTCTAAATCAAATGTAGTCTGTATATTTTCAGCCACCGGCTGCAACTCTATTAATAAACCGTTTATTATTATTATTATTTTATTATTATTATTATTATTATTATCATTATTATTACACACACACACACATAGGGGCAGGTTCAAGTTCAGTAGTGATTATCGATTAGGTGTAATCTTGTTACAGTGAGTGCTCACACACACACACACACACACACACACACACACACACACACACACACGGAAGATTAAACTATTATTTTTTTTTTACTTTTTTTACTTTTGTTTATACCTTTTTGAGGTTAATCCTTTCTTCTCTAATGGCCGCGACCAACACAAGATGATGAGAGGGGGTGGGTGAGGAAGGTGAGGGATAGGAGGGAGGAGGAAGGAGGAAGGAGGAAGGAGGAGAGGTGGGGGAAAAGCTGTCATTGTTCTATTCGTCACTCGTTTCATACTAGACTGTGAGCTTTAACCTGGGTTCACACACACACACACACACACACACGTTTAACTACCGCTTCACCAGGTGTTACAGATTCACACAGGTAATCTATTCCCTACAGGTAAGATCACAAGAACTTCAGGTAACACATAACACCTGAATTGTCCCCACGTGATCAGTGTGTGTGTGTGTGTGTGTGTGTGTGTGTGTGTGTGTACATCAGCTATATACAGGTAAGCTACTCCCTACCACAACCACCACAACTTCCACCACCACTACTACCACCACTACCATCACCACAACCCACCACTACTACACCACTACACCCACAACCACCACCTACTACCACCACTACTACCACCACAACCACCACCACTACTACCACCACCACTACCACCACTACTACCACCACAACCACCACCACTACTACCACCCCCCACCACGAGAGATAAGCAACAGACTACAATTTCTCTATTCTGTTTACCTCCAAGGACGACGAAGATGACCAGAGGAAGGGTGGGGGGGAGACATGGGGGGAGGGTGGGAGAGAGAAGAAGTACAGGGGAAATCCCTTGTCAGTCTGTGTACAACATCTGACCGACCAGCCTGGGGGGGAGGGAAGGGAGGAGGAAGGAGGAGGGAGGAGGGAAGGGAGGAAGAGGAGGGAGGGAGGAAAGAAGGGAGGGAGGTTGAGGTTCGAGAAGACAAAGTGATTTTCACAAGCAGTTGCCACCCAAATCTCCTTCCCTCCATTCCTTCCCTCCTTCCTTCCTTCCTTCCTTCCTTCCTCCTACACTACACTCTCCAACACACAATAAACCCCCAAGGAAGTGTCTCCTCTCCTCACCTCTCAGTTATCCTCACTTCACCTATCTCCCTCTCCTCACTTCACCTATCCTCCCTCTCCTCACTTCACCCCGTTCATTTACTTTTCCCTCACCTTTCTTCCTCTTCCATCCCTTCGTGGCTGGGTCTGAGAAGAGAGAGAGAGACCTGCCACAACAATCCCCACACGTGGTTGACGCCACTCTTTGCACCACCACTACTACCACTATATCACCACCACCACACTACCACAACAACCACTACTACCACTATCACTTTCACAGCCACTATCACTACCACCACTACCAGAACAGGAAGCACAGCAAACTGTTTTAAAAAGCCTGGATGGTGGTGGTGGTGGTGATAGTGGTGATGATGAGCGACATATGGACAGTGGGAAGGACAACAGATGTACCAATGATGATGATGATGATGACGTGTGATGATGATGATGATGACGTGTGATAATAACGTGAATTATTGTTGTCGCCCTCCTGTCTTCAGCTCTCACACTCACTTAGGGTAATAACAGTAAAGGAAATAAACTGAGCAGCCATCAACTAACTTCCGCCTCAGTGTGTGTGTGTGTGTGTGTGTGTGTGTGTGTGTGTGTGTGTGTGGAGACAATATATCTACAGGCGCGTGTGTGTGTCAGCTGCTGTAGAGAGAGAGAGGATGATAGAAATAATGAATAAGAAGCAAAAGGGGAGAAAGGGGGGTTGGGTGAGGGAAGGGAAGGAGTGGGGGAATGGGGGGAAGGAAGATGAAGGAGGAAGCAGACAAGAGAGATCTATATACGAATAGGAGTAAGGGGAGAGGAAGAAAGACCAGGGAGAACAAACGAACGAGGAGAGGTGAAGAGAGGAGAGGAAAGAGGAGAGGGGAAACAGGAGACCTTCAAAAATAAGATAAGAACAATGTGAACCGTCCACACACACAAGAACCACCACCACGCCAGTCCTCCCTCAGTAACGAGCCACATCCTGAAGGGCCACCACCACCACCGTCAGCCTTACTCCCTCCACCGTCGAACCTTTCTCTCTCCCACCGTCAGCCTTACTCCCTCCACCGTCAGCCTTCCTCCCTCCACCGTCAGCCTTCCTTCTTCCCTCCACCGTCAGCCTTCCTCCCTCCACCGTCAGCCTTCCTTCTTCCCTCCACCGTCAGCCTTCCTCCCTCCACCGTCAGCCTTCCTCCCTCCACCGTCAGCCTTCCTTCCCTCCCTCCACCGTCAGCCTTCCTCCTCCACCGTCAGCCTTCCTTCCTCCCTCCACCGTCAGCCTTCCTCCCTCCACCGTCAGCCTGCCTTCCTCCCTCCACCGTCAGCCTTCCTCCCTCCACCGTCAGCTCCCGCCTCCAGCACACGGGAGATGAGAATGATCACCAAGATGGGAAGAAATGGCGCCTCCCAACCTTCCTCCCCAACTTTGACCCTTGCCCCCGTACCACCACCACCATTATCAAGCGGGCATTATTAAAATACCCACAGTTCACCTTTCCACTAATTAACTAACCCTCTTCTTTAATTACCTGCCTTAATTAACACTCCACCAATTATAAGTGTCGACTGAAGTAACAATGACGCACCACGATAATTATATAAGTGTAAGGTGGGTTTATAAGTGAGTGAGTGAGTGGTGAGTGAGTGAGTGTGTGTGTGTGTGTGTGTGTGTGTGTGTGTGTGTGTGTGTGTGTGTGTGTGTGTTACTGTAATAGTCACACTTATCAAAATTACGTAACCTAAAACCTAAACCTAACGTAACTTAACCTTACCCACACACACACACACACGAGTACTCACCTCACCCCAGCACTCAAGAGGAACCTTTCAACCTCCCACGTTTAATTACCTGTAAATAAAAACAAAACATAAATAAACAAATAAACAAATAAAAGTTACCACCATTAACAAAATAAAAAGTCACGTCAACAAATAAAACACACACACACACATATGAGAGAGAGACTCGTGGCTGTGGTCGACCTGCAATTCTACCTCCCCACTATCCTACCTCTTTACCCACCATCCTCTTCCCTTCACACCTCGCTTTCTTCTTAGGCGTCTCTCTCTCTCTCTCTTCAACACACAAACCATCCATCATAACAGGTGACCGCGACACGTCATTTATAACCCGGGAATAACACAGGCAACACGTACATAAACAACAGCTGATCGTGACGTAACACTGGTCCGTGACGTAACACTGGTCCGTGGTGGTGATGCTGCAGTCCCAAGTGTGTAAGTGTCCGTGATTTTGTACCGTACGTAGATAATGGCGTGACTGGAACATGTCCTTGACTTTGTAAGTGGATTTCAAGTTTAATCATCACAGCTTATTTCACCTCAAGATTAACCACCACAGCTTATTTCACCTCAAGATTAACCACCACAGCTTATTTCACCTCAAGATTAACCACCACAGCTTATTTCACCTCAAGATTAACCACCCCAGCTTATTTCACCTCAAGATTAACCACCACAGCTTATTTCACCTCAAGGTTAACCACCACAGCTTATTTCCCTCAAGATTAACCACCACAGCTTATTTCCCTCAAGATTAACCACCACAGCATATTTCCTTAAAATTAACCACCCAACATTTCACCTCAAAATTAACCACCACAGCTTATTTCACCTCAAGATTAACCACCACATTTCCTCAAGATTAACCACCACAGCTTATTTCTCAGATTAACACACAGCTTATTTCCTTAAAATTAACCACCCACTTATTTCACCTCAAAATTAACCACAGCTTATTTCATCTCAAAATTAACCACCACAGCTATTTCCTCAAGATTAACCACACAGTATTTCACCTCAAGATTAACCACACAGCTTATTTACCTCAAGATTAACCACACAGCATTTCCTCAAATTAACCACAGCTTATTTCACCTCAAGATTAACCACCGTGTATAATGCCTTCAGCCATAACAATAACCTCTAGTGTAATATAAAGGAAATAATACCTACACTACTTGTGGTCAAAGCTCTTAGACATTACTTAAGATATAAGAGTTGAGTTGAGAGTCTTGTAAGTGCTGTGGAAAGTTAGTTTTACTTTATTTATACTTCAGTTATGTCGAGTGTGCTGTTGTTGTTGTTGTTGTTGTTTTTGTTGCTGCTGTTGTTGCTGCTGCTGTTGTTGCTGCTGCTGTTGTTGTTGATGTTGCTGTTATTCTTGTTGTTTACATATTGAAGACAGTTCGAGTTATATCCTGTGGACTTTCCCTTACATGTTGGCACATCCTGGTCCTTTGCCCCCCCCCCCTGCCCTCCTCACACACACACGCCTCCTCTACAAGACGAGACGTGTGGAGGTGATGAGGCTTCCTGGTGTTGATAGCTGGCAGAATATCTCCTCCCCTCCCTCAGGTGTGGGTGAGGAGCAATACTGACGTGGCGGCCGGAGGTGTGGTCAGGTGAGGGCGTGGCAGGTGTGGTCAGGTGAGGCGAGGAGGAGGTGTGGTCAGGTGAGGGCAGAGGCAGAGGTGTGGTCAGGTGAGGGCGAGACAGAGGTGTGGTCAGGTGAGGGGCAGGGAGAGGTGTGGTCAGGTGAGGGGCGAGGGAGGTGTGGTCAGGTGAGGTGAGGTGTGATTAGGTTAGGTAGAGGTGGTGTTAGGTTAGGTTACGTTAGGTGTTCAATCAAGTGAAATAACCAAGGGTGCCTAATCTTCAGATGACTCGAACCCCCCATACCCCTGTACAGTACATTTAAACCACAAGTGAATCCCGTACAGTGTCTTGTTGTGGTACCCTCTCGCCCTATAGTACGGTACAGTGAAGTTACTATCGTCTGGGAGGTCACGGTATCTTATCTCGCTTTTCCCCATCCTCTCTCCTCCTCTTCCCTCCCTACATTATGAGAGGTTCTTATTACCACCATGCTATTGTACTATTCCAGACGATACTAAATGTTACATAATACTTCCTTGAGATCAATGTATAGTATATATCAGGTGCAGCTCAGGTTCTCTCCACTGTTAATATTGTTATTATTATCCACTCTGTAACTGTGTTTTTTCTGGCTAAATAAACTGTTTCAATTCAATTCAACCATTCTTTTACTCTACCCCTCCTCCACTCCTCCCTCCTCCACTCCCCTTCCCTACCTACCTCTCTCCCTCCCCTCCCTGTCCTGTAATGGTGATACTCCAAGAGCCACCACCCCCTCCCCTCCCCAGGAACCACCCCTCACCACACCCCACCACCCCTCACCTCACCTCACCACCCTCACCACGCCACCAGACCAAATGGAGTGGTGGAATTGGCTTTAAATGAATAAATCAATTAGGTGTGAATCAAGAGCAGGTGAGGTGTGTGTGGTGATGCAAATGAGCGGGACAGGTAGTGGATGAGGGGAAGTGGTGGGAGGAGTGGAGAGGGGGAGGGAGGTGGAGGGGGGTGGTGGTGGGGAAGGTGGTGGTGGGAAGGGGAGGTGGGAGGTGGAAGAAGGGAGGTGGAGGATGAGGTAGTGAACAGGAAGAAGGGAAGGAAGGAGGTAGTGGACAGGAAGGAGGGGGGGGGTAGTGGAAGGAGAGGAGGAGGGAGGAAGGAGGAAGGCGAGGAGGAGGTGGGGGAGGAAGAGAGGAGGAGGAGGGGGTGGGGGAGAGGATGAGAGAGGAGGGAGGTGGGGGAGGGAAGACGAGGAGGAGATGGGGAGGAGAGACGAGGAGGAGGTGGGGAGGAAGACGAGGAGGAGGGGGGAGGAAGACGAGGAGGAGGAGGGAGGAAGAGAGGGGAAGACGAGGAGGAGGAGGGGTGGGGAGGATGACGAGAGGAGGAGGTGGGGAGGAAGACGAGGAGAGGGGGTGGGGGAGGAAGACGAGGAGGTGGGGAGGAAGACGAGGAGGAGGAGGGAGGAAGACGAAGGGGAAGAGAGGAGGAGGGGGTGGGAGGAGACGACGAGGAGGAGGTGGGGGGAGGAAGACGAGGAGGAGGGGGGTGGGGGAGGAAGACGAGGAGGAGGGGGTGGGGGGGGAAGACGAGGAGGAGGGGTGGGGGGGAGGAAGACGAGGAGGAGGGGGGAGGAGACGAGGGGAGGGGGGGGGGAAGGAGGGGGGAAGAGAGGGGGGGGGGGGGATGGGGGGGGGGAGGAGGAGGAGGGGGTGGGGAGGAAGACGAGGAGGGGTGGGGAGGAAGACGAGGAGGAGGGGTGGGGGAGGAAGAGAGGAGGGGGGGGTGGGGGAGGAAGACGGGGGGGGTGGGGAGGAAGACGGGGGAGGGGGTGGGGGAGAAGAGGAGGGGTGGGGAGGAAGACGAGGGAGGGGGGGAGGAAGACGAGGAGGAGGGGAGAAGACGAGGAGGAGGGGGGGGGAGGAAGAAGGGAGGAGGGGGGTGGGGAGGAAGACGAGGAGGAGGTGGGGAACGAGGAGGAGGGGAGGAGGGGGAGGAAGACGAGGGGAGGTTCTCGTAAACAGACTACCACGGTAAAGACCACACTGACATTCTCATCTCAACGCTCCCCTCTAACCTAACCCTAACCTTCCCCCACCTGGCCTAGAGAGGGGGGGAGGTGGGTGTGTGTTTTATACCAAACCCCACACCACACACACATATACTACCCACACACCCCAACACCCCCACACACTTCACTTCACTCACACACACCATCCACACACACTTACAACCCCCCACACCCTCATCCACACCCCAATGTGAGTGAATGTGAGTGTGTGTGTGTGTGTGTGTGTGTGTGTGATTAAACAGAACTGGCTGTCACAACAATTTATCACAAATGTTCACTACAACACCCTGCAGTACTAAATGTTTACCAACACAACTCTCAAAACCAACCACTACAACATGACCCATACAGCTCCACTAATCACCTCAAACTACAGCAAGGTCATTAGGCGAGGAGAGTAGGGGGAGATGCAAGACTCGACCCAGCCACCTCCCTCCCATAGGCCTGACAGCACATTTGGTTAGGTTAGGTTATGAGGACTGATCCGACACTGCACTCGACTGCCTTCACTTTCCCAACAGTAAAATTACGCGCCTATTCACAGCTGGGTGGACGAGAGGCGCCCGTAATTTAAAACAAACGACCATATAAGGACAATAACGAGGACAGGTAACGAGGGCAGTAACGAGGACAGGTAGCGAGGACAGGTAGCGAGGACAGTGTGGGCCAGGACAGTGGACGGGTACAGGAGACAGGACAGTGGACGGGTACAGTAGGAGACAGGACAGTGGACGGGTACAGTAGGAGACAGGACAGTGGACGGGTACAGTAGGAGACAGGAGAGTGGACATATTATACAGTATTCACGAAGACACAACAGACAGAGACGGACAGATGAAAACAACACAACAGACAGAGAGACGGACGGGACGTGTAGACAGTGTTACGCCACAGGATGTACTATGTCTGTCTATCTGAGTTACTACGCTCACAACACACACCAGCTGATAAACAAAAACCGATAGACAGACAACATTTTAGCCCTCATTTCTCCTCACCAGAGCTAAGCAAGGAGGAGGAGGAGGAGGAGCTGAGGTAGACGAGACCACAGGAGATATGATGGTATCTGATAGGTGGGGGGAGGAGCAGGGAGGAGGTGGGGGTGGGGAGGAGCAGGGAGGAGGTGGGGGTGGGGAGGAGCAGGGAGGAGGTGTAAGTATAGGCCAGCTCACCTAACACAGGCAACCCAACACCTGGAATGTCAGTCAGTCAGTCAGTCAGCCAGCGCACACACACACACACACACACACACACACACACACACACAATAGACCCCCAACTGTTTTTGAGCTTTGATGTCGTCCACAAAAGGTTGATACATAATCACCGCCTCTCTGTCACACGTTAGTACATATGTTTCGGGCCATTATGGATAGTTGTCTCCTAATTGATGGTAAGTATACTGTATGTGTCTTGCTTGGCTCTCACTGTAATCACTGCATAATAAATAAACAATATCCTCGCTTAAAATATCAGTAATACATATGGTGAAAGAGCTACAGTGGGTGGTACACAGAACAGCTACAGTGGGTGGTACACAGAACAGCTACAGTGGTGGTACACAGAACAGCTACAGTGGGTGGTACACAGAACAGCTACAGTGGGTGGTACACAGAACAGCTACAGTGGGTGGTACACAGAACAGCTTCAGTGGGTGGTACACAGAACAGCTACAGTGGGTGGTACACAGAACAGCTACAGTGGGTGGTACACAGAACAGCTACAGTGGGTGGTACACAGAACAGCTACAGTGGGTGGTACACAGTACAGCTACAGTGGGTGGTACACAGAACAGCTACAGTGGGTGGTACACAGAACAGCTACAGTGGGTGGTACACAGAACAGCTACAGTGGGTGGTACACAGAACAGCTACAGTGGGTGGTACACAGAACAGCTACAGTGGGTGGTACACAGAACAGCTACAGTGGGTGGTACACAGTATTACAACACATTACATACATTACAGGGCTACAAAATCCCACGGTAAAAGTGGATCTACAGAACGGTAAATTTACTCAGAAGAATCAAGAAAGGTGCAGTACAGTATCTTTCACATTAACAGACATTACAGCACAATACAGAGGGCGGGATTTACCCAAATTCACATGAGTCAGCACAAGTGGCATTCCAACCAGAAAAATGTTTCACAACCACAAGAGAATAACAGAACGCAGGGGAAGAGGTTATTAATCCCGTCGACCCGGCATGGATGGTGTTCGGTTAAAGCAACTTACGATCATTCAACGTCCATAACGTGTTGTTTTCCATTACCCATCACGACATCAACACTCGTCAAGGCCACAAGACAACAGCCCAGAACAGTACGAGCAGCTGCCGATGACTAACAAGACAAAGGGTAAAAAGCTCACGCCTAAAACCCCGGTGTTTATCTTACAACTACGGTGACGTCACGAGGTGCGTATGAGCGAGTGTGTGTCAAGCATTTCCTCCTGATAAGAAACTGTGTCATAAAAAAAAGTTCTCTATTGTCTGCTTATACGAGTAATGCAGGTTAACTGTCTGTCTGTCTCACCTTCACCTGGAAAATATATACTGTAGTGAAGTCATCTTCTGTATGGACTGTACTGTATATACTGTATATTATGAATTATATTATACAGTAAATTTATAGGATCACCTGAAGATTACCCCAGCTTATTCCACAAGCTGATTAAAATACCCAATATTATCTGAGTAGATTAAGCTGGGTTAGGTTAATATTAGCTTAGTGTCAGGGTGGTTAATCCCAAGGTGAAATAAGCAAGGGGGGTTAATCTTCAGGTGATCTAATTCAGGAATCTTTCAATTAATATAGGAGAGAGAGAGAGAGAGAGTGTGAGAGAGTGTGTGTGTGTGTGAGAGTGTGTGAGTGAGTGTGTGTGTGTGAGTGTGTGTGTGTGTGTGTGTGTGTGTGTGTGTGGCTGACCCTGAAACACCATTAACAGGTCAAAGATCTAGGATTGAGCAACTCATCACTACCCAGTTCATCTAAACACAGTGTTCCAAACCTCTTGTCCTCTCAGCCCCAAACTTGTGACCGGGAGTAGACTAAACCCAGTACCTGTGTTATCCTTCTTACCCTCACACCACTATTACTCAACATCACATTGGTATCTCTAACTTGGTCTGGTATCTCATTTGTCAAAGATAATTATTATTTTTTTTTACTTTGTGTGGATTATAAAATGCCAAACTCCTCCTCTCTCTCTCTCTCACATGCACACACTACCCTCTCTCTCTCTCTCTCTCTCTCTCTTACTTTCCTTCTATCACACACACACACTCACACCAACAGGTACAGTATTGGCCTAACTGTTTACAATAGAGTCACCATCCCCAGCACCCTATTGGACAGTACAGTGTATAAGATCATCATATATCGAATTATGTTTCACTACCATTTTTAATTTGAAGATTTATTCCTCAAAACGAATAAATAAATAAATATGTAAAACCACTTTGTAACAATCTAAAAACAGTTGACCGAGTCACTGTGCTGTCATACCAAAACTCTCCCGATGGCCGCTGTGTTTTCACCAGCCTCGGCACAGCTCATCCCCTGCAATTTAACGTCTAAAGTGGTGTCTTAGTTCGGTCTCTTACCACTAGAGTTTTTCATTCCTTTTCCACCATCACCAAAAAATAAAAAATTAGATAAAATAAATACAGTATTGCACAGCATACATTACAGTAATTAAAAAAAAAGGCAAAATTAAACAAAAAAGGGAAATTTCTAACATGGTAAAATCAAAATATTGTAAATAGTTATCGTAAATTTAAATAACGCCTCATAAACTAAAATACTGCATCGTATATATTGTAAAATGAAATATCAAAGTTATAGTAATTTGAAATATTGTAAACACCTGTACTTGTCGTGAAAAGAAACACATTATCGTCAAAAGCTACCGTACATTATCATCAGCAGTTATCGTATATTAAAACACCGTATGGTAAATAGAGTCACCATAACTGGAGGGACACCCGTAGACCACTGAACTATAGTACCGCTCGCCGCCTCCGTTCACCCACACCAACGATCACTGCAATTGCCACAACACTCGGTGAAAAAAGACGGGAAAGGGTTCAGCCTGGTTCCTTTCATGTCAACCCAAGAAAAATAAAAAGGTACTGACCCTAAATGAAGTTTCTTAAGGTACATAAGAGGCAAATAAAACTCGGCCCTGATTTCTGCCATACAACCTATCCTATCCTAACCTAACCTTAATCAACCCTTGGACAGTAATATGAAATAAATACCAGTAAATGCTCATTAAATATACTGTACTTGTACTGTACTAATGATGATGACTGTGTGACTCAACCAAAACACCTGTAAATACTCTCACATAGCTACATATAGTGAATCACTCTGTACAAATGGGGGCTCGACACCTGTTCTTGTTGTAGCCAACCCACAGACCAGGTACGGTAATGTGCGACTGGTTGTGACATCAGCTTCACCTGAGTGGGATAATACCTGCCCTTTTAATTACCACTTTTTATGATTCTGCTGCCTTTAGGAACGTTAAGTAATTGTTTAGATAAGTCCAGACCAATAATGCCAAGGTCTCCTGATGACAGACCAATGGCCTAGTGAGCAAAGAGTCAAGCCACATGGTGAAGTGCAGCTGGACATGAAATATTTCTCTCCCTAACACTTTCCCTGATAACTCCTGAGGTCTTAGTGAAATCCCAGACATGAATTATCCTAAATGAGAAACACTATAACTTCCTCTCCACATGCCAAACACCTTCCTCAGCCTCTACCCCCAAAGGATTCTCCCAAATACTGTGTCCAGAAGTTAACACAAAACCCAATCTCAGCCTCCAGTGTCCCTGTTCATAAGCTGTCACCATGAACTTAACATGGTGGTAAATGTTCAGCCACTCAAGATTAACATAAATGACCACCAAAAGTTTTAAGTTCCACAAGAGATGCAGTACTGTAAGGTGCAGGTAACATAATGAGTGTTAGACCAGGCAGGGCTATGTGAGCACCTTATTACCAGTCAGTAAGATCAAAATATATGACTTGGACATTGAAGTCACTTGAGCCAGTCAGGGTTTCATCAGGCAGCAGTTGATATCCTGCCCCAATCACCTGTTACCATTACCCCAGGAACGCCAATTTTAAATTTTGTTCAGTTAATGTCAGGAGATTTTATTCAGCTGAGAGGGGATCCCATACACAAGGGTTTAATGATTTTTTATAACATTATAGAAGAAAAGTTGTCGTCATAACACCAAACATTCGTAAAAAAAAATAAAAGTTTATAGAAATTTGAAATTAATAAACTGTGAAACATTAGATTGGCTACAAATTCTTATTGTTTTCATTATCAGATTTCAATGAACCTTAATAATAAAATGAATCTTGATAATAAAAAAACTATAAGTATTGATGCAATAATAATAAACAATATGGCAATGCTCTGGAAGAAGACTAAGTTAACCAGCAACTTTAGGAACATTTTCTACAGGAGGAAAAATTATTCTTAGCTCAAGAATATCTCAGAGAGGCGATGGAATTACTGTACAACTTTCATAGTTTTAGTCTCCAAACCTACTAATAATCTACAGTGCAGTACTTCCACACCAAGGCAGCTTGGTTTGGTCGGTTCATCTCATCTACGATGAATCATTAACGTCAACAGTCAATACGGCACCGCTGGAGGGTAACTTTCCGACACAGATTCCCGTCAAGAGAAAAAAACCTCAATACTACCACAAAAATTACAACTCCTCTGCCTGTTATGGGATAGTCTTCAGGTGAGCAAAAGATTCTCCATTGAAAAATTTCCCCTCGAGTTGCTGGTTAACTCGGACCCCTGTTCTAAAGTATTACCAATAATACCTTGTGAGGAACTATGCCTTCAGGAGGAGTGAACCAGTATGTTATGTGACTGTTGCCAACATTTAGTGCTAAAAACTGACATAATCTGGAAGGGGTCATTAATTCCTCGAAGGGTAAAATTATTGTTTCAGTCACCCTCGTATAGGGAAGTTAAAATAAACCATAAGAAAAACATAAAATTCAGCGGATGACCAAAACAATAATAATACCCGCTGAATTACCCAAGACACGCAGACAGACATTCAATTGCGTCATATTGGGGAAAAAGAACAGTACTGTCTATCCCGGTATAGTACAGTACTTAGGACCAGTCGAGTAGAATTTTTCACCGAGACCCGAGAATAATTTCCGTGCATCCAACAGTACAACATTCTTATGAGTAATTTATTTATTTTTCTTAAGTAACTGGTAAAACATTTTAACATTACTGATATATTGTGTGAACTGATACATTCTTTTAACAGAGTCATTCACCATATTTTTGTTACACCGAAGCTAACTGTACAGACAAATATCGTCACGTTGATTCTTGCTCTAGGTTAGGTTAGGTTATATTAGATTAGGTTAGGTTAGATTAGGTTACACTAGGCTTGGTTAGGTTAGGTAAGATATACTGTACGTACTGTATTATATTAGGTTTGGTTAGGTTAGTTGACAAACCGACGTATGGAACTCTGCAATAAAGGGTACTAATGTTGTTTCGGTCATCCGGTGAGGTTTAGGTTAATTAGGTTGTTAGGTTTAGATTAAGTTAGGTTGGGTTAGGTTTAGGCCAGGCTAGGTTAGGTTAGGTTAGGTTAGGTTGAAATTAATGTTTTCCAATAGTTTTTTCATGTATTTTCAACAATTCTAACCTTCATTTCAAATAGATGGATGACTGAAACGATAAATTCTACCCAATAAAGATGATACAAAAATAACCCGTCATTGAGGTAATAATCCGACCTGACAGACGAGAATAAATCACACAAATTAAAAATAAACCACATATTTCTACCACAATTAAAGAACATCAAATACCAAACCTTTCACACACCTCAAGACAACAAACCACACCTTAAAATAAACAAACCAGACCAAACACTCATAGACAGATAAGACAAACAGATAAAAGGTATAACAAGCCAATAAAAATAATAAACATTAATCACCATATAAAGTTAACATTGGGGTTCAACATGTAGATAAAACTCGTATAGGTAAACGCCCCATAACACTTAGTAAATCCCATTAATATAACCTCTCAATGTTAAATTATAATATTAAATGATAGATAGAAGTGATAATGGTTACCTTAGCATGTAGTAGAGTGGAATAAAGGGGGTTAACAGGTACTAAGAGGCATCCCGTGGCTGTCAGCTCCACCTCCCCAGCTTGAACCATAAACAAAGTAGTTCCTCACCACACCATCAACCTCAACTCCATAAATCATTATATTCTCCCTTATCTAACCTTATATTCACTCATTAATAACAATTTGGTATAACTTAAAAGGAATTTATTATAAGTATAGGATTTAATTTTTGTGTAAGATAGATAGGGGTTGATGTGTATTCCTCCGCCTCTCGTCAAACCGGGTCAAAAGAAGCACGAGAAGCGCCCAGCTTGGAGCACCTGTCAACCTGTGCTCTTATACACACACAAACACTTATACTTCCCCCTTAAAATAATATTGGCTTACCATATTGATATAAAGTACATATAGATAAACGTTGGTAGACAGGAAGTGGATTTAATTTAGTATTTGTCAAAAATTCATTGCAAGCTTATTTTCCCATTAAGATCCTCTAGACAAATTGTTATATATATATATATATATATATATATATATATATATATATATATATATATATATATATATATATATATATATATATATATATATACTCAGAACAAGTAACCAATGGTAAATAGTAGAACAATTTAATCAAGGATGACCTGAGATAGCTGGAGTAATTTTGTTATCCTTGAACCCTTAGGTACTCCTTAAAACAGAAAGAATTACCTTCATTAACATTCAATAATAATTCTCCAGACTATAGTGGTAAGGCATGTATCTCTGACCTTGCTCTCTCTGGTTCGAGTCTTGGCCAGAGATAGAGACGGGAATTAAGAGCTGTGTTATCCAACATGACTCTTTTTACTTTGACTTAACAACAGGTTTCCTCTCACACTTATACTGATTAGTAAAGTACATAACAAAGAACAGACCAACTGCCAGAATGATTAGTTAGCTGATAATGAGTGGAATGATGAATTAACAGAGGATAGAAGCACACTTGATAATTTACAGTGAACAGAGAAAACGGATAAACGGCGACAACAGAAATAAAAGAAATTAAAGGTGGGAACAGAATGAAGAACATGAGATAAGGGCGAGTTATACATGACCGTTTTATCTTCAGAGAAAACTCAAGATGGAAAGACCTTAGAGAGGATATGTGTTAACATTTTAATGAGCATTACATCACTTATTATCTTAATCCTCATTCGGGCAGTTGGTCTGTTCTTTGTTACATTGTTCCACATTGTATTGTCCAGCTTTAGTACAAGAAATTGGAATACCAGACCTTGGGCTGGGAACGTACCGGCAGTTCACAATTCTCACTCAAAAAAGTTGCCTCAATTTCCTGAACTTGTTGTGGAGTCTTCAGCCTTACGCTATGACCTCTAGTGGGGCGAGCATCTATCAGTTCCAGGTATGAGAGAGTGAGTAATGTTCTCAGAAGTGTTTAGTAGCTTCTATTAATTCACCCCTTGGCCACCTATTCTAACAAACCGATCCGTGACGAACAGAATAAAGTAAAGTGTTCGGTAGTCACTGATGTGGGTGTAAAGCATTATGCATTTATGAGTGTGCGGCGCGCGAATGGGTGGGTGTGTGGGTGGGTAGGGGGGGGAGGGGTATATGATTAAGTGTGTTTATCCATAAACTTGTGTAAATGTTTGTGTGGGATGTGCAAACTGTTTATGGCGAGATGTGGGTGTATGTATGTACCTGGGTGGGTGTGTGTGTGTGTGTCTGGGTGAGTGTATGTATGTTTGGGTGTGTGTCTGGGTGTGTGTGTCTGTCTGGGTGTGTGTGTCTGGGTGAGTGTATGTATGTCTGGGTGAGTGTATGTATGTATGTCTGGGTGTGTATCTGCTAGTGTTGCCGCAAGCGGTAGTGAGTATGAAGACACATAAACATTATGTTAGGCTGTAAGTCATGTCATGTTTATTGGGCGTCTGCCCGTATACAGTATATATGTAGTGTTGAGATGGAGGCAGATGATACACACAGAGTAGGTTGAGGTGTTGGGTGGTGTAATGAGATCTTGATTGCGTATAACATACCTGACGCACCGATTTTGAATAACCTGCCTGACATCTGCCGGGCACCGCTTCCTCACTGTAGCTATCCCCATCATAGTGCCAACACCTAACCTGTTTCTCCTGAAGACTTTCAACACATAAGTTTAACTTGTACTTATTGTGTACACAGGTAGACTGTGTCCATTGCATCGTTTATCATTGACTACATAAAAATATGACAAATTAAGTACTCATTGTACATGTTAACATTAGATTAATTACATAGCTATGATTGTTATGTAAATATGTATTGGATTCAACATTTATGTATGATTGCCTATGTAGGACTTATTTGAAATACTAAAATGAATTGTATTCAACAGGTTTGAACGAATTATAATGTTCGAGTTCAACGTCACGAGTCTGAATATTCCTTTAACCGCCTGATTGGCAGTTACAGCTAGTATACTTGTGTGTCAACTCAACCTACGTGTACAGTGCTATGTTGGGGGGGGGGGGGGATGGGTACATGTAACATTCCCCTAGTACCAATGACTTCTCCCAGGGTAATTCTAAGACATTACCTACCACTTCCAGTAGTCTTAGTCACTCATCCTTGCTACTATATAAGGATATGTGCTTTGCTAACCTAAACCCCCCCCCCCCCAAATAATATTAAGTTTGGTTAGGTTATCATTAGGGTGGTAAATCTTTAGGCGAAATAAGCTGGGGTGGAGATTCTTCAGGTGATCATTTCAATCTTTAAGTGATGAGAAATTCTACTACATAAAGTAAATGTAATCCTCTGGTATATAATGATAATGTATATTTGTAATTCATTTTCCAGATGCTGAGAAAATGGTAATCACTACAAAATAACTACATATTACTGGCTACACGCCTTAAGCATCATGCACCATTGATGTACATTGTACAGGGTGTCCTATAGGTCATGCACCATAATGAACAGGGTGTCCTATAGGTCATGCACCATAATGAACAGGGTGTGAATTTCCCTACAGTGCATGGACTATAAGACACCATATACACTTGCCACTATGTGTTTTGGAACGGCCGAGAGCGACAGATTTCAGAATGAGCACTATGACCCGTGTCGTCTCGGAATGGTTGGTAGGCCTAGTTACAAAGCGACTCAATATTTTGTAACAATATATATTGCTCTTGTTTTATAGTACAGTATTTACAAGTAAAAAAAAACTTATTTAATTTGCTATAAAACTTCCAGAGCAATATTCAGATTTTTTAATAATTTTGTGAACTTTATTGGAATGTACAGTAACTAAAACAACTATCTGTGTATGCTTTGTGGGAAACAATACAGGAGCATAACGGCCTCCACCCGCACAGATAATTGTTTTAGCTACTGTACATCATTATGGCCGCAAACCGAAACCTGTCTTGGAGCCAGTGATAACCGAGTGGGAAACCAATTTTGATATTCAAGTCTTTTTGATTAAGAGGAAATAAAAGAAATACAATACATGGTAAAATATCTAAGGTGTTTTTATTTGATACATTACCAACAGTGTTGTGGTCCAAGATGGTTAACACATCATTTGGGTTAAACCTTTAGACCTGAGGAGAACTTAAGTCACTTTCTCACAACTTTATCACAAAAAGTAAAGAACAAAAACTTAAAACTATTCCATAAACATCACACAACGAAAGCATAAAACTGAATATATTTGTTCCTATGGAATTTATTTATTTGGTTTTTAAAATCTATTACAGCAAAACCTCTATATAACGAACTAAATACAGATGAAAGTCCATTATATCGAGGGTCCGTTAGATGTGAAACCCCCCATCTAACGGATTATATGGAGAGAGGACCTTTATATGGAGGTTTCACCATATCTACGTACTGTAATATTTAATTTTCTTCCATCAATTACCTTTAATACCTTAGGCAGGAAAGACAGCCATTTCAGGTCCCTAAATCACGCCCCCCCCCCCCGCCCTGTGTGGTTGAGAAAGCCTCACAGAACCTTTTGGCCAGCGAGGGGAGAGTTAAGGTACTGCTCGGCGAGTGTGTTGAAGGCACTTGGTTCATCCTGCGGCACCCAGTGATTGGCTCCCTCCACGTACTTCACCTCGGCCGACTCGCACTCGTCCACCCCCCTGAGATAAATAAACAGGGTGATTATTTGGTTATGATGATCTTTCTCGGTCGATATTTTAGTTATTTTTCCTCTAACTTTTCTTCTCCAGCAGTTGTCAGTTTACCAGCCAATAGGGTACGAGTATCTTATATAAATCCTGTCAGAAATTCTGCTAATGTGTAATGAATCTCAGACTTAATCTACCCAAAACAAATCTAACCTAACTTAAATTAACCTAACTCTGTGACAGCGAGGGACAGAAGAACAAGATCACAGAGTCCCTAAATCAACAAAAGTCACAGACATGGACCCTGAGGCAACAATCCAGGAATACTGCAAAGATCTATAGCTTAATTAACTTAGCTGGTGAACAGTAGTCACTTTTGAACACTATTAGGATAATTAGGTAATAAAATGGTAGCACAGGTAAGGCATTAAGTTGGAGGCCATTGAAAAAATATATAATAAAATATCTCCCATATGTATTCCCTGGTGCAAGTTAATAATTCTAGTTAATGTCCACAAATTACTATTATAAATCAAATTATAAATATTACTCTAAAAGAATCTATCTGTGAACATTAAGCATAACTATCTTTCCTGATCCCAACCAGCTAACAGGGCAATCAGTGGTGAAGAGGGACAAAGTAATTCTGTTAATGCAACTTCCCCGGAGGCTTTTTCATAGAGACTAGGACTGTACCTTGTGAATGATGATGCTCCCTATATACAACGATTACTTAACTATTCTAAGATGATGATTATTCTACTGGCACAGGTACAGACACATTCAGAAGTCAGTACATGCCCGGTACTTAACAACAGTGAGTAACAGACATGACTGACTGCCTAAGTGGCTAATGAACTGATCAGTGGCAAAGAGGATAAAAGTATAAAAGTAAAAGTAAAACATATGCCTTATCACACCATGGAGATATCCTACCAAGGAACGATGACTTACATTACGGCCAATTCTTTGTCAAGAGCTACGTCCCCGGTGCCCCAAATTATTAACGTCGGCACAAGAACCCTGGGCAGTGGCTTCCCGGTACTGCCAAAATCAATGTTGCGGTAATAGTTGATGGGAGGCGTCAAGGCTCCTGCAAGAGGATGAATGGTAAGAAACAATGGTCAGGAGAGAGTACTGTATTATACTGTAATGAATCATTACCACACATTCCTTAATTACATTTCAATATTACCAATGTGTTTTTGTTCTTTTTGTTCTTTTTTACAGAGATGAGAGGACAGGTAGAATATCCTTTTGCTATTTCCCAGTACCACTAATCATCATAATGGTCACTCTGGTATATCGAGTAAAAACCTCGAGAATATCACTGATGCTGATCCATGACGCTGTGCACCAACCCCTCTCACTACTTTCATGTCATGGTCGCTCTGGGTCAATGAAAACTTCTTGAAATATTGTATTAGCAAAGGTTCAGTAAGACCATATAACTTGTGTTAACTATCGGGGAATGTTCAGTTTCAGTCCACCGCATCATTTCTAGTTGAATAAGCTGCTGTGAACTTTGAAATAATACACCGAATTGCTATTTGAGAAGAATATTCTTCACCTCACAATTCACAACTGCATATCTGTGTGTGTTTTGATTAACCTTAAATAAAATCTTCTATCCTCTTCACCACTGATCGGCTCATTATCCACTTGGGCAGTCAGTCATGCCTCTGTTACGCACTGTTGGCAAGTACTGGGCCTGTACTGGCTTCTCAACATATTGAACCTGCTCCAGTGTTGGTCAAGTCTGTGTACTGGATGTATGCATGTGTGTATATAGAATACTCGGTATATGAACATCACTACACCCAAAATAAATACATAAAGCATAAAATATCAGTTTGCTATAAATGACTGTAGCTGAAGCCAATACATAATTTTTTACTACATACACAGCAACTTAACCTACCAGAGTGTTGTGACGGCACCAAGTGTGAGTTCATTCAAGACCAGACTTAACCAACACTGGAGCAGGTTCAGATACATTCAGGAGCCAGTACATGCCCAGTACTTGCCAACAGTGTGTAATAGAATTGACCGACTGCCTTAGTGGCTACCGGACCGATCAGTGATGAAGATAAAATAAAGAACTACAGTACCTTTCTGAGAGAAGTAGTACTTGTAGACTTCAATTTCATCATCAGTAATGACACATTCCTTCTTGTTGCCCCTGAGCATGTCCTCAAAAGCCTTCAGGTCTTGCGTTCTTATTAACAGCTCCGGCAGCCACGGCATTTGGAATAAGAAGATGTACCTGTTGGCCAGTGATGTGAGCTTAGGACACAGCAAGAACATCAGCTTAGTGGTAAGTAGTGTGGGTCTAATAATAAAACTACAACTGGTATTTGCTGCCCAATGATGTCAAGCATCTCTCACTACTGTGTCCTGGGTTTGACTACTGTGAAAAGGGTGTTAACCAGAGTGACACTATCCAACATTCCAACTTTCCTCCAGGTGCAGTACTCCAGTTTCCACCTGTACCAAAACTGGACAATAAAATTCACAACAAATTAAACAGAGTACAGACCAACTGCCCAAATGACTAGTAAGCTGATTAGTGAATGAAAAAAGTACAGCAAATATATAAAAATAATAAAACCAAAGGACTGTAAAGCGTCACATCTCATCTATACAGTACACAGGCACATGATCTTGGCAGTGACACACACACACCACACATCTTCAAGAGGTAGACAAGAGTGCCCTGTTAAGACCTATGTGAGATACAGTGCATTAGCCTTATTAAGCCAGGCACTAAAATGGTCGAGGCACACCATCAGTATTTAAGGACAGATATGATCATTTAAAAGAAAATGAATGAATGCCATTTGGGCTTTTAATGAACAACACATTTGCTTATTTATTGCATCATTGATAAAAAGGAGTTTAATGCGTTCCATAAAAGTACCAGTAATATCAAAACGTATCCAAATGCTTTTTAAACTCCAGCGGCACACCTACGGATGCTTCGCGGCACACTAATGTGCCGCAGCACATTGTTTGAAAATCGCTGCTTTACTGTATTTCGAACGTAGATTACAGTTAAAATACACAGTGGTCTCATTTCTCCGTGTTGTAACGTCTCTTGTAGTGGGATTACAGTAATTTAAATTTGGCAAAGATCAGTTTAGTATCGTGGTTGATAAAATAAGAGAGAACGGCAAGAAAGCCGATAAGTGGCGACAAAGATCAAAATAATAAAACCAAAATAAAATAAACCAAGACAGACACGGATACAAAATAATTTATCATAAACCTTATATATTAGTCCTGTAGTGTACATCCTCTTGTTACCATTCTTACTAATACAGTAGCTACAGGGTGTTAGGCAGGGTCACATTGGAGTACCCTTCTTATGGGGTGACGTCATCATACTCAAGGGGTCAAGTCATAATTACAAAACAGAAAAAAAATGGGCAGCAATCAATACACACTGACCAGGACTTAGCAAGCTGACTGAGCGACGACTTAATACGTTTCTCGAAGGAGTTTGGGTGAGGTCCATTGCAGGAGATGTGGGCACTGAACATGTGTGGGTACAACGCCACCAGATGCCAAGCCAGAGCCGCTCCCCAGTCATGTGCCACCAGCGTACACTGCTCCTTCCCTGTGTTCCACCACCACCACCGTTATTAACAGCACCGGTCATATTGTACACAAACTAACACAGTCTTGTTGGCGGTCCCTAAGTACAGTATTGTATTGTACATTTTACCCATGCATAATGACTCTCAAGCATATACACTCAGATAATATACACTCACATACAATAAACACTCACACACACACACATCCAGTATACTCACTCACACACACACACACAGTCTGTAATGTAAATAAAAATTGAATGCTTGAAAAGACCAATTAATGAAGAACATACTGATACACCCAGGTAAAGTATTATACATAAAATATACAGTATAATTATATTTGGATCAACTGAAGAATCCCCACCCCAGCTAACACCCCACCTAACCTAACCTAACCTCATCTCTCCAAATACCATTAGGGTGGTTAATCATTAGGTTAAGTTAATTTAGGTTAGTTAAGGATAAATTAGGTTAGCTTAGAATATGTTAGCATTAGGGTAGGTTACAGTAAGTTAGATTACAGTAGGTTAACATTTGGTTAGGTTAGGGAAAGTTAAGTAAGGTTAGGGTAGGTTAGCATCAGGGTGGTTAATCTTTAGGTGAAATAAGTCGAGATGGTAGTGTGTTTTCATGTGGTTCTTAACTTTCCTAATAATAAAACCTCCTGAAATGGTCTTTATACATGTACTGACCCAAGCCCTGGATGAAGTGCTTGAGATCAGCAACTAGGAGGTCCTTCTTGTACTGGGAGGTTCCTGAAGGCTTGTCTGAATCACCATAACCACGGAGGTCCACAGCCACCACCCTGCAAGAGAGCACTGGTGTTAGGTGCATGTTCCTGACCTAACCTAACCATGGAGGCTAACCTTGGTCATACTGCCTTACTGTTTACTCTTGTTGTGTATGTACCTGCACAATCAAGGTAAAGTACATTGGAAATTGTATACCTCCACAGTCTACGAATACCTGCACTGTCTATACACATGGTGAACTGTATACTGTACCTGCATTTTCTATATAGTACATGTGTTAAATTATGTTAGGTTATTTCAGAGGTTAAATTAGGTGGCTACAATTAGGTTTGGTTATTATTAGTATATTTAATCCTCAGGTGAAACAAACTGGCGTGCCTAATCCACAGAAAATTAGGCTTGCCTTTAACTGCCCCGTACACCCACCATTCAGATTTAACAAGTTATCAGAAATTACTCAAAGCTGATACCTCCTAACAATATTATTCTATGGAGCAGATTCTTATACATTCTAAAATATAATAATAACAGAATTGTGGCTAATCAAGTACAGTATGTTAAAATCATAGCAAGCTTGCAAGTGTGAATAATTGATGACATGCAAAGTTTATAAATAAGCAACTGTGATATAATGATTTCCTAATAATATAATGTACTTTTAAAGTCTTATGGGCCAACACTCACCAATAGTTCTCTGAAAAATATTTAAGCTGGTGACGCCAAGAAAACCAACACTCTGGGAATCCATGCAAGAAGACCATGAGAGGGTTGTTGTGGTCACCTGCCTCCACGTAGTGTAACTTGACGCCTTGAGTCTGAAACACAGGTACTGTATTATTAACTAATGGTACAGTACAGACGATAAGTATATTAAGCACGGTACTGTAGTCTTGGTTTAAGATGAGTAAAAAAAGTAATGGCATTATCTTTATTTAATATGTTATGTGGGCATTAGTAAAGCACCTTAAGGTCCATGTATGTGTGTGTCAGTGAGCCCCATTTGGAGTCCTTCAGGGCAGGTGGTGGGGTGGGGCGAGGCTTGACGGAGAACACCTCTTTGCCCACCTTCCAGCGTAGCCACAGTAACCAAGGCACCACCATTAGTGACGTGGCCAGAGACATCCCCCACACGAACACAAACACCAGATACTGAAAACAGGAATACAGTTCACTACGTAATTTTCTTGAAACTATAAACATTTAACCAAAAGGTCAGTACTGTACAGGAGTAGTTAGCACTTATCGTTTGTGGTCTAGGATTACAACACATCAGCTTAGAATGGTTGTTATGACGTAATAAACGATTGCTTTATTCAAACTAGTTATCTTAAGGTAAGTTGTAGCGTCGCTACAAAGTCAAGGTCAAGTTATGTGCTAGGAAACCAGGGTCGTGTTAAAGGGCGTTTATGTGTCAGACATTAGTTTTCGTCAACACTAGAATCACCTGAGTGTGACTAATAGAGCAGCACCCTAGGACCTGTATCTGCCAGCTTGACATACTCTCTACCTCAAACATCAACACTGTACAGTACATCTAATACTTGGATTATGTGTTTGTATAGACGAACTAATCTACTTACCATAATCAAAATTATTTGCCATACACTACATAAAAAATAATCCTATTATGAACCGTGGAATACATCCTCAAACGATCATAATGACGAACTGACGATTTTCTACCCGTTAAATATACGTATAGTCTTTGATTAAATAAAATATTACTCAAACACGTTAGCTTTACCTTGCGTACATCACCCATTTCAGTATGTACAAGAGAATCTGCACAAATCACCGTTAACGTCAAGATCACACTGTCACCCTGACGAGTGTGGGAAGACAGCAACACTGCTTGGGTGGGGGTCGGGCCGGCGATGTAGCCTTCAACTGCTGTTGCCATATATTTATTTATATTACCAATGAGAAATACATTTATTTTACAAATTATTATATTCAGGTGATGATTGATATGATATTGGAATTAAGGAACTTTTATATTAAATCAAGAAAATCCATCAACACAGAATAATGTTTTGTGTTAAACTTGTGGGGTACGAGATGTTGGTTCACACTCAGGATGGGATGGAGAAGGGAAACTCACAATGTGCTCTCTGTATACATGTTGTATTGCACGTACAATGCAGCTTGGTGCTGGGAAGGCAGCATGGTTACAAGCGTGATGTAGAGAGAGCTGGTTGGTGAGGATGCTCAGAGGAGGACAGCTTGTGGGTCGCATTGCTCGCCGGCGGGAGCCAGGTCCGCCAGGCAGGCGGAGGAGGTGTAGCTTGCTGCGGCTTTAGCTAGAAGAAGAGAGGTCACCACGAGGTCAGGTCTTAAATAGCGTGACTTAGTAGTTGACCTCCGTCATGTAAGGCGGCGCTGGTTGACCTAGACCACGAGGCATACACTGGGGAATTCGCGGGGTCAGCTACTCAGCGACAAACAGCGTTTGTAGGGGAGAAACCCACTACAAACTGTCCATCATGATGACTCAGTTATCACAGCATACAATACTTATATTTCCAAGCTGAAAGAATTTACGTATTTTATGTCATTAACTGTACCGGCGATAACTGGAAATGTCCATGATCCCCCTTCTAAAAAAAGTAGATATAAGAACAACCATTAGCGTTTCCGTTTGGCAGACCTTACACACAAAATAAAAAAAACACTGCTGTCCCTTGACACGTTTGATCCCTACTGTATACCCATAATATGTATACCCATGTATTATTCTCACGTGATGATAACAGTTCACAAAGTATATGAGTATTTTCTGTGGCATGGTGATGCAGGCATTTTACTTAATACTTGTCAATATGATGTAAAGTAAATCATGGTTGCTCTATATTGAAATTGAAAGTCCTTAGTTACCTCTATACTGTTGTTCACAAATTCCTCCATACTTATCTCTCTGGAGACTCTGCCATTCACTGGTCTTATCCTTACATATCCAGAATGTTTATTACCACTTTAGCTAAACTGTATATTTTAGCTATTTTTTCAAGATTATTAAGTGTTTGCCAGTAATACTATATGATCATGCCGTTTGATTACCGATATTAAAGATAAGGTTGTTACTATACTGATGGAGTAGATTACAATAAAGGAAATTAAAAACTAACTATTCATGCAAAGTAAAGTCAAATAAAACATAAACCTTATTTATAAACATTATGTATAAAACAAATATACCAGAAATGTGAACAGTAATTTATATATTCATCTAATCGTTTATAAAAATTAATAAAACCTAGACTTTATATATCAAAATTAACTTTAATATTATAAGAATTAATGGTGTTGTATTTCTGCTCGTGGTTGGTCTGTTAATCTGGCGGTAGAGGGAGGGAGAGAGGCAGGGTGAGTCATTGGACCTTCTTTTTAAAACCTTAGTGTTAATTACTGTTATTAAAGAACAGAATTAAATTATATATTGATTCTATAGTTATTGTTGTGTACTTGTTGTGTATTAACCAATTTAACTGTTTGGTTAGTGAATTATAGGTAGTTCCATCACAGTTGTCAGGTTTGGGGTAGCAGGTCATCTATTAAAACTACTCAGTGGATATTTTGCCGTGACCGGTTAAGTTCCTATTAACCCCTATTTAACCGTGAGTGCGTTCTGTTTAATATGATAACCCCCCGACTAGGAAGTTAGGTAAGGTTAGGTATGTTTCTTTGGTTAGGTTAGGTTCTAGTAAATGTCGCCTCTTTTATAATGATAAGTTTCCATGTACATCAGAAATATGGCTGGATATATTTCTAGCTACACAACGATTGACTGGCAGCGAAATAGATATCAAATGCCACCAGAGTCACGGTCAAATATAGTTCTTGCATTATTTGCCGGTAATGAACTCACGGTAAAATAGCAGTAGGAACTTAGCCGGTCACGGAAAAATAGCCACTGTCTTAAAAAATACGTTTATGTTTAATTTTGATGCATATTGTGATATTTTATTCATTATATTCATCATACAGATTACTGATCCAACTAGTGTTTTGATAGTACAGTATAGGTACCGTATACATAGTGTTATGGTGACCTGTGGTGTAATGGTCAGCATGCTCGACTCACAAGCCAGTGGACCCAGGCTAGGTTAGGTTAGGTGACTGAAACAATAATTTTACCTTACATTGTTGTGGAATTTATTATTCGGTGATAATTTGAGTTTTATTTTTTTGTGCTGTACTGTACTGGAAAATAAATATTTGCCGTTACTATAGCGTGCAGTCTACAAAGGTATCACTAGTTTCACCTAACCTAATGAGAGAACATTACTCAGTCGAGTGTGAGCTTATTCAAGGCCAGACTTGACCAACACTAGAGCAGGTACAGATACATTCTGGTGCCAGTACATGACAGAGATGTGACCGACTGCCCAAATGTCTAATGAGCTGATTTGTGGTAAAAAGGATAAAGTATAAAGTACACAACATAACCTGGATTAGGTAAACTAGGTCGGTTCATCTTATCAGGGAAGTCATAATGTAGGAATAATTCTTAAGTTTTTAGAAGCATTGCTGGGGATCAACCGAAACATCTCGGACGTAAACAGTGAATACAGCGTCCGGGCCTGAAGTTGTGTTTGGGACGGAAAATCATGAAGTATGAGAACATAATTTTCTCTTATATCGAAAAAAAATTCCTCGAGTTACTGGTTAACAAGAGCACTCGGCCTCCCATACACTGTACTGTAAATAAGAACCAGATGTCAGATAATACAGATTCTATTTATTTAATATTTCTTCCGTTGGTAAAATAAAAATATTAACTATAACTCCAGATTTTAGAATTTTTTTTATTAATGAATTATCACCAAGAACATTACAGATGTTGATGTGTTTTTATTTTTTCAGACAACCTTCAGCCTGGGTAGACTCTTGGATGTAAGGCCGAAGAACATAAATACAGTGACAAAAAACACACCTTGTACAGCACAGCGCCACACACGTCACCATGCCGCGACTTCGTGTTGAGGTGAATATCTTGCTTAACCTTCCCTAACCTAATGCCCCCAGATATCAGGACAATGGCTATTCATTTGGTGAATTATGCTGGGGCTAATCTTGAGGTGAATTATGCTGGGGCTAATCTTGAGGTGAATTATGCTGGGGCTAATCTTCAGGTGAATTATGCTGGGGCTAATCTTGAGGTGAATTATGCTGGGGCTAATCTTCAGGTGAATTATGCTGGGGCTAATCTTCAGGTGAATTATGCTGGGGCTAATCTTGAGGTGAATTATGCTGGGGAGCTAATCTACAGGTAATCTACCATGTCTGCCAATCTTGTACACACACCTCATGCCAGCTGTGACGGCCATCTGTGACATTAAGAATCAATCTGCCGTTTTAAAATAAGTCCTCAAGTGCCAACCAGAGGGAGCAGAGGTCTGTCCACCTATAGTGCCTAGTGTAATGTTAAGTGTGGCACCCCAGCTTGGCACTACTGTAAGGGGTTGTCACTAAGTGGGGATTTATATATTATGTGAAATATTCTATGTTGTACTGTATAGTGTGTAATATGGTATCTCGAGTACAGTAGTGTGTTCATAGATGGGATACCTGTGTGTCAAGTTGTGGAAGGGTACAGAGGAGGGCAGGGGAGTGCTGGAGGGGGCCACCGAAGACACTGATGTTCCTTCACGTTTTTATTGTTATTAGTAGAGGGTGAGTCGAGTCCAGTGGGAAACCTGATGAACTGTATCCATGTACTAGATGAAGTCAGCTTTCAGGTACAGTGCAGGTACTGTATATATTATGGTAGTTTATTTTTTTACATATAAAGTTTGTCTCACAGGAAGCCAGCGATGACGATTGTAATACCAGCTCTCAGAGTCAGAGGGACACAGAAATCAGCTCTGAGACCCAAACCAAGCTTGCTGGTCTTGTCTGCAACTATCTCTTGGTGGCAGAATGCAAAAAGGTTAGTGCAGTATGATGACTTTTACTTTTTACTTCTTTTGCTTTTATCCTCTTTACCACTGATCAGCTCGTTAGCCGCTTGGACAGTCGGTCACGTCTCTGTTACGCACTGTTGGCAAGTACTGGGCATGAACCGGCTCCTGAATATATCTGTACCTGCTCCAGTGTTCATCAAGTCTGGTCTTGGATGAGCCCACACTCAGTGCCGTCACAACACACTCTGGCAAATTGTTCCAAGAGTTTACAATTGGTTGTGATGATTTTGTGATGGTTGTGACTTGTTGTAAAGAGAATCTCAATACTGTACTTACTACTTGTGTCTGATACTGTATATATATTTCAGTTTTCATTGTATATACAGTATATAAACAGGTTGACAACCCTTTATCCGAAATTCCGAAAAGCTCTGAAAACCGAAAGTTTTTTTTTTAACAGGGATTAGCCCATCGGGGCCTGGGGGGCGAAAATGTAATAGTAATAATAATTATAATAATTATTATTCATAGTAAATAAAAAATTTAATACAAAATACACCCAAATAAAATAATAATGATAATAATAATAAAATTAATAATAATAACAATAATACTGTAATTAAAAAATAATAATAATTAAGAAATACAGTACAAGAATGAAAAAAAGATAAAAAAGTGAGAAACACGACCTAGACCTAAGAATTATTATTATTTTTATTATTATTATTATTATTATTATTATTATAATTATTATTATTATTGTTATTATATTTTCGCCCCCCAGGCCCAAATGTGGGTCAGTGACTTGTGCCCAGGTGGGCTAATACACACAAAAAAAAAAACTAACCATTCTGTAAACCGAAAAATTCCGAATTCCGAAATGCCTCTGGCCCTAAGGATTTCGAATAAGCGATTGTCAACCTGTATATATATATATATATATATATATATATATATATATATATATATATATATATATATATATATATATATATATATATATATATATATATATATATATATATATATATATATATATATATATATATATATATATATCATGTAAATCCACAATGAAAACGTGGATAAGATAAATCTTGATAAATGGAAAATGGAAATTCAACTTCAGAAACTGAGTAAGATGTCTCAAAAGTTTATATATATATATATATATATATATATATATATATATATATATATATATATATATATATATATATATATATATATATATATATATATATATATATATATATATATATATATATATATATATATATATACAGTATATATATGTATTTATGTTAATTACACTGTTTAATGAGTATTACCTTACTGTACCGTACTCGCAGTATTTTATTTGATCAACAACAAATTATCACATTTTTCCTGTGTGTTTCAGATACCAGCCAAGAGAGCAGACATCAAGAAATTAATCCCGAAGGAAAATGCCCGCCACTTACCTAAAATTATGGCTGAAGTGAATAACATCATGGAACAGGTATGATTTACTTACCATCTGACGGCTTTGTCTGCCATCCTTGGTCATATTGTCTTACTGTTTATTATTGTTGTATGCTTGTGCTCGTATACTGTACTTCCACGGTCTAAGTATACCATGTACGGTACCTGTATTGTCTCTACACATGCTGAACTTTATACTTGCATAGTCTATACACAGGCCAATCCAATTTGTAAACTTGAATGATTATTATTATTATTATTATTATTATTATTATTATTATTATTATTATTATTATCTTTATCCAGGTTATATACGAAAGGTTGGTAATGGTCACTGTCTTCAATTTAAATAAAACAATACTGTTGTTATATTATTAACTAGAATATATTCAACACCAACAAAGTAAAAATAAAACAAGAACATATAATTCACTTGTGCAGGTTTACGCGTACAAAGTGGTAGAATTAGAAAAGTCCAACTACATCTTGATCAACAACATCGGCACGAACCACTCGGACCACGACAACACCTCCAAGATCAGCGACACCGCCAAGACGGGTCTCCTCACGGCTATACTGGCGGGGATATTTATGACCGGAGAACTGATGCAGGAGAGTGAGTGAGGTCCTCCATTTTTATTTTTATTATTTTTTCCAATTTACGGTAATGTACTACACTCCATCTGCTGGTTTTAATAGATGGAATTATTAAGATGTATTGTGATGGTAAGATAGTGTTCATAATAGTAAGATGTGTGGCTTATATTTCTATTAGTCTTCAGCAAGAGTTTAATTATTTTTTGTTAAATAAGTGGGAGAATCCTGTTTAGACCAGTCCTATAGTGTATGCTGAAGTCTGTATTGGGTTGTACAGTATGAATATGTTGCATAATTGTTGTATGTATTTTCATATATAATCCTTCAATGTATTTTAAACTTTACATCAGGTTTAAGGAGTGTGCTGAGTGAATGTATGCAAATCACCAATACTGTTTGACACTTTCCTCAAAATTTACACAATAAAAAACCAAACCCTGTGACCCTGTCTCTCTTGGCAGAACTATCATGTAATTCTATCATGTCTTTGGCAAAATATCCAGAGGTTTGGTTTAGAAATATCATAAAATGGAAGTGTATAGGAGGCTGATGGTTGAATGTTAGTCATCAATGGTGATAAATCAATACTTAATTGTACTTCCTAGGAAATCATCCATATATGTACAACCTACATACAGTGACTTAACCAAAACTTGAAAATCATGGGGAATTGTCAGGTACTATATATACATACTGTACTGTACTACATAGATTGTTGTGTGCCAGTGGATGGGTGTACTGTATTGTTAGTTTGTGTGAACCCTGGAATCCCTTGCGTCATTTAAATGTGATGAAATCGTGAAAGAAATAATGTTTTTCCCCTAATTTAATGACTGGGTTCAAAATGAAGATGGAGAGTTCAAGGTTCATTCCAACATACTGTACCTGTTGACTTTTGAAGTAACTAATATATTTTCTTTGGGGCGTTGGGGTTCCTTCCATCTTGTTCCGTTATGATGCAGCTCACATGATTAGACAAAACTTGCTGACGGTTTTCCCTACCTCTCACTGGTGAGGTTGAGAACATGTGGTGGTCAGTCAAAACACACCTTCATTAGTTTAAGTCTGATGTGCTGCAGAATTATAATGATCTTGTAATAAATTCTACTACAGTACTACCCATTTTGGTACATATACAGTATATTGGTCTGACTTGTTACATATTTATAATGATCTTTTAATAAATTCTACTATTACATATTTGTCATATTATCTGCTGCTATAGATTGTTATTTCCAGAACACTTCATACAATACCTTAAAAAACTGGATGTCGACATATTATCCAAGAATCCCCATCCAGAATTAGGCAACGTAGCAAAGCTCATACATCAGGTGAGACCGTATACAGTACAGGTGTTCTTTAACTATACATATACAGTACAGTACTGTACAGGTGTTTAGCTATACATATCTGGTTAGTCAATACATTTATATTTGCCTCTCCTCAATCCTGAAATCTTACCTAATCAATACGCTTAGTGCTTAGAAGCTGTCGCCAACACAACAACCACACCCTAAGTTAACAAGCTGCATGACCCAGTGTCAAGGAATAGTCCAAGAAAACCAGACAACTCACCAACTGCACTTATGCCTGGTAGAGCGGCTGGCGCATTTTGTGAGATGTGGCTACTCTGCGTTTGTTGTTGTAGTTCTGGGCTTTAGGAGTGAAACTAATGCAAGTAGGTAGTTGGGGTCACCTGTTGATTAGCCCCTCCTGTCTTATTTCACCTGATGATTTAACACCTTAATGCTACCTGGAAGAGTGGCACGTGTTTTGTTGCTTAAGGGTAGGTTTGTTTGAAGTGGCATTAGGTTGAGTTAGGTAAGGTTAGTTTATATTGTTAGGTTAGTATTAGTTTGGTTATGTTAGGTTAAGTGAGGTTAGGTTAGTTTATTTTGTATTAGGTTAGGTTAGTTTGGGTTAGGTTAACATAATGATGTATAGTGAATTTTAATGTTAAGTGATTTGTGGGGTGGGGAGGGGGGCGGTGATAATATTCAGGCAGTGGAACATTATACTGTACATTAATCTCTCTCTCTCTCATAACAGGAATTTACCAAACAGAAGTACTTAGAAATAACCAGCGACACAACGACTGACCCTCCCACCCGAGAGTACCGCTGGGGTGAGAGAGCCCACCTGGAGCTGTCCAAGAGAGATATACTGGAGTTGGTCTGTAAGGTTAGTCATCTCATGTGGACTGCTGGACGAAGTTATGATTTTGACTCTGGGTTTTTACAAGGATAACATATCATGATATAGTCACCCAGAAAAGTCCTCCGCCTCTCCTGCTGCTTCATGAACCACGAGATTCAGATTCGTGAACCCGAAGCAGTAGACTAATGCATTATTCTGTCCATAAATGCTTCAGATTCACGAGTCAGGGTTTGTGTTTACAGGAGGAGAGGCAACAGGACTTTTGTGGGTGACTGAACAAAGTCATCATTGGCATTTGGTCTTAGGCATTAACTTCTCGTGTATGGGCTCCCCTCTGTGTTGAATAAAATCATCTAGCATTAGCCAAATAAAACATTAAAAGTGGCATCCCCGTAGAGAAGGGTTTAAAGAGTATTGGCAGAGTTTGTGTTTTGGTGTGACATCTGAGTCTGTATTCAATCATGTTTAAGGTCATGGGATGAATCATTTCCTTTATTGTAAGTTGCTCATGTTGTATTCTAGGATTCACACTTGTGTCTAAAGGGAATTATTCTTCTGATGACTGTACTGTATTGCCTTGTCACTGGAGCTCGTAATACAATGGTACGTAGAGTTACCAGACACTCGCCCATCCAAAAATGCCTGAAGAACACCGAAGATTCTCTAGTAATTATATTCCATTTCACTGCACCAGAATGATAAGAACATCATAACAAACATTATATTATCTCGGTGGTGAGGCCGTTACTTCAGTGAGGCATAAGTAAAGATTAAAGATCTGTAGGTGTTCACTTTAGACAATGCGTAGCTGTTAAAGATAGTCGTGCAGACTGTGGCAGGTAGGTGGAATTAGGCAGCATCCATTTGTAGTCTTATTTTAGCCATCTTTTTTTTTTTTTTTTAGTATTTTCCATCTCTACATTAATTTATCAAGTTTTTTTTTTGTGTGGCTGTTTTAAGGACAGTCTACTAAACATATCTTGAAACACACAGTGCTGACATGTACCGGTATACTTATATATCTTGAGATTTAAATGTTATCTGTATAAAACTAAATAATAACTGTCCTATCACATGAAATGCTCTTGATCATAAACTGAAAGTGATCTCGGCCAAATACTTCGAGGGAGATAGACACTGGGTTGATTAGGCTACAGTAGACTCCAGATATAATGCGATTAAGTACCGTGTGACATTTCTAGGTCCCACTTTTGTGTTGTGTTGAAGATCTACAGCAGGTGTAGTTTGGGATGAGGCAGCTTTACTCTCGCTGGGTCCGATGCTGTAATTTTTTTTTTTACGGGAATTAGCCCACCCAGGCACAGGTCACTGACCCACATTGGGTCCTGGGGGGCGAAAATGTAATAATAATAATAATAACAATAATAATAAAGAACCACAAATAAATACAAAATGAAAAAAAAATCAAAAGTGAGGAGCAATATTTGTATGTTGTGTTGTCAATAGTAAGAGAAACAATTGAGACCCTGCAATTGTGTGTAAATGAGACAGAAAGTCAGATCAGCAACCTGGGACTTGGTCACAATTTTCGTGATGCCATGTGGCAGCAAGATCTACCATAGACAACACATTATGCTTCCAATATCTTCCCAGGCGGTAGTACCTTTAGGTGAGGTTAGTTAGTGATTATTGCTGAAATTCGAAACACCCAAAGCCCCAAGGATTTCGGAAAGAGGTTTTCAACCTGTATTACATTCTTCACTGTAATTATAAACATTCTTCACTGTAATTATTAACATTTTTTCACTGTAATTAATAACATTCTTCACTGTAATTATTAACATTCTTCACTGTACAGTAATTATTTACCTTATTTTATGTAATTAATAAAAAAAATTGTAATATTAAGATTATAAAATGATTATTAAGATTATTATAGATGTAATTTTTAGGATTATTTATTTATTGAACATTCTTTGATGTAATTATTAGCATCATCCACTGTAATTGTTGACATCCATCACTGTACTATTTGGATTTGTAAATGACTATATATTGGTACTAATTTCCCCCCCTCTCCCCCCCCCCCTTCCCACCTGGTCAGGTATATGGAAATCACATGCGACCTGAGAGATGGATGTCACAGTGGAAGATCGTTCAGAAGGAAAAGGGAGCACCCGAAAACACAGAGCCTCAACCCAGAAGATTACGTATCGAGAAATAATTCACATCACAGGGATTTTCCTTTCCCCCCATCTTTTGGCAAGTGTGGATTGGTGATGATGATGATGGTGGTTATGATTAGTACAAGGTAACCAGAAAGAAAAGCAACACACACACACACTCTCTCTCTCACTACAGTGGACTTATTATAATTACTGTACTGTACAATATATTACACATTTTATTGTATACAGTATTTCAAATTGCTGTAATTACATTTAGAGTATTACAGTATTATATTTGTATCTTGTGGTAGAAAAATATTGACTATATATTTTGATTCATCTTGTGAAATAAAGTTAAATGAAAATTTGAATGTCTTTGATAAACCTTTAGTGTACTGTATGGATCTAAGATAACCACAGGTGTACATACCCAACTACCCAAGATAACAGCAGGTGTGTGTGTATACCTTAGATAACATGTGCACCTTTAATTCAACAGGTGTCTTGTCTACTTGAGATAACAGATGTGTACACCCGCATTAGGTAACGTGTGTGTGTGTGTGTGTGTCTACAGGTGAACCACTTTCCCTATTGTGAATCAGCATATTTTGTTCTCAGGTGTCAGGTGTACGAAGAGGGTGGGTGGGGGTGTGCACCTGCAGCTGTGTGGTTATGAAGAAAACTATTGTGGTGGTGAGTTGCTTCTTGTTCATGGCGATTTTGTGTGTGTACGTTTGTTTGTGTGTGTCTAGATTTGTTTGTGTATGTGTGTAGATTTATTTGTGTGTGTGTAGGTTTGTTTGTGTGTGTGTACGTTTGTTTGTGTGTGTGTGTACGTTTGTTTGTGTGTGTGTACATTTGTTTGTGTGTGTACGTTTGTGTGTAATAAAATAATAATAATAAACGGTTTATTAATAGAGTTGCAGCTGATGGCTGAAATTATATAGACTTACATTTGTTTGTGTGTGTGTAGGTTTGTTTGTGTGTAGATTTGTTTGTGTGTAGGTTTGTTTGTGTGTGTGTGTGTAGGTTTGTTTGTGTGTGTGTGTGTGTAGGTTTGTTTGTATGCATGTAGGTTTGTTTGTTTGTGTGTGTATTTGTACAGTACTCATGCCTGTGTAAGTGTATTGATAACCTAACATTATACAAGGGATAATTGATCAATAGTCTAAATAAATACAATGTCGATAATTACCACAAGTTTAGTATTATTTGTCTGCGTCACACAGCACAAAGAGATTCCCGTTTTGTGTGGTACGAGGGCGACCATATCCTTGCCAGGGGCGGATCCAGGAATATCAAAAGGAGGTGGTCCAAGAAGATCTGGGCAGGGGAACATGGCGAGCGCAGTCAATAGTAAATACCTTTTACTATACAAAAATGCCTGAGCACAATACTTGATCACAATGTTGGTTTATTTTGCCTTTATGTTTTAGTGTTATTTAAATGGTTTATAAGTAGTGTATTATATTCATGATTATTTACTATTGACAGTCAACTATAATTTTTTGGTTAACGTAGTAATTTAGTTTAGTTAGGTACTGTACTAGGATTATTTTGGCTTGAATACAGGACGTAATTATCGTCTTGGATATTGCACATTTCTGTCATCTTGTGGAGGTCGTTGATTATAAAGACCGACAATAAAACATCACTAACCTGTCATAACACCATCTATTACGCATCACCTGTCACGCACCACCTGCCACACAACACCTGTCACGCATCACCTGCCACACAACACCTGTCACGCATCACCTGCCACACAACACCTGTCACGCATCACTTGTCACGCATCACCATATATCACGCATCATGTCACACCATATATCACGCATCATGTCACAACACCTGTCACATCACCTGCTATACAACACCTGTCACGCATCACCTGTCACAACACCACCTGTCACGCATCACCTGTCACAACACCACCTGTCACGCATCACTTGTCACAACACCACCTGTCACACAACCTAATAGAGAATAAGTCATTTTGAACCAGAAACCCATTATTTTGGATAGAATTATATTTATCCCACTGTTTTCGACTTTTTTTAATACGGTAGGCAGAGTTTTATGATGGCAGAGCATGAGAAGATTGTTGAGGAGGCAGAGATGGTGTCTTAGTTAATGAAGGTTAGTGCAGTACTGTTCCTTCACGGTGGCACTGTTCACATGTTAAATACAAATCTTCGGTAGAATTAGTACATATTAACTATAGGTAGAGGTAGGGGCCGTGAGAGGAGCCTTGGTAGGGGGGGGGGGGTAACATGTGAGCCAGCCAGCGTGATGGTCCACGTGACACGAACCTTCCCTCCGTCCCCTCCCTTTCCTTCCTTCCTCCTCCTTTCCGTCTCTCTCCTCCTCTCCCTTCCCATACTTAAATGACATATGAAACTCATGATGATTAATTATATAGTTAATTATTGTAGTTACTTTGTATATTATCAAAAGACACCCAAAGGACACGGGCAGCCATGGGATAAACAACTTGACCACAGCATGACCGACAACGTGAGCTGCAGTGTTACCATACACCGCCAGAAACAAATCGCTCATCTATAAACCTTATAAAAGTATTTGATCTTTGAGTTGGTAGTTAAATGAAATGTATGTGTATATGTAATTTGCATGAATTTTACCTTTATTAGGGGTTAGCATATTTTGATCAAATAGATTATATGTAGCCATCAAAAGCGTGCATGGCAACACTGCTGTGAGATGAAGGTTGTCGTGCTTTATGAAAATTGGATCAATAACTAACATCTGACAACAACCTATTAATTTGACTCAAGTTCGGCGCATAATGGTCACGCATTTGTACCGTTTGGGCTGATGGTCGTGTGGAACAGTGGATGTTTACCTGATTTATCTAATGGCCATCCCGACTCCAGGTGGCCAAGCCGGGAAGGGATCAATGGCTCTTGTAGATCCCTCCATTGTTCTTGAGTCTTGCCAAGGACTGTTTTGAAACTCAGTATTGTTCTCGTTTCCACAGCTTGTGCTGGTAGATTGTTCCATAGGTCTACCTCCTTAACGGGGTTCCATAGGTCTACCACTTTAATGGGCCTCCATAGGCCTACCACGTTAACAGGCCTCCATAGATCTACCACCTTAACTGGCCTCCATAGGTCTACCACCTTAGCAGGCCTCCATAGGTCTACCACCTTAACAGGCCTCCATAGGCCTACCACCTTAACTGGCCTCCATACATCTACCACCTTAACGGGACTCCATAGGTCTACCACCTTAACGGGCCTCCATAGATCTGCCAACTTAACGGGCCTCCATAGACCTACCACCTTAACTGGCCTCCATAGGTCTACCACCTTAACTGGCCTCCATGGGTCTACCAATCTTAACGGGCTCCATAGGTCTACCACCTTAACGGGCCATAGGTCTACCACCTTAACGGGCCTCCACAGGTCTACCACCTTAACTGGCCTTCATGGTCACCACCTTAACGGGCCTCCATAGGTCTACCACCTAACGGGCTCCATAGATCTACCACCTTAACGGGCCTCCATAGGTTCACCACCTTAACGGGCCTCCATAGGTCTACCACCTTAACGGGCCATAGATCTACCACCTTAACGATCTACCACCTAACGGCCTCCATAGGTCACCAATTAACGGCCTCCAGATCTATCACCTTAACGATAGATCTATCACCTTAACGGGCCTCCATAGGTTAACGGGCCTCCATAGGTCTACCACCTTAACGGGCCTCCATAGATCTATCACCTTAACGGGCCTCCATAGATCTATCACCTTAACGGGCCTCCATAGGTCTACCACCTTAACGGGCCTCCATAGGTCTACCACCTTAACGGGACTCCATAGGTCTACCACCTTAACGGGCCTCCATAGATCTACCACCTTAACGGGCCGTGATGCGTGATGTCTTGACAATGGTAAGCGTAAAGTTGTGTCCCCTCGTGTTTGTGGCGCGTGACACCGCGAAAGTTTTATCTTGGTTCTCGTTTGTCATCTGTCGCGATTATGATTGTCTGAGATCTGTCCTAAAGTGTCTTGTCTGAAGAGATGTTAGCCCTAAGGCCCTCACCCTACTTGGAAAATCGAGATGACGGAGTTCAGTACTCATCTAGTTCTGTTTTGCATCTTCTCAAAGTGATGTTATGTCTTTCTGGAGGTATAAGGTGTCCATGTGTGTATACAGTAGCCCAGATGGAGACTCGCAAAGAAAATGAGCTGGAGGACAAACCTTCAGGTGTTCCGACAAGTGTGTCTGATAATCGTCTACACTGGGAGATGACACCGACGACTCAGCCTAGTATGTGTAGTGAGCTGCTATCAAGTGTTAAGTGAACGTAGGAGTTAACTGATTCACTGTATAAATATTGCACTTCGGTAAGTGATGTGAGGTGTGTGTGTCTACTGATTCTTCCCGCCCCTCCTATTGCTTTGTACTCGTATATTTTATGTCTGGTATTTATTTGTGAATTGACCATTTTCGTCATTTCTGAAGGTTTTGCTGTTTCCTTTGATCGAAACTGTGCGTGTGTGAGGACAAATACATACATACATACATACATATTCACTACTTAAAAATATATAAATAGTGGAATGCTAAGAGGAGTTAAAAAATATTACTAGATTGAAGAAGAAAGTGCCTCATGGTGTGGGGGTCGATGGCCTCACCGCACCAGACAACACTACTGTAGGTGGGAGTTTAGGTTACGTTGCGTTATGTTAAGTTAGGTTAAATTGTAATTAGGTTATGTTAGTGTCAGGTTAAGTTAAATTCAGTTGGGATAGATTAGTGCAAAGTTAGGTTAGGTTAAATTGTGATTAGGATAGATTAGTGTAAGGTTAGGTTATCTTTAGGTTACGTTAAATTGCTTCGGGAATAGACTAGGTTAACGTAAGATTAGATTAACGCTCGGGTGTTTAATCTTAAGGTGAAATAAATTTGTGGATAATATTATAGTTTTGTCAAATTTCTCATAGTCGATCATAGTCGATAGTCAGATTAACACTAATATAATGGAATACATGACACTACCCTCTCTCTGTATACTGTAGCATCACATGTATGCTGTAGCCTAAGGTTATATTTCACCACATGTAAAGTCAGACACGTGTGCCTATTATAAACAAATGCAGATTATATAATGGAAGCATGAGCAGGTGATGTTCGTAGCCAAGTGAGATGACGCAGCTTCCCACACTCCTTGCCGTTATGAATAAATGATTAGTGTACTGTATATACCAGACCATTCAGATGTATAATTCATAAGACAATGTTTATTTTCTCTGGTGGTAATGAGCGATATAATTTGATCAAGAGTGAAATATTTCGCCGGGTATTTTATCAAAGCATTATAATAAGGTAGAGAGAGCCTAATGCATTACACACTACCGCTTAGAATATTGTTTTATGCAGGTTACTCGTCAACACCATCTACTAACATCCCTTACTGCTACTACTATTACTACTATTACTACTACTACTACTACTACTACTACTACTAATAATAATAATAATAATAATAATAGGGCCTTTATTATTCTGAACGAACTAAGGGTTTACTGCCAGCGTGTAGTAATAGTAGATGGTATAGGAGGGCCAGGGGAGGTAGAGATTGGAATGGATGAATGAAATTAGTCGCCAGATATGCAAACTCTTGAAGGATTGGTAAAAACAGCCCGAGAACATTAGAGTGGAGGACTGTGGTCGCCAACCCTCAGCTACGTTGATTGGGTAGTAGTAGAAATGAAGTAAATACTTTTATTAACTTTAGTACTAGTGATACAAGTAATGTGTAGTAGTTGTAGTTGTGGTATTAAACTTATAGTAAGAAGAGTAAATAGTTGTGTTATTAGTATTTTGGGTCAAGGAATTAGACAAGTGGATCACCTGAAGATTCATCCCCCAGAGGTTAATCTTCAAGGATAAATGAAAAGCTTACATGTTATTAAGGCTATCAGCGGTGACGTCTGACCACAGGGGAGTCACTGGGGTGAAGGGTTGGTAACTCATGACGTGGAATAGTTTTTAATGAGGAAATCATCTGCGTGTAATGGTCGTAGTGGTGGTGGTGGGCGTCTGTCAACCTCTCTGGTCAACGCTCATAGGTGGAAGATCCGGTGGTAATGACCAAATGGCCTGTTTCGAAGCTTCAACATCATGATATAATCTCTGTCATGTTGGTAACTAAAACATGTGCATTGATAGACTTATATGAGGCCGCTACAGAATAAATATCCATCCATCTATCTATCTATTTACTGTGGAACAAGACGGTCCAAGGCGGCTTCCTCCTGCAGTTGGTGATGCAGGTGGTGTCCCCGTGGCTGACAGCTGAGGCGACACAATGACTCCGTGTATTTTAAGAATGTCACCACAACACTCCAAACCTCTCCCACACACTACCACCTTTTCCTCACATGTTGGGGGGAGGGAGGGAAGGCCGGAAGAAGAGACAAGGAAAGGAGAGAGAGACGGGGAGAGGAGGGAGAGAGAGACGGGGAAAGGAGGGAGGGAGTGATGGGAAGAGGAGGGAGGGAGAGACAAGGAAAGGAGGGAAAGAGGCGACCACTCACAGAGATCAAGACGTCACCCTCACCACCAACTTGACTGATAAGATGACTTTATATCACGTGTTGATCCTTGATGACTCACAGTGGCAAAGCAGAGTCGACGGTATTGTGTGAAGAAACCGTTAAATTTAAGCTGTGGTACTAAAGAGTCGATGGTATTGTAAAGCTGTGAAGAATCCGTCAAACTTAAGCTGTGGTACTGAAGATTCAAAACTCTAACTTAACGTAACCTAACCTAACCTAAGCCTCGTCACTCACACCACTGTTCTTGTAGTGTGACTTACTGTAGGGTTTCAAACCTTAAGCTGAAATTGCAAGCATCGAGGAAGCAAGAGTTTCCCAAGCTGACTTGTCCCCATCCCTCCCCCTCCTCCCCCACCTAGGAAGAGAAGGTTACGAGGTCAGGATAAACTTATTGTTATAAATTCAGGTCACATATGACACTTTATTTGGCTAATGATATATTATTTTTTTCCTTAGGTAATTTGTGAAGATTGACACATGCTTAAATTCTTCTTGTTATGATATCTAAGAACATCTGAGAGGAATACCTTAATTATTATACCTGTCTCCATTAACACCTTGTATTAGTTGATGTAATTTAATAATAAGTTACATTTACAGAACGTTTTAATTAAGCCGTTGTATTTCATCAGTAACAAGTGATTCACACAGTCTTGTTGGGTAATTTGTATTGAATCACCTAGTGTGTGTGTGTGTGTGTGTGTGTGAGAGAGGGAAAGAGGAAGGAAGGGAGGCTGTGTGTTGGAGTTCGTGTGCGGGAAGGAGTGAGGGAGGGAGTGTGTGAGGGAGGGAGTGTGTGAGGGAGGGAGTGTGACGGATAGAGGGAGGTAGTGTGGAGGGAGCGAGTGTGTGTGGGAGCGAGTGTGTGAGTGAGCGAGTGTGGAGTGAGCGAGGTGTGAGTGGGCCAGTGTGTGAGTGAGCGAGTGTGAGTGAGCGAGTGTGTGAGGGAGGGAGGTGACGGATAGAGGGAGGTAGTGTGTGTTAGTGTGAGGGAGAGAGCCCCCACACTGTACGTCAGCTGGAGACAATTCAGGCCGGTTAGTAATGATTATGACTGTAACTCATTCACTCCTTTACTTCTTCTGGGGCGGTGATGCTGTGTGTGGGGGGGCCTGTATGTGGGCGAGGGGGGGCCGTATGTGTGGGCGTGGGGTCGTATGTGGGGGAGGGGGCTTGTATGTATGTGAGAGTAGGCGGCTTTGTGTGTGTGTGTGTGTGTGTGTGTAAATAATTTTATATCGTGGTAATATAATAAATCACTAAGATATGTTCAACACGTATATATTGTCTACCTGCCTATTCTTCCATCTTTTTTTTTTTTATTGGGAATTAGCCCACCAGGCACAGGTCACTGACCCACATTGGGTCCTGGGGGCGAAAATGTAATAATAATAATAATAATAATAAAGAACCACAAAGAAATACAAAATAGAAAAAAAATTCAAAAGTGAGGAACAATATATGTATGTTGTGTTGTCAATAGTAAGAGAAACAATTGAGACCCTGCAATTGTGTGTAAATGAGGCAGAAAGTCAGATCAGCAACCTGGGACTTGGTCACAATTTTCGTGATGCCATATAGCAGCAGGGTCCACCATTAGACAACACATTATGTTTCCAATATCTTCCCAGGTGGTAGTACCTCCCTGTTTGGTAGCAAAATTAACAACTGTTGCACACTACCCAGGAATTGAACCTAGTACCACTAGCTAGCGAGGCGGACGTCCTAACCACTACACGACAGGAACATGTATGTATGCATGTATGAAAAAATTCTGCATTATTTATTCATTTATTTACTAAGGAGAGGCGTCACGTGTCATAAATGCTAACCACTTAAGTAAACATTAGATGGTTGGAAACAACTACATTGACATACCCGATTTGTTCTTCGTCGTGTCAATTAATGTTCTTCAGATGCTTTTCTCTAGTATGTGTAGGTCATATATTTTATTATATGGTTTTTATAGAATATTGTGGGTAGTTCTTTCATGATATATTAATAATTTGTTATTCGTTGGATTTATTCACTATGGGCTGATTTGCGGTTGGTCATGGGTCACGTTGTTGGCGGTGCGGTGGCGGAGGTGCTAGTTGCTGCCTTACCATTCTATCGCGGATTTATTTTAATTATTCTGTCCTCTTAGGTACAATAATTCAAGTATCTTATTATAATTATGTTAGATAAAATGTATCATCTTATGTAGAAAAAAAAATCACGTAGGAATTATAGTGTTTGTTATTTTAATATGTTGTGGTCGTGTGGTGAGGAGTGGCGCGTTTGGTGTTGACGGTGGTGGTGGTTGCCGAGGATTTATCTTATGTATTTATTTTCATCATCTTGTCCTCAATAAAATAACTCAAGTATATTATTCTGACAAGGTTTATTATGTTTATTATGATATTTTTGAAATATTAAAGTATAATGTGTGGAATTGGGGTGTTTTAATGTGTGGTAGTAATAGTGTGGTGAGAGGTGGTAAATGGTAGGTGAAGTCACGTTGGGGGCGGCGTGTGAGCCGAGTCAGCCGATGGGTGGCAGTAAAGTGTAAGCATTAGTAGTGAAGAGTACCATCATTTTGTCTGTGGTATAAAAGTGTTCTACTAAAAAATGTGTAAACTTCTCATGTGTAATCTCAAGACATAAAGTGAATCAATTATGACTGGTGAGGCGAGTAAAGTCAAAGCTAAGCATCTGGTGCACTGGTTCAGGAAGGGTCTCCGCCTTCATGACAACCCTGCTCTGCGCGCTGGCCTCAAGAATGCCCACACATTTAGGTGTATATTTATCCTAGATCCCTGGTTTGCGGGATCCTCCAACGTTGGAATTAATAAATGGAGGTGAGTAGGTGTAGCAACCCTTGGCTAGTTTACAGTGTGGAGGGATAAACAGGTATTTGTGACGGCAGGTGAGAGGCCTTGGCTAGTGTGAACCCCAACATGGCGACTAGATTACATAATGACAATCTGTTGTTTGTGGTGGTGAGGGGCGATGTAGGAGTTAGTGAGTTATGGTGTCTAATAGTGTCTTCCCCATTGTCTATCTTGTGCCTTCATATGACGATAGAACACGTTTGTGAAACTCATTTTAAGCGTCGAAGTAAACTCGCAACAATGATGATTTTGTTCTATGCCAGCACTGTGTATACATACTACATCAGTATGAACTTGCATAACGAATTTGCTCAATAAATTTCAGTCAACCCACCAGGCACAAACCACTCTGGACAAGTACCGCTACCATATTTGTATTGTCTTACCAGATAGTACTACACTATACAGTATACACACACACCCTCGTATCATAGATAGAATTACTTAGTCTACAAAAGTTGTGATCAGATTAAATGATTAAATTTCCGGAAACAATGATTAGTATTGAAAAGCCCATTGTGTCTGAAGTTTACTGTAGAAGTTCATAATGTGTTCTAGATCCTTGTATGGGCATGTCACTGTCGGGGGATTAAGTAGAAACAAAAACCAAGTTCTGAATTTTGACTGCTATTGTGTTTAAGTGTATTCCGCGTATGTATTGTGTTAGGATGGTGACAGCTGTGTGTGATTGTGGTCCAGTGATGGACTGGTGGCTACTGACATTGTTCGTCAACTGCATGATTTAACGCATATATTTCCTCATTTCGTTGTACAATTAACTTTGGGCGTGTGCGTTTTAAACCTCTATGGCAGCACGGCATAAATCCATGTGTGTGTGTGGGGGTCATAGTCTGATCACCTGGAGTTATTTATTCATTTCTCCCATGGTTGGTATTGTGTTCATTCCATACCCAACAATATAGATTATTTCTTACAAGTATATATGGTGTACAGGTGCTTTTGTACCTTGTGAGCAGTTATGTAATGTCGCGTGAGTTGTTTGTGAAGTTTTAAATCAATTTTGCTTTTCTTTTTTGTCAATTGGTTTCTCTGAATGGATATATTTAGCTATCAGTTAGCACGTTCAAATATCGTCTATGTAGTTCATTATCTATGTATATTTGTAAAGTACAGTGAAGTCTGTTCTTTGTGGATGTGTGTGACGGAGGGCTAGTGACAGGCGATGGGGAGGATCTACTCACTACAGTACAGTAACCTCTAGTCTACCGGGTGTCAACAGCCTCTGGGGGAGCCACGAATTACCCAAAAGTATAGCAAATAAGGGTAAAATCTTAAACGAATATGTTATACATACATAAAACATGTCTAATAATATTTTTAGTGTAATTTTGTAAAAATAATATGGAAGATGAAATAATAAACAGCGAAAAACTTTCAGTGTTGGCAAATGCTAAATTTCAAAGAGTTCGTGAACAAGAGAGATAACTCAGATCCATCGTGATGCATTTCGCTAACCTAACCTAACTTAACCTAACGAAAAGTAAATCCTACGGCTATGTTAAATACCCCAAAGTAACAGGAACATCGGTAATTATATCTCCATTTTGGATAGGTGACTCTTTGGAATTTAGCGTTTTTCGCTGTTTATTATTTCATTATTTTAACTACATTTCAATGAAAACATTATTAATCAGGTTTTATTTATGTAAAACATATTCGTTAAGATTTTACCCTGATTTAATATACTTTTGGGTAATTCGTTGGACCGGCCTCTGGTGGTGGGTGTCGTAGCTCTTACTCAATATTTGATCTTACTTTGATTTCTCCTTCTACGCTTCCTCCTCCTCTTACCCCTCCCCCCTTTACGTATAACTCGCTCACGTTCTGTGCTCCGCCGCTGTCAGTGGTCGCTTTCTCCCCTTCACCTCAACGTACCCAGCCATCGACCGCTTTTCTTGAGTGCCTCATTCCTGTACCCAACCCCCAAGGAGTGCCTCACACCCCTATTACCAGGTGCCACACAGCCCTACCGCCCATCAGTTCCAGCTTCATAGTTACAAAACTCACTTCCAGCGCATCGTGTGTCGTTCGTGACGGTGGTTCGGGCCGGCACCACCAGTGATGTGCCACAACAACCTACCTAATATTTGTTTATAAATTGTTCCTTCCTGCAACTAGTGTATCTGGTTCTGGACTTCACCACTTCTGTATCTACAAGCCTAGTGTAATTTGGGGGCTACGTAGCAATTATCCACAAGTAACAATCCATTCGACGTAACAATTATTCTTGGTTATGGCTTTTCGAGTCCCACTTGAGAGTTCGAGTACTTAGTCTCTTGAAGTATATATATATCATTGTTTTTTCTTAAGTATAGAACTTACGCTCCACACGCCTCTCACTTCATTAGTGGATGATGTCATGGTATTCGGTGCCAGACATGTGGATGGATGACGTCCCACAATATTTAAGTTTAATTTTTTCTTGTGGACAGTAATAACCACTGACGTCAACAATATAAAGTAATGCTGTTTTTTAGGCAAAATGTGACGATGTTGGGTTTGGGATCACAGTGAACAATAGCCAATCGCGGAGTATGTCACTCCTCTGGACATCCTGGTTCAGTTATTGTGCGCCATGGCCCACCACGCCACACGGAGTCCTCACGTGTCGTAGGGGAGAAAACTCATAATTATTTCACCGTGGAAGGCGTCAGGCTGGTACACAAACACAACACACAGACTTTGGTATATTTTTGTTAACGGGTTTAATATTTAATATCTCCAGTTCTTTCCAATTTTTTTCTGAGGTCGGTTAAACTTTTTTTTGTCAGTCCAGGTTTGAGTGCATAGTTTGGATACTTTAGGTAATGGCCGTATTGATAGATAGAAAGATATAGCTAGTTAAAAAAAAATAAAATCGACGGAAAAAATCACACATATTGAATAAGAGAGTATTGACCTTTATTGTAGAGTGCGATGAGATGGCAGACACGCCCACAGCCACTTTCAACACCGCCCATTTATTATACGGGATAGTGAAGTGTTTGAGGTTAAAAATGGATCCACAAGCCTAGTGTATAATGTATTAATAAATTTCACATTCCCTCTCGGTAAGTTGATTTGTCTAACCTTATTTCATATATTTCTCTAATATATTCTATACGATTGAAGTTGGGGTTATATAAAGCTGACTAACCGTTGTACTGTATGTATATATAATGTAAGTTCTTGAGTTGTTTTATATAGTTGTTGAAGCTCAGTAAGTACGTGATAGCTTCAATATGATAACTTCAACGCTTAGTCAGGACAGTGATGATCGGAAAAGTTAAAATTGGAAAATTATACTGATAAGTCACAATTTAGGCGAGGTGAGGTTAGGTGACATTTGTCTGAATTTACCCCTCATAATTTCTCTAGCGTCATGATACATTCTTGGTAGCACTATCACGTACAGCTTCTCTTACATGATTTTACAAAGATCCGGTAATACTTTTAAAAACCATCAAGATATTACATAATTTACCCTGTTGCACCACTCGTAACTTTATGTAGTGTGAGTGTGACAGGAAGGAAAATTCAGTATATCTCTTATGTATTCTGGTTTTCTTCCATAAGTGATTAGGATAGAGACGTTAGTAGTCATGGTAGCGTAAGATGAGAAAGAAAGAGAGGGGAGATGAATGTGCCGAAGTTGAAAGGGAGGCGATGAGGATGGGTTATGGATAGAACGAGGAAAGAAAGATGTTGATAAAAATGGAATCAGAACACGAGAGAAATAACGAAAGAGAAAAAAATTAAAACTGTGGAAAGGAGAAGGGAAGTAGAACGAGGAAAGAAAGATGTTGATAAAAATGGAATCAGAACACGAGAGAAATAACGAAAGAGAAAAAAATTAAAACTGTGGAAAGGAGAAGGGAAGAAGAGGTGGTGTGGTAGTGTGGAGTGGTGACATAATGGTGTCGCAGTAGATACCACACTCTGGATATCGACCCGCACACACACACACCTCGTCAGCCGCACCCACCGTGTTACATGAGACAGAAAGATGTCTAGTTATAGTGACCATTGGGAAGGGGAGACATCTGGTACTGGGGAATCGACTTAAATCTTAAATATCAGCTGAAGAATCTCCTCTCCCCTTTATCCACCCCAGCTTATTTCACCTGAAGATGTACCACCCTAACACTATTGGGAGGGGGGTTAGGTTAGTGTTTATACGCATGTCTGTCTGTGCTTCAACAAATGTCATTGAGGTAAGTTATATATTGTCTGCCTATGGTCGTGTTAATTATATTCTTTAATCAACATATATTTAGTAGACTATAAACTCACTTTAATCCTCGCGGAGAGTGAACGGTCAACTTCACCCTCGGTTACATAACATCACACCCGGAGAACAGTTTACTCTTTTTTCCCAAGAGTAGAGAGGATCACGTAAGCATGACCCAGTTGTGTTATTTTTAAAGTTCAAATGCTTCCCAGTTGGGCACTGTAAACGCTTCTGCGCTTCACTTTGCACAGGATGTAAGGGGGTGTCCAATAAACTAGCCCTCTCCGGGGCAATCTGTAATCTGTTCAAATACCTGAGGTGAAGGACGTTGACCAGGAAGGACCTCAGGGGGGGGGGGGGGGTTATTTGATCAGGGAGAGACGATGCCTCGGGCGAAGGTCTTATGGCTGGCGGAGTCGAGACATGAAAGCTGGATTTGTGACGTAGGCAAACAGTGATGGTTCCTGCCCACACGGAACTTACCGTACTGCTTACTGTGAAAAAAAGTGTTCGCCCGTCAGAATTTGATTTACAGACAATTTAAAGGTTGGTTTCGGATCATCTTCGCCTAAAGTGTAGTTAGGTTAGGTTTAGTTAGTCTGGGTTAGGTTCGGATAGGTATGGAAGATGTTATTTAAATTACTCAACACTAACATTGAAAACATCTCTCTCTCTGTCATTTCCCCTTCATCTCCGTCTTTCCTTCTCTCCCCCATTTCTCACCTCCTCTCTCTCTCTGCCAGCTCCTTGCCTAAGTTTCATTGACGCGGCTAATGCTTTCAAAGACACGGATACTGAAGGCGTTGATTTTGAGACGCTGTAATACAAGAACACGCTCTTCCTGGCAACCGCGCGCGCGGTCATAATGTTCCAAGTTGCAGACCTCTGAAGGCTTATTGTGTGCGCATTGACTTTTGTTGCTAACTGCGTAAATATCGACTTACGTTGAGTGTACAGGTGTAGGTAGGGTGGGTGTGGTGGTGGTAACATGGTAGCCCAGCACTCAGCGCTGGTGTAACCATGACAACCTCACTGCTCAGGAGATTGGACGTCCCCTGTGACCTTCTTTCCCTGACCTGACCTTCATACAGTGACCTCTCCTCACCTGACCTTCATAAAATACTTATCGCTAGGTGGTTACAAATTGTTACAGGAAAGTAGTTTGATAGTTTTTTGGTCACGTGATCCTATTAAAAAATAAACATGAAAGAAGTGCCATGGTTATATATATATATATATATAAACTATCAGTCATGGTTAATTTCTCTCAAATGAAATGGGCCCAACGATTATCGCTTTGGAGAACGGCCAAGTCGCTGTTATTGTCATATACTTGGGGGTACGGGAGTGTGTTATTTATAGTGGATTAGTTAATAAATGTGTTGTGGGATGTTGTGATTTACAGACTGCCCACGAGGGGGCTAGTTTATTGTGGTGGTAAAGAGAGGAAAGCCTTGGAACAACACACACTCTCCGTATTTCTTTATGTATACATACTAGATTAGGTTAAGATAACGTGAGTGTGGTTAATCTTCTGGTGAAATAAGCTGTGGGTACTAATCTTTTGGTGAAATAGGCTGAGGGTACTAAATTAAAGGTGAAATAAGCTGAGGGTGGATAATCTTCAGGTGCTTAGTCGTGTTGTCAAATGTGTACTAGTAATATCTCTCCTTCCCTCCTCCCCAGGTTTCTACTACAGAGCTTGGAAGACTTGGACAGTTCCCTACGCAAGCTTAACTCTCGCCTCTTCGTGATACGGGGCCAGCCAGCACACGTCCTTCCTGAACTGTTTAGAGTAAGTGTGTATTAGTCTGTGTGTAGTGTATGCATTTTCTGTCTGTCTGTCTATTTGTGTTTTTTCATCACTGGAGAGGAGGGGTGCATGCTGGGGAGAGGGGGGGGGGGCGTGTGAGCCAGCTGTGTGGTGAAGCAAACATTGTCTCAGACGTTTATATAAAAAGGACAGGTTGACCTCCAAACCTGACTCACACTACAGTACAGGTATTCTCGAGGTTATAATGTACTGTACTATATCCGCAAAAACTGTATCGGAAATATCCCAGTGAGAAGCAATAGTCTCTAACTACAAATGGTTCACCTGTAACTACAAAAGCTTCAACCATTGGCAGTGTGATGTATCCACCACAGCTGTAACTCAGACACTACCAATACATCACATGAGCTGTACAGTACATTACGTAATTAAGCTTATCTAAACCTCTGCTGTGAAGGGTAAAAAGCTTTAGCTGTAACCAGAAGAGTATCTCTGTAACCATTGTCAGTTACCATCTTAAATCAGTCACATCTCTTATCACTTGAGCTGTTATCAGATTAAGATGTAGGCTGAACAACAGAGTATTTGTCCCAAAATGGAAATTCACCCACAAAAGCCTATTGTTTGTGCCCGTCCGTCCTCAGCGCTGCCGGCCATACCAACGTGTGTTATATAAAGGTTATTTAACAGACAGTGGACGAGGGTCGTATTGTGGTGGTTGTGGTTATTGAATGGTGGTGTAGTAATGGTTGTAGTTGTGGTGCTAATGAAACTAACCTAACCCACGCGTTCTTTCATCCGCACCAGCATCCACACACCACTACCCACATATCCTCAATGATTATGGTGATGTGGTGTTGAATCCTTGATGTGTCGCTTATCTACAGTAGTCGTTGCATTATCTCTCTTCCTTGTTAATTCTGTCTCACTTCTCACCAGCTCTTCCTTTTCCTCTTTTCCTCACCTCTCGCCTACCAACCCTCTTTCCCTCGCCTCTCACGTGAGAACCTCACCTACCAACCCTCTTTGCCTCACCTCTCACCTGGGAGAATATAGCATTAAAAAAAGGTTGCGATTATAGCCAGCATGTCAGTCCATGTGCCTCGACGTGGATGGACTAATGCCAGAAACAGTTGCAGCTGCCCCCTCCCTCCACGTCTTAGTTTGTCAGGACAACTATTGGCCAAGACCCAACATTCCTCAGGGTGCTGCTGTTCTCCTCGTGAGTTAGTTATGTGGTTGCACTAGGAAATGGAAATATTTGATTTGGTTGCGTTAGGTTGGTCTGGATGATAGGGGTAGAGTTGTCAAAAGGAGTAGACACTTTTACCTTGATAAATCTAACCTAACCTAACACATTAGGTAGCATTAGGGTGTTTAATTGCAATAAGATGATTCTAAAGTTTTTCATTACCATATATGTGGCAAACTTAAAAGGAAGTCTGAGGGTAGTGGCAGTGTCACACCCCTGTAAGCATCATCAAAACTTACATCTACAAGTACTGAATATAATGTAAGAATATAAAGTCTTAATATGAGTGAAGGCATTTGCCCAAGTAGCCCAGCCCGTGAAATCAGAGAGGTGTTGTGCTGAAGCTGCCACCATGTTCAGGGAGTTTGTAATGTGGTTGTATAGTTATCTGTGATTATCTTTGTTTGTTGTGGGTTTTGAGTTGTGATCAAGTACTGTACTGTACTATACTGTGTATATTACTGGGGCACAGTATTTTGAATGTGTATTTCTAACTATTTCCTTATCTTTACCAGGAATGGGGAACAACGTGTCTGACTTTTGAAAAAGATCCCGAGCCATTTGGCAAGGCCCGTGATGCTAACATCGTGGCCATCGCCCGTGAGATGGGCATCAATGTCATCGTCAAGACATCGCATACCCTCTATAAACCTGAGAAGTAAGTCCTATATGTTACCCCTTGACGTCTTTACTCGGGTAGTCACGTTGTCTGGTGATAGTCTCATTATTGGTACTGTTAAGTGGATCATGTGAAGAATACTCCCCTCCCTGCTTGCTTCACCTTATGATTGCCCTCCCTTATACTTCCTTAGGGAGGTAGGTTAGGTTAGCTTAGCTTAGCTTAGCTTAGCTTAGCATAAGGGTGTTTAATCATAAGGTGAAATAAACTTGGGGTGGTGATCTTCATACCATCCTTATACGCTACAACAAGAGGAGGGTATGGGCCAGTACTTGTACCATATAATTATACTATTGTTGGTTTTATCATTATATATTACAGATGCTCCTTAACCAAGAAGAAACCCCTATTGCTTGCTCTTTCTTTCTTTTCTCGCCTTTTCCTTGTTATTCCTTTACTCCTGCAGTAACATCCTCCACTATTACATGGATAATCCACCACCAGCCCTTGATTCCAGTTTTATCCTTCACCCCCTTCCTTCCTGGTCTGTCCCCCTCCCTCCTACCATCCTCATATGAATCATACACTCTGACTCACTGGCTTAGGCAGCTAATGTACAGCACTGCATCACCAGGTTTGTGGTGTTGGTTGGGCTTAACTCTAAACATCTCGTAAAAAAAAGAAAGAAAAGACTGTATTTCTTCCACCTCGATCACAGTCGCTAAAAAGTGCATTGGTTGAGTCGGTAGCCAGAGGTCGAGAATTAAAGATTCTTTTGTCACCACAATACTCTGCCTGTGATTCACATGCCAAAAGCTTCTATGTGGGAGCCAGTGTGTAACCAAGCAAGCTGTCAGTAGTATCCAGGTACACCACCACTCAGTAGCTTTGTGTTTCCTTGACATTTTTTTGGTGCTTGTTTAATGATACTGGTTGCCATGCATTCCTTGGCTTTACTATTATAGTTTGTGTATACAGTATTATAATTTATTAAGGTTTATTCCTATTTATTGCTCCAGATGGTAGGTAACTCATTGTCAGGTGGGGAGTTCTGCACCGCCTACCACTGTGTCAACATTCCACAGCACATAATTTGGCTTTCTTCCCAGATTTGTGGTCTGACATAAGGCTTCTTGAGAGGACAGTCGGGTTCATTTGAAGGTGTTCAGAAACGGAATACCCATATCTAGAAAATGATATAGGAGTTGCTACTTGTTATCCTGCTTTACCCTGAGTCAAGTCTGCTCCAAATGACATTTTAAGGGGTTATTATGCTCGTTTATGCCTAGTCATGGTACAATAGGAATCCATTGGGGGTTCTGAGAATTGATTAGCTACAATTGGATGGTTTAGTGGGAGTAATTGACTTTTGTTTCAACTTCTCTCTTGATTAGTGTGAGTCGTCCCTCCCCTCCAGTGTTTTAGTTCCTTCCATTGCTTCACACTTTTTCTGGAGTTGACTTCAGGATAAGGTTTTGGGACTCGTGGCTGTAAGTTGGTTCTTCCCTCTTGATTACTAAGTGTTGTTGAGTCATGACAACTGTTGTGATTGAGAAGTTTTATTCTTTGTACTGTAGGAAATACTATAATGTTCATCACTGTGTTGTAGCTGTTTTGTCTGATGTGGTGGTAGTGGTGGTGTTGGGTTCACACGGGCAGACTCGAGTCCACATTGGATTTACTGATGGCAGGGAAGGTGTGGACTTGAGATTCTTATATATGGTACTAGTGTGGATGGAAGTAGTGATAAGGGAGAGTGAAGCACCAGTCAGGTCCCTCACTACTGTTGGATTACAAGTTTATATTGTCCTGTTAAGAGCCTAGTTGACCAGATGGCAGTAAGGACAGCTAGGTCAAGGTCATGTGGAGGCATGTAAAGTCAAAGGAAAGTCTGTACAAGTATATAAGTACTGAAATTGACTACTTGTATAGATAAGATGTATTCTGCCTTCTTGATGCTTAACCGTAAACATTGTTTTAACTGCCCTACATTGAGAACAGCTTATGAATAAATATACTTTGTGTAGAATACTGTAACTAAAGAATATCTTCCTTTTTTTCCTCCCTGCAGGATCATCGACAAAAATGGTGGCAAACCTCCTCTTACGTACAAATCATTCCAAAATATCTTGATGAGTATGGACTTGCCACTTCTCCCTCAAAGCACAATCACTCTAGAGGACTTGGAGGATAAGTCCACCCCCTTATCTGACGACCATGATGAGAAGTACGGAGTCCCCACCCTGGAGGAGCTGGGTAAGTGTGTGTGTGTTTACTCACAGGGGAAGTGGATGTTGAGAAGGGAACAATTCTAGGATGTTTCATCACTAGACATTATCTCATCTGTTCAGTATACTTAATCTAACCTAACCATGGTTTCATTGCCTCCAAAATAATGACATTACAGTATGATTTAATTTTACTAAATATAATGAGGTACATTATTCAGTAGACAGGTGACAAATGTCCGCCCACCTCTGTACAGACCTCGGTTAGTTATGCTGTGATGTAATAACTGTATTAAATCAAAAGTAATCTTAAAATATGGAAGATTAATTTACTTTTCCATACTGTGCAATACATTTGTCTCGGCACGTGGATCACTCCATATGAAGAGGATAAACATGGTGTGATGGATTTGTTGCAATAGCTTATTATTTATTAACTTTTTATATTTTTTTCAGGCTTTGAAACGGAGACCCTACATCAGACGGGCTGGAAGGGAGGCGAGAGCGAGGCCCTGACCAGACTAGAACACCACTTGGAGCGTAAAGCATGGGTGGCCTCTTTTGGCCGACCCAAGATGACCCCACAGTCACTCTACCCATCTCGCACAGGACTCTCGCCTTACCTCAGATTTGGCTGTTTGTCTTGTCGGAGATTTTTCGCCGAGCTTAATGATCTTTACAGAAAGGTACATTATGTGGTGTAAATTAACTGAGGATATGTTACCATTATTGGTCTGTGTAGTTGAAGTGTTAGAGCTAACTGTAGGAAATTGTGGAAGCCTTCGAGTTAGATAGGTAGAAATTTATTCTATAAAATTGTCATACAAGTTTGCGTTGATTCACCAAGTATACACACAGTGAAGATTTACATTTCATCATGTACATTATATAGACAATGCAGGTATACAGTTCAGAGTACAGTACAGTATATACTGTATAGACAGTGCAGGTGCCATATGTATTTTAGCATGTATATACTGAAGACAATGCAGGTACACAGCTCCTTCCCGACTTACGACGGGGTTAGGGACCCAAATCCAGGTCGTAAGTCGAAAATGCTTAAATAATACATAGAAAATCTAAAATGGGTGTCTCTTTTCTTCTCAGCACCACAAAACTCACTGTTAAGCTTGCCAGCCATTTTAAAGTGAATTGGAAACATAAATTTTGTCTGTGTACTGACGTTGGAACTCGAAAATATGTAATTTGACAATTTTGGTACGACTGAGGCAGATCGTAAGTGCGGGTGGTCGTAAGTCGGGGAGGAGCTGTATATAGTTGTGCATGCATACTGTATAGGCAATACAGATATACAATTGAGCATGCATCAAAACAGCACAGGTAAATACAGTTCTACATACATTCAGACAAAACTGTACAGGTATACAATGTATGTAGACCAGGCAGGTTGTCAAACAATGGACCTAGAGTGTTTTGGATTCATAAAAAAATGTAGTTCAGTTTGATAAATGGCATTTGAAAGGAAATCCTTTGGTAGACTGACTACACTAATTAACTAGAGCACAGATACTGGTATTACAAATAAAAATGATTAAAGTTTAGCATGTAGAAGTGCCTTAAAGAATGTTTATAAAAAAAAATAATCGAAGAAATCTCGAGGAATATGTCAAAAGAAAAATCCTGTTTGGGTCTGGTCAGATGGAAGTGAAAGTAGAATTAACACTTTCCTCTGCACTGAATTATAATTTTAGTACGTTGTTTCTAAGTTCTTAGTTTAGTGCAGTACGACACCACCGTTATGTGACTTGTATTATTCACCTTTCACTCGGCTAACCAAACTTGCGTTAGAATGTAAATATCATGGTACTGTACTGTCATCCCTCGAGTTAGACAATTTTGTACCTTGAGCAAGCTAGGTTAGGTTAGGTTACGTTAGGATAGGTTAGGATAGGATATTTTAGGTTAGGTTAAGTTACTGTATCATAATGCATTCCAGCCTGAAGCCATGTAAATGAGTCTTCACCAGTTGTTGTATTCATTTCTATACTGTAATGTGTTTACTTCTCCTCCATACACTTGATCTACACAACAGGACTCTATACTGTAAAGTATTATGACATTCCTTTACCTTGTCTCTTAATACTGCAACACAAGGATTAATATAATTTTTGTTCACTTGACAGATAAGAAAATCACCACCTCCTCTGTCACTACACGGTCAGTTGCTGTGGCGGGAGTTTTACTACACGGCGGCGACAAACAACCCCAAGTTTGACCATATGGAGGGCAACCCTATATGCGTTCAAATACCCTGGGACAAAAACCCTGAAGCTCTTGCTAAATGGGCTAATGTAAGTACTGGGCTGTGTGACGGGTCTTGGGTGGGTGGCTATAGTACAGTATCGCCATCTACGGATTTTTTCCCCCGTTAATTCTGAATATTTGGATGAAGCTGGATACTTGGACCTGATGGCTTCCTCCATACATGTGACATAAGATGGTAAATAAGATAGACACTTTGGCCTATAGAGATTGTCATGTATTCTGGGTGATTGGATGGGAATCAAATCATATCATTGTGTGCGATTAACTTATAAAAGTGTGGTGTTCAAATGTTCAGCTCTGTCTTTTAAACATTTAATTGTGTAGAGTTTTATAAATGTTGTTGATGGCCACTGTTTTTATATTCAGTATAACAAGTCCACAAACAGAGTAAACATTTCAACACAAATGATGACTAACTGTATGGTGATTATTATTACATTTATAGAAGTGAAATCGTTTAGTTTATACAAATACATTTTCTCTGCAGGGCCAAACAGGTTATCCATGGGTGGACGCTATCATGACACAACTGCGGAAAGAAGGATGGATCCACAATGTAGCCCGACACGCTGTTGCTTGTTTCCTGACCCGTGGGGACTTGTGGGTGTCCTGGGAAGAGGGAATGAAGGTGTGTGTGTATTCAGTAGATATATAGAGCTTTTTCTTCTATAGTGCAGAATCATTATGAGCTTCAACTAGTTACACTAGAGAAAAATAAAAGCTGTGATGAATGAAGTAAGAAGACCCGTGAAGTCGTACGCTGGTGATGTTATTGAAGCAAACGTATTTTACAGCATAAAAGACGCACTCAAATTTCAGGAGAAAAACTTTTGAGCGTATTTTTTCCTGTATCTTCGGTTTTCTTAAAAAAATAGGATACATTAAAATCAGATTCAAAGTGGTAGTACAGTACTCATTCGGCTGTTATTGGTTTGATCATCACTGGTTATTCTAAGAGATTCACTCAACACTCCAAAATGTGAAATGGCAACTCAATACAAGTCTCTGCTGCACACTGATAGAGGACGTTATTCGTTGGTAAGACTCCAAATGTGAGGTAATGGTTGTTGGCTTTATTTACTGATATTGCCATAATTTTAAATTTCTTTCAAAAGCTTAAGGATGTTTCCTAATAAGATATTAAGATAAATGTTACAGGTGTGATATTATTAGATAGTAATCTTTTATGAGTTCAGAAATGGTTACTGCTTAGCTCTGAAGAGTTGGATGCTGTACGGATGTTAATTGTCTTGGGTTATCATCGGTAGTTATAAATCCAGCTTTATATTTACAATTCAGTAATTCCTTATTAATTTATAAATTAATAGTACATTCTGTAATTTGTTTAAGCAAACAATAACTTATTTTTTATTGTGGAGTTGGGTTAGGTAGAACTTTACTGGAGACAGCAACTGGGGGATTCATTACCTTACGGGAGACTGCATCTTCATTTATAGGATGGGAGGTGATTTGTTGATCCGTTCTTCAGAAAACAGTGCGTCTTGTATGCCACAAAATACCATAGTACTTGTATGGTGATGGTACTATAGGAGGGCACGACTGTAGCCTCTCGAGTCATCAGGTTTCTTTTCTACTTCCTTTAGTAAAAGTTTAAGGAAATTTAAGTAAGGTGAACTGCAGTAGAAATGATGATTAATTTTAAGATTCTTGAATTGTCTGTTTGTGTGAATTTATGGAGACATCAATAGAAAGAATGTATAATTGATACACTACCGTATTATACAAAGGACCAAATACATTATACAGTAGTTTTGAAAAGTGGAGTGAGTAATAATGGACTGCAAGCAATTTATGATGTGCTTCACACTTAAGGGAAGTCTTGTAGCACAAAATGTGGGTAGATGCGTTTATTTCCAATGACTGATAGATAATATCATTACTTTCTTCTTATTTCTTATACAAGTAACTTTAAATTATAACTTGTTGATGGGGCTATTTAAAATATAGTGACAGTATATGATATTATGTAATTTTCACCTGGCTTCTTATAATTTGTTTATTTCTTTTTCCTCAGGTTTTTGATGAATTACTTCTGGATGCAGACTGGTCTGTAAATGCTGGGTCTTGGATGTGGCTCTCCTGTTCATCCTTTTTCCAGCAGTTTTTCCATTGTTATTGTCCTGTACGATACGGTAGGAAAGCAGACCCTAATGGTGATTATATCAGGTAAGATATTTTGACTTGGCAAAAAAGCTGTACTGTATGTGCTTGCCTGTAAAGTTGTCTTCCCGTGTTAGAGACCGCTGAGTCCTGAACAGTGTGAGAACCTCCATTGCAAGAAGTCACTACTGTACCTTCTTTTTAGGCCTTAGTGACTGTCAACATCCCCTACTGACACCCTCACACTCAAGTCCACTGTACCACTTCCTTGTCCCATGTCACAGTAATTTCCCCTTGTGAAAAGAAAGAAGCTTGTCCTGTGATCTTAATTCAACCAATTCTTTGTATGTAAGTGTATTAGTGGGTAACATGTTCTAGCTATCTGTTAATCCATCATATTTTTGCTTGGTTATTTCAGTGTCCTTGGGGGGGGATATTGTTTAGTGTGTGGAAAATTAAGTAATGCTGCTTGATAGGAGTCGTCCTATTCATCAGTTAACTTTCCCGGTGCTGTACAAGTTCTATTTAACTAATGAACTATCAGGTTCTTGTGTTTATATTCTCAAAATGTTTTAAAATAGTCTTACTTGAGGTTGATGCAGTTTGTCATCAGAGTTTATTTTGTAGAAATTTATTTTAAGTTTACATTAATCACATGAGAAGGTGGATGACTAGAATTAAAAAAAGGTATAAAACATTTTGAAAGGATGAATACAAGTGAACATGCAGGGAAGGTGGGTGAAAGTAAGGATACGGGTGAAGGGATGGATGACGTTAGATCAGGAGAGAAAGTGGCTGAGCTAAGATGTGTTGACAAAATACAGGACACTACTGTATTCTTTCTGAGAAAAGACACAAAAGTTGGTACAGTACAATACAGGTACACCTCTATTTATGGTATTTCGGTTTTACAGTAGAAAGTAATTTTAATTATTCGATTTACAATTTTTAATTTATTTTTTATTTTTACAATGTTTTATTTTCATGGTGGAAAATATGCAATTATCAGTTATATCTGAAGAAAATGAACCTTACATACTGTCCAGGCAGTTTGACGCTACAGCAGGTCTTAAAATAATTGTTTACAAGCCAGTGGAATCTTTCGAATCCAGCTCCATGCTTCTTCACAACTCTCCAGCAATTTCTTGTATTTTTTAGAGATTTACACTATTTAAGAGAAGTCGGGAAAGTGACCAGTGAATCAAATTAGCAAAACCAATACCCCTAGCGGTAAGAGACCGAACTAAGACACCACTTTAGACTTTAACTTGCAGGGGATGAGCTGTGCCGAGGCTGGTGAAAACACAGCGGCCATCGAGAGAGTTTTGGTACGACAGCACAGTGACTCGGTCAACTGTTGAAGTTGTTTTGTTTTGTCATTAAATTGTTGCTGATGTGTGCTGTATTTTCATTTCATTATACAGTACAAGGAAATTTTTAAGTTGTATTGTGAAGTGTCATTTTATTACATGTTGGAGAATTTATTTATTTATTCAATTACACATCTTCCAAGCTGTGACGAAATATGATTCGTTTTACAATTATTTGGTTTACAAGTGTTATCTGGAGCACACCCCTATCATAAGTCGAGGTGTACCTGTACAAATATTCAGAAGTGCCGTGTCAACCCCTTGTATTTATTTCCATTTATTTGAATTGTCGTTGTTTTCAACTTATAGAATGTACTTGCCCGTACTCAAGAACTTTCCCACAAAGTATATTCACGAGCCCTGGACCGCTCCCGAGTCGGTGCAGCGAGCGGCCAAGTGTGTCATTGGACGTGACTACCCGATGCCCATGGTGGATCACATCAAGCAGAGCCAGAACAACATTGAAAGGATGAAACAGGTGTACCAACAACTTGCTCACTACAGAGGAAAAAGTAAGTATTACTCATGAACTGTTGTAACTGCTTATTGTAGTGAACCAAATGAGCACAACTGTAATTTTATCAGTTATAAGACCCACCCAAGAAAACATATGAAGACCATCTTATAAAAGGCACCTTTTAGCTTGTGTCCTCTAGCAGCTTACAGGACACTTCCAAGTCATCAAACAAACTCTAGTTATGTCTACCAGGTTTGATCTGTAAACCTGATTAAGGTAAACTTATTGTCCCCCCTTCCCAAACACACCCATTGCCTCTTAAGGTTTTAGTAGACTTTGTCTCATGAGGACCACTGTTGCATCTGATGGGAAGGAAAGGTTGGCAGAGTTACCCAATATTGGTTAATAGATCAACCATGGCTGACACTGCAGGGCCATTTAGTAAATTGAACCCTCATGTAAGCAGCTTGTATTATAAAGTCTGCCAGGCCAGAAACTCTACCAGATAGTAGTTGCTGGATAATTAAAGTACAGTACTCTGTAAACATGATTCCCCCCCCCCCATGTTAAAGCTTTGTATCACCTGAACATCACCCCCCCCCCCCTTTTCATCTACTGATTAATCATCCTAACAGTACTTGGGGGAGGGGGGGGAGGCATTAGGGTACTTAAATTTATTGTGAAATAATCTTGGGGCTAATTTTAAGGTTTCAGCACAGCTAAAGGATACCCATAAAAAATTTGTTCAATATATATTTATATGCAGATGGGTTTTACATACTCCTGTATTAATAATAATTTGGGTAAAAAATAATGTAAAGGTAATGTTATAATTATGAGTCTTAGATTCACTTGGTAAATATACATACAGTACTGGTAACTGATATTGTTGTTCACCCAGTTAATCCTGCCATCAAATCTCCAACGGTTGATCACTATCCATCACCTCCACCTGAGTTTGAGAAGAAGAGAAGCAGCAAAACAAACAAAAATGATCTCCAGTACGACTCTAACTACAGAGTTCAAGTGCAGGCCTGACTCAAATGTGCCTCGGATGACCATGAATGCTGAGTTCATAAACTCGGGAAATGCTGCTGCTCTTTTCAGAGGACCTGAGAAGACTGAAATTTAGTTCTCAAGACAAAACCAAGTTGATAAGTGATGGTTAACCATGAGAGACCGTGATAAATATAGATGGTTGACTGAGGGAAGTGAGAAACTTTTGTGGGACTCGCTACACTATGTAGTTGTTCCTGCAGCCACCCTTGTCCGGCACCCAGTTTGAATCGTTTGATTATGAAAAGATCACATCCCAAGGATGCATCTTTATTACCAGAAAGAAAGACTCTGCTCCTTGAGACTTGTTAGCTTTAAAATGAGAGTGAATAAGAGGCAAGCGTTGAACCTCTTGGTGTTGACACTTCAGAGAAAGATGGTGTTGACACTTAAGAGAAAGATCATGTAACTTAAGGTAGGCAAAAGGGATCAATGGATGTCGATTTAAGAAAACATTTAGTGTTAAATTTTTAAAAAGTAGGATTAAATTTAAGGTAAAATCTAGCCATGTACTTTTTGTCAGTGAGACGACGGTGTAGTTATGTTGGGTTCATCTTCCACCTTGACTCTAGTGTGCCACCATACTTGCCTCTTTCTTGTCTTGCTATTTTTTTTTCTTTTGGCAAATGACTGATCAGCTACGGATCATGGTGATTTAATCAAAATCAGTGACTCATTGGGTAATGGATAATATTTTTAATGTGAAGAAATAGTCATTAAAGTTCTAAATATATTTTTTAATATTTTTTTTTGTCTTCACAATCACGTTCTTCAGACAGTTTGTGTTGTACACCAGCCAGGATAACTTGAGGGAGGAACTAGTGCAAACTCTCCAACAATACAATCCTGACATTTCTGCACTATTACGTATTGTATGTAAATATATTTTTTTCACAAAACCTTAAAAAACAAAAACAAATAATGTACTAACCAGTGATGCATATGATGATGGGAATAGAATCGGTTTTAAAATATTTCATATCTTACATTAAAAAAAGTGGAGGCAAATGTTGGACTAATATTACCGGTGTATTTAAACCTGTCAACACAGGCAGACCTTGATTTATGAATGCCCCATTTACTAAAATAAAATAACGTTTGCATTATTCAAATACAGGTTGACAACCCTTTATCAGAAATTCCGAAAAGCTCTGGAAACCGAAAGTTTTTTTTGGTGGAGCAAAACTTTTTTTTTTATTATAAACAGGGATTAGCCCACCCAGGCATAGATCACTCACCCACATCAGGGCCTGGGGGTCAAAAATGTAATAGTAATAATGATTATAATAATAATTATTCATAGTAAATAAAAATTTTAATAAAAAATACACCAAAATAAAATAATGATAATAACAATAATACTGTAATAATAATAAAATAATAATAATAAAGAAATACAAGAATAAAAAAAGATCAAGTGAGAAACACGACCTAGACCTATGAATTATTATTATATTTTCGCCCCCAGGTCCCAATGTGTGTCAGTAACTTGTGCCCGGATGGGCTACTACACCTGTGTAAAAAAAAAAACCATTCTGAAAACCAAAAAATTCCGAAATGCCTCTGTCCCCAAGGATTTCTGATCAGGGATTTCCAACCTGTACTGTTAGATGATGTGGTATTGACGCCAGCATCTCTGAGTGTACAACTACACAAGTAAACACTACTGTACCATGAATGCTCAAAACTACAGACAAAAAAAAACCCCACATATGAAAGGATCTCCCATACTGTAACACGAGAGGAGACAACAGTGACGCTACACCACACAAGGTTGGCGTTCATAATTTGGATTAGAGAAACTTATTACTACAAGTACTATACTGTATTAAATTGTGAGTATTAATTTTACTCGGTTTTCCATAAATTATTCCACACACAGGCCTTGAGTACATTAGAGAAAGATTATTTTTCTTGAATCCTAAGAAGCTTGTCTCCTATTATATATTGCAAGTTGCTGGGAAATATCCTTTGATTTAAGTTTCTGATTCACAATGTTTCTCGTGATTACATCCCTATTGTAAATTTGGGTCTGCCTGTATACATATATTGAATATTATACTGTATGTCAGATAAAAACTAATTTATAATTTGAAATACTTGGTTAACTGTGTATAGCTGCATAACAAACAGTTCAGCTGATGCAACACACTAAACCCACAATACTTGCTTAAGTCACTCTGGTCTTTGGATGTGTGTAGATTAATGAGAAGAAATTATCTTTGTCAATACATTGTCTTTACTTCAGTTTTATTGGAATATTTGAACAAATAAAAACTTAAATTCTTGCTCTGAACGACAGACCACAGTCATCATATGTTATCTTTGATTGAGTGAACATTTCAACCTGTAAAATACCAAGTTTTTCAGCTCTTGAGAGAACAATACTTTCTTGATCTTTAGATAACTCCTATGAAATATATAAAAACTTCTGTCTACTATTATGTAACTCATTTTATTTATACATGTAAAAAGATTAAATATTAAAGAATTTATTTACTTAGTTATAACTGCTATTTCCTACAATAACCTCAAGATACACCCGAGAAACTTTATCGTTGTATTGAAAAGTTAAAACTGTTTATTATTCATTACAAGTCATGGTAAGTAATGCAGTAGTCTCCCCAGATGAAGGTGAGGGATGTTTAAAGTGTTATACTGTATCCATACTGCAGTACAGTCTAGCTATGTACATAAACTGTGATGGCCGCTGGTGTGATAAACTTTCTTAATAACTGTGTGTGTGTAAATAGTTGTTCCGAGATGGATGGTTAATTTTCCACCTATAAAGTCTGTTGTCATGTGTTCATGTAAAATAGTTCAGTGCTTTGAAACTTTCTTAATTTGATGTTCAAAAGTTGGTAAATGGTTGAAAATACTGAATGGTTGGCTCTTGTGCCACTGTGGTCAAATAACACTGCCTGGCCTACATGGTACACATTTTTACTACAAACTTGGAATTCATTCCTCCTATACAACCCAGTCAATGTCAAGCAGTAAACAAATGAGGCATTGATTAATGCAAAGGCAAACTTGACACCCTTGCAAAAATGCGATTTTTGCACCATTCATTTCGAAAGTTTGTTCTACTATGACACAAGATTGTATGACATTTCACCTTTGGTTTACTGGCAAAATCCCATTGAATTATATGGTGTAAAACTCCCGGGGTCTGCTGCCTCTGGTAATTTCAGTGTCTGGCGAGAGTAAAGCAAAGTCAAACTCGCCCGGTGACCTGCCTTACTCTCAGAGTTAATCAGCATGTTGGGAAGGAGCGTGCCAACCAAGAGAAGCCCACTACATTCTATTGTTGGCGTCCTGGAGGAGGAAGATGTATCTGATGATGATCAGATAATGCTACTAGCCACCTACCCTATCCCCCCCTGCTACCTAGTTCTTTAGCACAGCATAATCATCTACAGTAAGTGTTACCATTATTTTTATTATTTTTTAACTTTATTACAATATAAATTAATCGTTTTGTGTTCAGAACTTTATTATTTTCATGAATGTTAATTTCACACCATTTCATTATTTGATGTTAATGTGTACCAAAATCCTACAGCACACTTCACTTATTACAAGGATCATATTCTGCATTAAATCGCCTTTAAAATGACTCGCTGAACAGAATGATGAATTTTTGGAGGTTCTATGACATTTGGAGTACAATATGTACAAACTTTAAACCCCATTTTCTCAAAACTTAGTTTTGGCGCGTTCACCCTTGCATTAATCAGCACCTCGTATACATACAGTGCGTGATACATCTACTTAACGGACTAGTATATGGAGAGAAAAGTTCGTTACATTGAGGGCGTTAGATGTGAAACCTCCATCTAACGAACTATACAGAGATGAGAGCCCGTTGTATCGAGGATCCATTAGATATGAACCCCCCCATCTAATGGATTATATAGAGATAAATCCATTATATAGAAGTTTCACTGTAGATCATTTAGCCAGATCCTTTGCCATGTGACTACTACTGTATCACTGAACTGTTAAGCAATTTCATAGTAGATAATTATAAAGGATTATTAAGATACTGTATTAACTCCCCACCACCACTACATGGTTGTCCGAGTGCACAAGCTCCAAAAAATATCTTTACGATCTTGTGTTAGACAATATGACACAACGGACCAAGGATTTTGAGAACCCTATCAAAACAACAGGAGTCCTGGTGTTCATTTTGAAATTCATGGAACCCCCCCATAAAGATACCTTTTTGGTGTGGGTGTACAAGGATAATATAAGTACAGTACTGTAAATGTATACGATCCTGTACTCTGTGCCTCTATGGACAAATAATTACTTTACCAATATTTTTCCTTTCAGAAATTTGCTTAGATGCTTCAATTATTTGATCAAATTGCCAAACAGAGTCAATACAAGGACGAAGCTCTTCTGATGTGATCATTTTGAGGATTTCTTCCCAGCCCTGGCGGAAGGTTGCGGGGTCTTTGCTCCGGAGTTCATTCAGGTTAAATCCTGCAAAAAAATGTCCTTTAATTACAGATTATGGTTGAAAATAGTTGTTTCTCATATTTTGAAGGCTATAAGAATATGTTGTACAGCCAATCAAAAAAGAATTGAGACTCCCAGGATCCGGTGGAATAGAAAACGAGTGATAACCTCAGATGTGCTCTTGTATCAGCTGGTCTGGTCTACGCCCGATGTTCCATATTTTTTTGGATGGTCTCCAGGCATTTTTATCACCAAGCGCTCTCCCTCCCCCCCCCTCCTTTGTTTTACTTGAAAAGGAATGAAATTTTCATGTTCGAATAAAGACCAGATATTGACTAATACTTAAAAACAAAATCAAATACAAGTATCCCTCACTATACTAATGGGTTAGGTTTGTATGGCAAATAAAACAACAAACAGTACGGAAAAAATAGGGTTCAGTTCCCCAGTGACAAGAAAACCCCAATATTATACCATTAGGGAAGAACTGAATGAAAGTTTAACACAGCCGCCATTTGTATAGATGCAGCTCCATGGCCTCAAGCCTCGCCATAGCAACTCAGCCAGGCTGGGAATGCTATCTCTGCCGACCCTCAGTAACATTTCCCCCTCCCACTCTCATAAACAAAGAAACGTTTATTCCCTGTTTTTTTTTTACCTTATTTTAGTTATTAATTTAATTTTTTTGGCACAATATAAGCGTAGGATCATGAATAAGAAAAATATGAAGTTATATTTATCAACCTGAAATTTTGAGTTGAAAAATAACAGTAATATAACTCGCACCTCTGCCTGGTAGGGTGAGAGCTGGGGGGTGTGGCCGCACCAGCTGACTCCCGGGGTGCACGATTAAATTTTTTACTGGGACCCAAATTCGTATAAGTCGGGGAAGGTTTTGTAACATAATAAGTGGTGGTAATTTAGGAAATTCATGTAAGCAACTAAATATTCAATTCTACATTTCTGCCATGAACCTGCTTCAAGCTTCTTTATGAATATTTACTAATTTATGCTCATGGGCGGCAAATATCATATTCCAAATAACTGTTTTTTCATCATGGCAAATACTGCCACACTAAAGAGATTAAAAGTAACTAATAAAAGTAATGGTGAATATTGGCAAAGTTTGAGGGCCCCCAGCCTGGGCTCCCCGGCACTGTTGTGAACAGTAGGATATAAACAGGTGGAGGAGACTACATGTGCCGCCCTACTAGACAACAGGAGACAGTACAGTATGATGAACACAAGATTCATAAATAGTAAACCAGCCTTAAAAGTAAACAGTAAAGCACATTGTCTCCATACCAGCAACGGCGTGGTTCTTCATGATGAGTGAGTAAGGGGAGACATTCTTTGTTGTCCACCAGGTCTTGAGGACGCGCCACAAGCTTCGATGTTCGTTTCCAACCATTCCCCGTGCACCAATCAGTATCACCTGTTGCTCAAAATGCCCATTGTTATTGAGAATATAACCTCCTGAATCACTTAAATATAGATTATAATTAAAGTGAAAATTTAAAAGGGGTATTTTTTCATTTCAGGAAAGTGAATACAGTATTAATATAAACTGGACTTTTTATTTACCCAAAGGCTCAATTTATGAAAGTTTTGAGTGACAATGGGTTGTACACCGAGGGTGTCCTGTAATGGAAAGATAACTTCCCAATTATCTGAGAAATATTGAGTCAAATCATAATTGTACCAGTTTCTTAAGTCTAGGACAGTACAGAGAGAGGATAACTTACCTTACCGAGTGGTTCAAGAAGATCCTGGCTTATGGTGAAGTTTGTCCCACCGAGATTATCCAACACAATGCTCACTCCTCGGGGTCGCTGCTCCAACACTTCTCTATGGTAGTCCTGTGTGTGTTAAGTTTCACTATCTAAAGCTTTGTGTTTAAACAGTACACAGAAAGAGAAACTCAATGGTGGTGTATTATTAATGTACGTCTTCGATAAGTTTGCCCCCGAGCACGAAGTCAATGCATCCGTGATGAGGACCATAAACAGGGGCAAGACTGGAAATACCTTCTTACTGGGGTACACGCTATCCATAAAGGCCCGTCCACACGATCGAGCAGTGCCCGGCGGGCACGTGCTAAATGCCCGTTATCGGGCAAAATTGGCGGGCAAACCAGCGGATTGCCGGTGCCCGTCGTTGAGCGAAATCATGGTCCGCCTGCCTGGTGGTTTGCTGCCGGATATGAGCGACGACTCTGCCAGACAAACGATAAAACTGGAAAACCGACATTCCTATAATATTTTCATTAATATTCAACATTACACAAGCCTGCAATACAAGACACATGTTATTATTGGAACCTCACGTGACTGTCAAAAACAGCTGATCACTACGCCACCGCTGACCTCGGGGGTCGGGGTCCTCAAGTCGGTGAGGTATGAACAGAGATACTGTCAGAAGGTAAGCTAGTACTTTGTAAAACCTGAGTTAAGTACTGCAAATGTGATACGTATATGTTCCCCGCTCGGTCCAGATGTCCAGTGTATAACCAAATAAGCTTATGCAATGTACATTATTGGCGTGACAATAAACGGGAGATTGTTTATGTATTATGTAATGAGGACATTCGTGTGTGTTCTTCGTTCCTGCCGCTCTCCTCACTCTAGTCCCATAGCTTCCTGTCTGTGCATATCATAATTCTAACATTATTCAATGAATTTTTATGTACTACAAATCTCACCTGTAAGTAATCTTCCTTGAATACTTCATACATGGCTTGACAAGTTGCAGGGATTATGCGAGACAAACTTTGTTTTGATATCCTCGTTCTATACTGAAGTGACGTGTAGGTGCACCCAGTTGAAAGATATATGAGCATTGCCTCTAGACGAGCCTCTGCAGATATACTCTCCCTCATATTGGTATCCTGTTTTTTTATATATGGTTCCACTTTTGCTAGGAGTTTGTAAAAGGTGTTGGGTTCCATTCTCATGTAATTGGTGAAGTCTTGCTCATGTCCATCTTGCAGTTCACGTAAAATCGTGGCATGACTTCCTAATACTTTTCTTCGACCTAACCACTCTTTGCACCATTCCCTTTTCTGCATTTGGTTCTCTTTGCACATAGCAGCAATTATTATAGTACACAACGCTATGCTCTTCGCTTTAACTGTCCAGCGATTATTCCTGCGACACACCATGGTGATCGTACCACACCCGCCACTGCCAACCACCTACTAGCTACCGGCGCCCGACTATGACTGCCGCCAACCACCCCCGTGTGTACAACAACACACAGGCTTTGCCCAGTAAACGGGCAAAGCCCGCTGGGCACTGCTCGATCGTGTGGACAGGGCTTAAAGGTATCTTTACGGAGGTTCCGATGAATTTCAAAATGAACACTGACTCCCGTTGTCTCGGTAGGGTCGTCAAAATCCTGTTGTGTCATATTGTCTGACGCAAGATCGTAAAGATACATTTTAGAGAGAGTCTACCTCTCTTTCTGTAGCCAAGGCAGGTAAAAGGATAATATTTCAAGCTATATGTAGTGTAATGGTCATGATAAGAGCTAACCTGAAAACCTTAAGGATTCATATTACGCTCAAACGTCCACAAAACCTTCCGAGTCCCCCAGTGGAAACGTCCCCCGTTTTCTCTGTTTCCCCCGCCTTTGTCTATGGGAGCAGACGCTGTATGCTGGGACCTGTTGCCATCCATTCCTTTGTAATCAATTTAATTCTGCTTTCGATAGCTGAGTCAGAGCATTGTTAGTGAAGATAATAGTAGAGAATGAAAATGAGTTCATAGTCTCAATTTCAACGTCAGAGGGTACCGTAAATTAATTCATTGGAATAGGAGTAGCTGGACTCCCTGGCCTAGTTTGAGTGAGGGCGCCGCGGGCATTTTAACCGTTAGTAAGTGCCCGTCCCTTCATCCATACAGGTATGCCATTCCACGCTGTGTTGTAATTTGCCCTTCTTTAAGTGATTTGACCCAATTGATAGTTGATTGTGCAAGTGTTACAGTAACGTAGTTGATATGCTCTGAGTAAAGTCATATTTACGTCTTTAACGTCCCCTGAAACGTGTTGTTGTTGTCACCGGTTAGTAAGTGCCCGTCCCTTCATCCATACAGGTCCCTAACGCAGCCTAGGCCGTGTCTGTAGGGTGGATGTTGTATCCACTATGTCTGGGGACATGTCCGAGGTCCAGTAGGATCAGTTACCTTCGTGAGACCCGGCCGTCAGACACTTCAGACCACCTATAGCCCCCATAGCTGGCTCGTCTGGCCCTAACGCTCGGTCCACGAGGTGACCCCGGACCACCAAGCCACACACCACTACCAGCCCCCATCATTGGTGGATGAGTGTCTACCTCAGTAGGGCTATATTTGTGTGGTGGAATTAACCCACTGGGATCTCCAGAGTTCGTCAGATAGTACTCCATGGTGGCTGGACCCCATGGCTGTTGCTTGAGTATCACTCCTGACGACTGAGTGTTGTAGTGGCAGTTGCTCTAATATGTATGGTGCTAAGTGACTATCCTAGTTGTGCTATTGAGTATGTCCACCCAGTAGGGTTGGAAGTGTATTGATTATGTCCACCCAGTAATGGTGTGAGTATGTTGTGCCTGAGGGCCTAGTACGAGATTTCGTCTGTTAGTACAAACCAATTCTTTCTTCTAATTTCATATTCATGTTTAAATAAACTTTGTATTTGTATAATTGTGTATATTATTTACCTACAGTATTTACCGTTATTTCTTCCCTATTGCTTGATACTATCATTACACCTACCCACGAGCCTCCTATCGTCACGCTACCAATGGTGATATATAAGAGTAAAAGGAATTGTTACTGGCACACAGGCCCTCATGAAGGGTGGCAGTAGCAGCCCTCATAAATGGTGGCAGCTCAAGCCCTCATAGTAGTACTAAATAATACACTTGACTAATATGTTAGAGGTGAAGGAGTTTCTGTCGATAGTGATTTAATTCTTAGCATGATAAGGCGATAGAAAATGCGTTGTTGCCACAGAGGAGCTGACGTAATCCCTCCTGAATATAAGTTGTCATACAGGAGCTGACAATGCCTCCTGAATACTGTATAGGTTGTCATAGGATAAGAACAGAAAGAAGTAATATAAAACATTATTCTGTGGACTAATGGAAATAAACTCATTCACCTGGATTATGCAATTGATGGTGTACTATTACCAGGTAACACACTGGACTCCTACTTACAGGTAATGTACACTGTTTCTCAGGTAAATAATTCCTCTCGCCTGCCTGTTGGGAGACGCCCGGCAGCTGTGGGTGAGTACATATTGTTTTCCTCTGTATAACTCTCTCTTATCTTTGTATTTTTTTACATTGGGTTTCAATCTTTATCTTATATTTTATTCTCTCATATTCTTATTTTTTTAATTGTATTTGTTTTATCATTTCCAATCACCAGTAATTAAGTAGATTATTCTGGCTAACAATTACTGTAGTATTAATTTTATGACCATTATACAGTACTGATTCATTGGGCCAAAAAATTTATAATCCTTCCTCAGTTATAACATTTACTATGGCTAGGAGTACTGTATAGAGATATTTCCAACAGGCAACCGAGAACACACACTCACACTCGCTCAGGCCAGAGTGTCAATGAACGGAAACATTTCAAAACACGAGAAACATTACCGATTCCCACTATTGTACCGAGAAACACGTACCTGGTCATAGTGGATGGGATGATCAACGCCGTTCTCTTTAATGGCCTCGTGTTTTTGAAGGGAGGCCGTCCCAAACACAGTCACACCTGGGACAGTTTTAGCGAGTTGTGTAGCTGCCCAGCCGACACCACCTGGTTATTGGGTGACACAACAGGCACTTAAGTTTCCTACAAACATGGACCATGTAAGTCAAAGAAGATTCCTGACAATGTGTTTTAACTCTCTAGATATTAAGAAGTAGAATTATATCAGACTTATTTTACTCATGTGACTAAATAAAGGAACTATAATTATTTTATCATGTGCACCACCATTTACTATTAGACTGTCTAATAACCCCTCACCCCCAAGCTACAGCCCTGGTCAGAGAATGTGCCTACCAAAACAAAAATAACAACAACTGATGCTGATGAAGACATATATTAAAGGGAAGATGTGATTACGAATTACATCCTTTTCTTTGTGTCAAGATGAAGAGGGAATAAAATTTTAATTCTGAAACATGGCTACAGAGATCTGGTGAGACATCTGGGCCCAAAAACACAGATTGTTCTCATAAATCATCCTAAGATTCTCCACTCCAATGGTAACCTAACCTCATCCCTCCAAAAAAAAAGTCAGGGTGGTTAATCTTAAGTGAAATAAACTGACAGGAGAACCTTCAGGTGATCCTCAATGACTGTACCAGGTAAAGTTACACACGACCAACCTGCTGCACTGTGTATGAGTACAGCACCACCAGCTCTCAGTCCTCCAAGATGAAACAAGGAAAAATATGCAGTGAGGTAACTGATGGTGAATGATGCAGCCACCTCGAAGCTTAAGTTATCTGGGATGACCAAGAGGGAGTCCGCGGTAACTGTGATCAACTCGGCACAAGCCCCGGCCTGTGGACAGTGCACGACGACTCGATTTCCTACCTGTTGAAAATTACATACCATAGAATGTTACAGTGAACTACAAAAGTTGTTAACACTCTCACACACTGAGACACAAGAAGGCATCAATGATAATCTCGTCCAATTGGAAGTAAACCTTAAAAGTGGAAAAGACACTCTGATCCATGGGTCAAATGAGAAAGGTTGTGTTAGGTGGCAGGAACATCACCTTGATGTTGTCTGTCCAGCCTTCCATGCTGGGTGGGGGTGCAGAAGTGTTGTCGAGGAGTAGGAGGAATTTGTTGTCCAAGTTGGTCTTGGAACAATACTCCTTGCACATGTTTGAAAGGTAATTCATGACTTAATTCTGCGTCAACACCGTCGCCACCTACGCATTCTAGTTTGAATGCCAAATAAGTGAAAGATGCTCCTTGTAGAATCCCTCAAGAGCCCTGGGATTCTCTTGAGTGATAAACGCTATGGGCTTCAGCTTTAGGTCACCTTCAGCAAGTAAGAGGGTGAGTCTGTCTTTGGCTGCCTTCAAACCTGGTGCGGTCTTCTCCTGAGCAATGACTGTACCGATGGCATCCTCTTCCAGAACAGCCCAGTCTTATCAATGTTGACTTGCTTGGGCAAGTAACCACCTTCCTGAATTTTCTGCCTCAGGAGTTCTGGGAAGGCTAATGCAGCTTGGGTGTTGACACTTGCAGCTTCCCTTGTAAGCTTTTAGCTGTGTAGATCTGCTTGATGCTTGAACCTCCCAAACCACCTAAAACTGACCTTACAATCACACAAAAAAGTTACCTGGTCAAGTGTGCTGTCACTCCTGTGGTCTTTACACAAAGACAAAGCCCTTTCCTTGATGATAAGGGAGGACAACTCTGGGTAAGCCTGCTTGCTCCTGCCCACGTGACGTTTTCAGGCGCTTGTTTGATCTCCTCAGCATGCCTGTAAATTGTGGCTACAGTAGAAGCAGCCAGAACAAAATCTTGGTCAATCTTGGTAGGGCCATCACCGTGTTCATGACACTTAGTTACCTCTAGCTTTGCCTCAAGAGTCACAGCTTTCATAGTTTCTTCGGTGTAGTACAGGTAGCTGAAGATTCAGCAGAATGCTTAGATGCCATAACAAAAGTAATAATGAAAGGATGGCACGAATACACACGGATAAATAGAGATCACTTCACACATGCAACTCTCCCCAAGATGGCTGCTGGGACCCAAATTTGTATGAGCTGGGAAGCTTTTGTATCTCAAAATAGTGGTGTCAATTTAGGAAATTCGTAAAAGTGAATTTTCATATCTCAAAGGTTGATATATTGAAGGATACCTGTAGTAATTTTTCAGGCAATAACAAATTGTCTTGTAAAATTTAAATACTGTACTGTACATTTCAAATGATATACACATTTCAGAAAAAATAAAATATATGAGTTTACTTTATTCCCATTACACATGATGACATACAGATAATAAACTTATCACATAGTCTATAGGTTTTGTCAGTGGTGAGTGAGAAGGTAGACATGGCCTCTGCTTACTGAGTGATGCAAGACAACAGAACCTTCTAAGGGTTGTTGACATGACCTCCAGCCTACATTATCCACATGAATGATAAATCCTGCCACTGATCTCTGGACAATAACAGGGTCTAACTACAGTCCCCTTCTCCTGGACCAATCAACATGACCTAGAGGCTACAAATGGTTACCTAAAGTGTACAGGAGGATAAATGACACATTACAGTAGTAGTTACAAACAAACCTCTGTGGTATATGGTACAGTACTAACCTTTACCGAGGCAACATCAACCCCTACAGCTGCCACAACACCTGCACACTCCAACCCAAGAGTACAAGGTGGCTGGGTGATGGGGTTTAGACCTTGACGTACATATATGTCATAGAAGTTAAGACCACAGGCCTTAACCTCAACGGTGACCTGTTTGGCAGAGGGAACTGAGAGCGGCGGACCATCTTCAACCTAAAAACGATCATGTATTGAGAACTAGTTACCTAATCATATTATTAATGTGTACTGTACTTATGCTATTTGAAGTACTTAACTGTTCATAAAGTGACTTATGTTTTCAGCCTCTCAAAATCATAACTAAAACTAATCCATCCTTAAATTTAAAACTTAAGTACAATATCTAACTTAACTAAACAGATGGGGGAAGTGAAGGCAATGGTGTGAGAAGTGAGTAACAGTTTGAGAAGAATATTTTACAATTCATCAAAACATTTTCTAGGTACATTTAGCAGCAATTTTATCTTGAAGGTCACTTGCAAAGTTCCATAGGCCATAAGAACACATGTACAGTCCCCCAAGAAAGTATCGTTAGGCATGTGGGTCGTTGTGATTCCAGGCTTTCCGAGCAAATGTTTCATGACCTGTTTCGAACCCTTTGTAGTCCAACATCCACAACCTTTGAGCATGAATGAGAATATACGTTTTTAAACAATATATACATAGCGTAATGGATTTATTGCTATACTGAAGCATCTAGTACACCATACAAGACTCCCTACCCTCATCTCTAGCTGTTGCTGATAAGGCAAGCAGGCATACCAACTCATAATGATGCACTGGGGATCATATCAAAGCATTCAGTCAAGCGTTTCAAATAGTAGCGACAGGAAATCTAACGATACTTTTTTGGGGAGAGGGACCGTACATCAATAAGGCTTTGGATTAGTTTAAGAAAGCATGAATACATGAGAAAGTTGTTGTATAAGCCTTAAAGATGGAGTGTGGGAGAGAACCCGAGTGTGTGTGTTTAGCTCAGTAGTACAGTACAGTATTAATAATAAGTAAAAAATTAATAAATAAACTCACCTGGTAAATTAAGTCTCCCCCCCCCATTTTTTCTTCCTGTTTTTGGCATTAGTGGAGGAGTGAATAAATGATGACAAAATTACAAAAATTACAGTGTATTGAATCTCTATATACAAAACAAATGTACACTATATTATCACACTCTTCAGCACCCCAATGTGAAAGTTACAATCCGGTGTATTGTAGACTTTTATGCTATTTACATGTGAAATATTTAAGAGAAAATAAAATACAGTGCAACATTACCCTCATACATACAAAGTCATCTTAACTACAGGTATAGTAATAAGTGTACCTGTATATTGGGAGAGTTAACAGGTGAGCAGACACTAAGTAAATTATAGATCATTTCACTGTACAGTACTGTATCCCAAGTAAAATAAAAATTATATGGACTAGTGTTGACATAAGCATAAGCCTTATCCCAGCTTTGAGCCCCAAGTTTTGGTTATGGCAGCTAGTGAGTCACCTTTACTCCCTTGTTGAACTACTGCTCCACCAATGGGTCATTTCACCACATTGGCAAGAACTCGATAGGTGAGTAAAGGTCGGCCGTGAACTGAACCCAGGCTGTGGCACTTAGCTGTGGAGTCACTAATTTTGAAGATAAATGAGGATACGGTACAGTAGTTAGAAGCAGGATACCGTACATATTATACAGTACTGGTTTGTGATACTCTTGTTTTAAGTAGGTAAGATAGGGGTTCACATCTCTATTCTTCAACTACACTACACTAAAATCAAGTGACTAACCCTAATAAAATGTTTGTATTAAATAACACCTGAGCCGGGCATTAGGGACACTTCTGCTGAAAACTCTTATCTACAATTTTCTTCCTACAAATAGAACCCCCAACTTACATGCCCTCACCCCCTGCCGTATCACCAATATAACTTGTTCAATACTCATTACAGGAACCTCTCAATGTATGCAATAATTACCTGGAAATAAAACAAAACTCAAAGCAATTAACTAAAGAAAAAATACCATGGACCCAGCAAGGGTTACAATCAATAATATACAGTACAGTATTTTAGTGTAAACAGTGACATGCTGTGTGGGTTATGGATAGGATAGACCTCTCAATACATCCTTCAATTTATAGTCAATGATACACAATTTTTCAATTTAACTTCAATAAAAGAAACTCATAGACAGTCAGCTGCTGTACTTATATTCTTACAGTTTTATTATGACTGGTACAGTACTGTAAGCCTTAAATATTATCTAGGTCTGTACAGCCTACAGTACTGTATACCTTTCTGCAAAACAAGTGGAGCAACACACAGCATTCACATCAACTACCACAACTACTGGTATAATCTCACAGTATTTACTTCAGGTCATCGTCAAGGGAACCATTCTTGGGTAAACCATAAACCATTGTCACTATGTTTTTCTATAAGAGTATGGTTGCTTGTATTACACACAATAGAACTAGAACCATATCATCCTGGTAGACAAATGCTGTTCAGGTCAGAAGACTGGTATTGTACGATATTTCAACTTGACTCATCTTGCCATGATGTGTAGGGGCAATAAACTCTTTTCAATGGGGAGTGTTGCCTTCTGTGTGAATAATAGCAACAGGTCTAGCAACAGGTCTAATGCTGAATCAAGACAGTTTGATTTTAGACCTTCTTACATACAGTACAGTACCTACAGCTAAACCATCACCACCACATTAACCTCACAGTGATCATCTGAGGTGCTAGTACAGCATAGTTGAGGTACAGTACAGGACAACAATTGCTGTAATGTGTTTCTCCCATACTGTAATTTTCTAGAGAACTCTGCCAGTGGAGACACATCTGCACAGGAGTTATAAAACATACATTACATATTAAATTAACATATACAGCACAGTAAGTACAGGTACGTACATTATTTAAAATGAAAAATTACTAATTATTCGTATGTAGGAAACTTTTCAGAATAATTTATATTGTGCATAATCAATACAAGATTATGGTAGCTAAATTATATATTTTATAAAGCAGAAATTACAATTGGATTCCATCTCACATAAATGCTTCCCAAGAGACCTAGATTAATTTCGGTCTTAAAACATTACCCCCAAATTTTTATAAATTACCAAAATAATTACAGGATGTTAAGCAAACTTACATTATATAAAATAAAATAAATGTATACTGACAAAGACCTTGAAGAAAAAATGCATGGAATAATCAATCCAGTAGTATGTGTGGACAGTACAGTACTGCCTTCCTCCAAGACAAAAGAACTACAATATACCATCTCCCACCACCCTCCCCTGCTTACACCAGCTGAGTATTAATAATGTTATAATTATCAGGAATAAGCCTTAAAATTATAGAGGCTATACACTGTACCTTAAAAGATTCTACCCACCACAAACCACACACAAGCCCTCCACTGGATGAATGTCTCCTGTGAGTTTTACACTTACTAAAACAATATGGCACTTTAAGCTACAAAAATAGACTGAAGTTACTGTACAAGTTAGCAATTCCAACTTAATGCTTCCGAGGTGTTAATGGGTACACAATCCACTTGCAATCACAGTACTGTATACAGTATCTTAGTCAACTACTTTTTGCTATTTGTTTTATTTCTAAATTTGCATTCAACTTCCCTGGATATGTACTCAGAAGAGAATAACAGGGTTCAATGGTGAAAGGCTCACAATACAGTACTGTACCTGTAATTGACTAGGCAAGCTTTTCTAACCCATCAAATATAACTGTTGCAGTACAATATCTTACACCAGTCCAACATATTAAAGACTCTTACTGCACAAGCCCTTGGCCTATTCTGGAACCCACATTATAATTTGATGTCAGATATTTGGATCACCCAAAGATTAGCGGCCCCAGATTATTTTACCAGAAGATTAAACACCTTAACACTACTGTGCCTTGGGGTTAGGTTAGGTTGGCTTAATCGTCAGGTGAAATAAGCTAAGGGGAGACAACGTCTCCAGTTGAAACATATAAATATGATTTAAAATATATCCTGTTTAATCAAATCAAATAACAAGACAGACTAAACATTGGTCATAAAATCATCATCGTGAGTAATGAAGTAAAACAAGAATCCCACCTTGTTAATGGGAGCAGTGTTTTAATGGTCAAGACCTCACTGGTGGGTGAAGGAGGTCAGTCATAAACAGAAAAAGAACTCTGGTCAGATCAGAGTCAATGAGGTTATTTAATTTTATTGCCCTTAATAATGGTTTGTTTTCCTCATAATATTCAACTGAATTGTTTGTTTAATTACAAAATGACAAGATAGCGGCAGCCTGCAATCCTTACGTACACTTTGGTGATTACAAACAAAACCTACAGTGAATTATGTCTAATACCAAGAGAAGCGAACCACCGAGTAACTGAACCAGTCAGTCCTCCATGGTTCAACCTCCTAGATTATTTCACCTTTGTCTTCACCACTACAGTAACATGAGAGTAATATGCTTCTTCATATTACAAACTTCTCATCAATATTTTCTAATAATCAGTCACCTCGTTACATTACAAATCACGTTCGGATGTTTTCTACGTATTGTCGCTCGATTCGGCACCGCCATCGTCTCACTTTCTTGCCCGTCTATTCATAGCGGCGGCACACTGGGGACAGTACCATTTACCCTTGGGAGGCGCAGTGATGCCAACACATGGATAGTGAAACCACTCGACGGGACACTTGGGGTTATCACAGGCCACCATGTCCCCATACGACACCTGGTTACAGATACAGTAACGTGGCTCGTTGGGGTCGTACGTCCAGTCTGGATTTTCCGAATTTGGATCAATAAGGGCATCTTGCAGGAGGTCATCCGAGGGTGCAGGCGAAGCTTCCATAACTGCAGTAGCGGCCAGACTGCTGACTGAATTATGTTTCTTCTTCTGCTTCTTGTTGCTGGAGCCTGTGCTTGTACTGCCGCTGTTCATGCTGCTACACGTCTCCTGGGGTAAAGCAGATGCTGCCAAGGCTGTCTGTGCTGCATTTGCTAACTCGCTACCAATAGAGAATTCTGTTGGTTGGACGCCGGATGTGATTGCATCGTAAGAGGCTTTTAAACTTGCCGTGCGACGACCCTGCTGCATCTGCTGAGTTGCTGCAATTGCCTGAGATGCTGCAGCTGCAATTGCATTACTACCAGCCCCCATGTGACCCAGCGTGTAGGAGATGGTCGAGGCCGGAGGAGGAGAGACGGACATACTTGAAGTTAGATTAGGCTCTATCCTTTCCTCTTTCTTGATGGCGATCGCCGACGAAGTCGATGACTGCCGTCGCTCCGTGCTGCGAGAGCTCGAGTTTATGACCACATAACGGTTTTCTTTCTGATTGTCTCTGATAGGCTCGTCTAACTCCAACGATCGTTTCTCCAAAACTTCGGTAATTCCAGGACTGTCGGCCTCAAGCTCGCACTTAAACTTTTCCAACTCCTGATCTAGCTTCCTCATATACCGCTCTAATAAATCGTGCATGTTGGTCGCTATGTTCACCTTCTCGTCAGCGTCATCCAGCAGCTTATAATATTCTTTTCTTATTTTCTCATACTCAGCATCTCGCTCCTGGGCTTTCATTTTCTTGGCATTTCCAAAGAATGTTTTGATCTGATCTTCCAGCTGGTCTGAGGTGTTTTGTATCCCCAGGTCCAGCTCTCGTAAGTCTGTCGTCCGATCACGTATCTCTTGAGGAATTTGTTCTATCACTTCCAAAAAATCCTCAAGATACAGCATCTTAGCCTCCTCGAGTACGACTTGATGTAGTGGTCGAGGGTGTCTTATCTTCTCCTCTGGGTTATCTCTTTTTCTTCTTTATATACCTCAACATATAAGTACTTGACCTATACTCAAGAAGGAGCTCTAACAAGGTCTTAAACTTGACAAAAAGTATTAACTATAAGAGGTAGTGGTCACTGCTGTACCCAAACAACGTGTACTGTAACCATAGAGCAACACCATCTTCCTGGCTTCTGATTGGTCAATACCGTTTCTCAAGGATAATACTGCTTTCTCATTGGCTAACATCACTATGAACTGTATATATTTGCTTCTTCCCGAGATGACTCATATATAATATTATTAGAGGAAAATACAAACCATTAGATAATAAACTGTTTAATACTAGAGGATGATGGTGATGATGGTGAGGTCTTGGCTCTCTGTGATGGCGGGCGGTAAAGGTTATCACAGGACAACTGTTTCTTATATTAATCCTCCAGTAGGATCCTCTAGTAATGTCTCAGACGCAGTAGTGTGTCCCACTCGACCCCAGAACATTTACTGAACCACAGATATATCTCTTTAATTCTTAATTGATGCTGATGATATAACACATTATATAAAGTCAGCAACACCTTCACATAAATCATTTTATATTAATGTATATGTTCAGTAATATCGCTCATGGGATAAGCGCTGTCCCTACAATTACATTCTATTAACTTGTAACTTCCACTAACCTTTAATTGATCAAACCCGCCGACAGCCTGCACTACCACACGCCGCACCATAGTGAGTATTGAGTCCTGTCGGGAAGGATGACACCCTCACCTGTCCTGACGTCTGTGTTGGAGCTGAACAATGGTGAAGAAGGTGATCCTTGACGACAACCTGTGACAAACCAACCCCTGCCCCGTGATGGAACTACCCTCCACCACGTTATGTATACCAATTAACACACCCACAGATGCAGCATAGTATCCTATTTTAAGATATCCATAAGCTCTGTAGCTAGGTATAAACTTTACGCTGGTACAGTTTGCAGAGTGCTTAAATGTCAACCTACTGAATATGTATTACAACAGTTTCATCTGAGCATCCCAGGAGACAGGCAGCTCACTCACACCATAGTTACCCAGGCATGGATTTTACTTTTACTTTTATCCTCTTCGCCACTGATCGGCTCGTTAGCCGCCTGGGCGGTCGATCACGTTTCTGTTAAGTACTGTTGGCAGATGCTGGGCATGTAATGGCTCCTGAATATATCTGAACCTGCCCCAGTGTTAGTCAAGTCTGGCCTTGAATGAGCTCACACTTGGAGTCGTCACAACACTCTTACAGATTGTTCCAAGAGTTCACAATTTTCATTCGGAAAAAAGTTTGCCCTCATAGTTTTCTGGACTTATGGCTTCTTCAACCTTGAGCTGTGACCTCTTGTGGGGCGGGCGTCCGCCAGGTCCAGATATTATGTACATTCGACCGAGTAGTGCCCCTCAGATGTTTAAATACTTCGATTAGGTCGCCCCTCCCGTCTGTAGCATAAGCCAGACAGTTGCAGGCATTCTAATCTCTCTGGGTAACTGAGGTTCTGTAGAGCAGGCACTAGTCTGGTGGCCCTCCTTCGGACATTTTCAATCGACTGACCGTCCCTATCAATTAAGCATATCTCGGGGACCAGGCCGGATGAAAGTACTCCAGACGGGGAAGGAACCTCACTCCTGAAGATCGTGACGAGCGACGGACCATCCAGGTATCTAAACGACCTTGTTATAAGACCTACTAGTTCTCGTTGTCTGATTCCCCTTCTCACAATGGCCAGAGAACTTAAGTCCCTTGTCGACATACACACCCAGGTCCTTTTCACATTCGGTCTCAATTAATGCAGTTTCTTCGTCCTGTTGGGATATGTGAAACACATCCTAACTGTTGGTGCGACCCAGGTGCATCCTCTTCCACTTCGTGACATTAAATCTTAGCAGTCATTTCTTCGACCATTCTTGAAGCTCATAGAGATCTTTCTGTAGCTCATCACAGTCTGTTTGGTTCTTAATTTCCCTAAATAACTTGACATTATCCGCAAACATTTGTATGGAGGAGTGTATAGCTTCTGGCATATATCATGAAGTAAACAAACAACAACGGGCCCAATACCCTGCTCGTCACAGGTACACGTGACGATTTCGTACTATTAATCACCACATTTTGCGGTCTTGCAGAAGGTCTCCGATCCACGCTAGGACATCTCGCCGAGTCCCTTACCCTTCCAATTTAATTCTTAACCATCCATGGGGTATGCTGTCGAAAGCCTTGGCAAAGTCTTGACGGCACCGAGTGTGAGCTCTTTCAAGACAAGACTTGAATGTGCATGCCCAGTACTTGCCAACAGTGCGTGACAGAGACGTGACCGATCACCCAAGGGGCTAACGAGCCGATCAGTGGTGAAGAGGAACAAAGTAGAAAAAGAAGAGACGTAGCAGCAAGAAGACAATGGATAAAACTATAAGAGGTTAAAATTAGGTTAAAATATAATTAGTTATGAACAAAATAAAGAATGAAAGTGAGTAAAATGACCAAAGACCCACACTTTTACTTTACACTATCCTCTTCACCACTGATCGGCTCGTTAGCCGCTTGGGTGATCGGTCACGTCTCTGTTGGCAATGTCCCACTCGGCCCCAGAATAATTACTGAACCACATATATATCTCTTTAATTCTTAATTGATGCTGATGATATAACACATTTTATAAAGTCAACAACATCTTCACATAAATCATTTTTATACAGAATTTCCTAAATATCTAACCCATCTTAAAATATATAATCCATGTGTACTAACAAAGTGGATTGACTGATAGAGGAAATATAATAAATTTGCATCAATATAAAATGTAAGATTATGTGAGAGATATCACTCTAGTATTGGATTTCTGTGACTTCTTAAAGGGACATCGCTGGGCTGGGACGGGGGTGACTTATGTAAAATCTTCCCTATCGAGATATTTTACCATTTCATCTTAATAAAGTGAATATCAGTCCAACCACTGTACAACGCAGAGATCTTACCCCACCTCCCCTCCCCCATTATCCTCTCCCTTACAATAACCTACTAACCTATTCCCAATTTACATGGAAATAATGGAATACGTTAATATATATAATCATCTATATAAATAAAAATATTAATTCAAAACTGGTACAATAATAATAGAGGGATATAGTAAGGTGGTATTAGGTAGATAAATACATTGTAGGCAGCTCGTGGTCGGTAGTAGTGGCCTTCAAGTTGTACACACAGGCTGGGTGGTATCTCTCTAACCATTATTTCCACATGTATCCTTAACAAATCTTACGTATGTACCCTAATATAACCTTTTCCTTCTGTATTTTAAAATTATTTAGAGTATTTGAATTTTATGGTATGTACTGGAGTAATGTGTGAAAGATAAGAGGAAGGTGTGAGTATTATAGATTTATGCTTTCCATCACAGGCTTAATAATCTTTTAATATTATTCTTGGGTTATATATGCTGAAATATATTTACTGTTTATGAGTGTTTGTGTAATTGTACTGTGTCTGTGTACTTACTCTTTACATTACGGTTTGACTTAATGTTATCATTTATGTACGGTACTTTAGCACTGTATACACACTCAGGTACACGTTTATGTGTGTTAAAAAAGAAGGAAGTTTAGAAATAGTCACCAATGAAAAGTGTAGCTAATGACCTGATCAGTGGGGAAGACGTTAAAAGTAACAGTACAGTTTGCCAGTACTGTACTGTAGTAATAGTTGCAGACGAGAAACTGAGCTTTCTCTATACATAGTGGTTATGGTTGTAACTTAAATGTTAATTCTGAAATTTGTAGTTACTGTACACTGTATCTACACTTGGAGTGACTACAGATGCAGGATGCAACTGTGAAAGTCCTGGTGCTTTAAGGCAAGTGAACAAGTTATACATTGTTTGTATAAGGTCACTACACAGTGTACTAGACCGACCGGGCTTTCGTGCAAAAATAAATCGCAGGGGCTATGTTGCCGTGACCGGCTAAGTTCCTACTAACGCTATTTTACCGTGAGTGAGCTCTGATTGGTTAAGTACTTTCTGTTTAATATGACTGGGTCCGCCCCCCGGCTAGGAAGTTAGGTAAGGTTAGGTATGTTTCTTTGGTTGGTTAGGTCAGGTTCTGTTAGGTTCTAGTAAATGTTGCCTTTTTTTATGATAAGTTTCCGTTCACATCAGAATTATGGCTGGATATGTTTATAGCTACACAACAATTGACTGGCCGCAAAATAAATGTCAAATGCCACCAGAGTCACCGTCAAATATAGTTCTCGCTTTTTCCGGTAATGGACAATTAGCCAATCGGAGCGCACTCACGGTAAAATAGCGTTAGTAGGAACTTAGCCGGTCACGGCAACATATCCACTGCTAAAATAAATTAGGATCGAGAAGATAGCGGCTCTTGGAAAGTTGTATCTCCAGCACTAATGGTCACTTTATAAAGCAGGAGACTTGATAAGGTCGTGGATACAGGTACGGCAGCCGTATGCCAAAAAGAATCACACTGGATATAGGTACGGCAGCCCTATTGATGAACTGTGTTTTTAATGGTTAAGTTAGGTTAGGGAGAAATAAGGCAATCGTAGTAATTATCATTGTACAGGTATAGTCTTCTCACCACTCCTGTGCATTAGGCTGCCCTACCAATAGACATCAACGTTTAGCATGTGGCTGCTGTACCTGTATCCTCTGCCAAATTTAAATCTTACCTTGGTGAAATAAGCTCTTAATGTCTATCTTGTGTAATCCTTGGTTGAACAAACTTAATGTTTACCATAGTTTATATACCTGCACTGTCTGTGTACAGTCGGGGACAAAAGTTGGCTCCCCGCGGTGAAACTGAGTCATAAGAACATAAGAAAATAAGGAGTCTGCAATAGGCTGGTTGGCCTGTGCATGGCAGCTCCTGTCGAGAGTTACTACCACTCTCTATCATCCATGAATCTATCCAGCCTCCTTTTAAAACTTTCCAGCGTTCCAGCACTTACTACAAAGTTGCTAAGCTTGTTCCACTCGTCCACCACCCTATTTGTGAGCCAGTTCCTTCCTATCTCCCTTCTAAACCTAAACTTATCCAACTTAAATCCGTTGCGACGCGTCCTATCCTGCTCGGATATTATAAGAACTTTATCTATATCCCCTTTATTGATTCCTTTCACCCACTTTAATACTTTTATCATATCTCCCCGCACTCTTCGTCTTTCTAGAGAATGCAAGTTTAGTTTCTTTAACCAATCCTGATATGGAAGGTTTCTAAGTCCCGGAATCATTTTTGTCATTCTTTGCTGCATCGACTCCAGTGAATTGATATCCATTCAACTGTTTCATCTTATTTGGGGGTCGATGCCGCTTCATTTTGGGCGGCAGCGAACTTTTGACCCTGACTTTACATTGTTTATATACCTGTACGTACATTGTTTACATACCTACACTGTACATTGTTTACATACCTGCACTGTACATTGTTTACATACCTGCACTGTACATTATTTATATACCTGTAAAAGAAAGTTAATTTAGGTTGGTTAGGTTAGCCTTTATTAAAGAAATAATAACCAAGGAATAACAGTCACCATTTCATAAATATGTATTTTAAAAATAAATTTTAATGTTAAGGAGAAGGTCACTACAGTACATTACTTTGATTATTTGTTTGATTTTATAAAATTTCAACATGTTTGGGTAATACTTTACAATGGCTGTGGGCCTTAACCCAATAACTGCGGCAGTTGGGCACCTCATATACTGCAAAAAACTTGACATTAAAATTTAAAGCATGTATTTTTTATCATGAAATTGAAGATATAAAATTTGGAAGTAATAAAAAAAAACTGGGCGGTGAGTTATGAAGTGAGACGGGGGAGTAACATACAACTACTGAGCCCTGGTGGTTGTGGTGATGCAAGAGGTGGTTATGGTGATGCAAGAGGTGGTTATGGTGACAAATGATGTGTTGCAGCAGTGGATTTTTGTGGTGTAAGCACTTTTAATCAAGATATTATGTGTGCCCTCCTGTATGGCTCAGTAAACCAAGACCAACCTCAGTTCTCACCCAGACTAGCTAGAGGATGGATATACTGTATTGTACTGTACTTATTTATATCAGCTTTTACTGGAAGCTAAATGTTTTGTCTTTATTTTTAAGGCCTTTTATTGTACTATTGACGGGTGATACACACTCCTGTTACTGTATACAAGGTTCATGATATTAGTTACAAGTACTGTACTGTTCTGTACTACACTGCATTGTTCTGTACTATGCTGTACCTGTATTTATGTCTGTTTATACAGTAACCTAGTTTGAGTGTTGGCTGAAGTGTTCAGTTTGTAGACACTACAGTACTGTATTCTGGTAATGTACCACACACTCTCACTGTGTTGGCTCAGGCTATTGACTGACACTTATAGTGTACAGATTAGAATGTTTTGCTCAAGACTGTTGAAAATATGCTGTGGTGGAATTAATACAGTATACTGTATAGGTACAGTAGTTGTATAATGTCATTACCCCAGACTAAATTAATATTATGTTTTGAATGTAACAATGTTGTTCCAGGCTGGCTGCAGAGTCTACAGACAGGTCTTCTTAAGAAATAATTTTATCTTTTCTTCTGTCAGGTTTCATCATGAAATGGAGAGACAGAATATCAATATTGTCAAGGAAGCGGAACCATGGCAATGTTGGACATCCAGTAAATAGGCAGAATGACTTGCCGTCTGGATCAGGAATTGCTGCTAACAGCAACCTTGCCTCCAATAGTGCCCCAGTAGAGAGTGTAGAAAACACCCTCTCTCAGTTGCGTCCTGTTATAGGTCCAGACCATAAGAGTTACTATATTTTATTACGTGGCGACGAAGATTCGTTTATGTGTATTCAACCCGCTAAGGATGTTATAAACAGTTTAGATGAAGTGGTGAAGAATGTCATTAGCACAGTAAAACTGGCCAAGCCACCTTTACAGGGGGCCGAATTATCCTCAAATGCCAAAAGACCGAGATACAGTCAAGCTAAAACATATACAAGTACATTGAATCATAAACAAATTAGTAATATAAGAAGAAATGGAATTCGTAGTTCTGCCCCGACACTTCTCAATGAAGAAGAGAAAGTAGGGTCAAGTGTTGCCTTAGAAAATGTGTTTCTCAGTAAAGCAGGAAGTAGTTCTCCTGTGATGGATAATGTTGTAGAAAATGTGATACTTAACAGGACATTAGTGTATCCTTTCGTGCAAAATAGGTTAAGATCCAACGGTACAGTGAATGTTAATACAAAGCAGGAATCTTGCTTATTTATATCAAGTGACTATGGAAATGAAAGTGGCTCAGACTCTCTAATTATGCCAGCTACTGAAGCAGAACTTATTCAAAACATTGCTCAAAGTGATTCATCATTGAGAAAGAGCGACTGTAAAGTCGGTCTGGCCCACACCGAAAACACGAGCGAAAGTCACGTTGCGCCGCAAAGCTACCTAAGGCAGGCTCTAGAAGCTGTCGGGTCCGATGCAAAAGACGTGACGTTGGCGGTGACGGGACAGACCGCAACACCTACAGAACTCTGCCTCGTCGCTAAAGAAGGGACGGTCCTGACTGAGGAGGAGATCACATCACAGATAAAAACATTAATTGAATCAGAACAGTTGATTGTTGAGGAGGACAGCCAGATTGTTGTGATAAGGTGAGTACTGTACAGTACTAGTATGTAATGAACTGCACTGCTACCTAATGTACTGTACTGTGTGTGTGTGTGTGTGTGTGTTTTACTGTACTAAATTAGTTCATATTAATATCTAATTTTGTTTGAAATTTATTTAGCTCAGATCTCAGTACTATATGTATTGGTAGTTAAAATATTGATAATTTCTTGTCCAAATGACTTTGTAAAATTAGCTTATTAGCTTTGCAGTGGTAATTACCGCACTAAAGATAATCATCATCGCTTTAGGGCCATTTTCTACACTTGTGTGGGTTAGTTGCGGTTACGTGATGGCAGCTCTCCATGCTAAACGTCTCTTGCAGTCTCTCGTGTGAAGTGTCATCTTCCCAACTTGTACGTCATTTCCTACAATCTCTCCCCATATCATTCTTGGCTTACCCCTGGCGCTCCTCCCCTCCTCATTTAGGTTTATGCACCTTTTGACCCATTTGGTCTCAACCATTCTCTCCACTTGCACCAACCATCTCATCCGGTCTCTACACAGGACTTCACCAATACCTTTAATACTCAGCTGCCGTCTTAGCTCTGAACAGGGTCTTACCATTCTCTCTTCAGCTTAGTCAAGCTTGTTTATGTCATCCTCTTTAACTGGCCATGTTTCACTACCATATAGCACCACACTTCTCATACTAGAAACATACATATTTCCTTTCACATGAAGGGAAGGTCCTCTTGCCATCAGTAATTGTAGCAACTCCCTGAACTTCCTCCAGCCACTTTAGACTCTTGCAACTGAGCTGGCTTTAGTGCCCCCTCCAGCACCGATCATGTCATCCAGGTAACAGAATTCATCGACACAGTCCAGGGACATTTCCCCAACTAACAAAATTACCTGTCTTTGCTCGGGTTAGGTATATACTGTACTGTACTGTACTGTACTGTACTGTATAAACCTTTACTGTCACAATTTGCCCTCCCTGACATGGGTAATCTCCTTCCATAATCACTATGGCAATGCAATATCTCAGTCGGGGAAGAATTTTGGTCCTTGCTCGGACCATCCAGGCGTCTGTGGTCAGTAATAATACCAAGGTACACAGCCCTATAGATAACTGTACTGTACTGTACATGTGTCCAATAATCTATAATTACACATTGTTTAATGTCATCCTCTCTGTGTAGTGAAAAAAATGTTTCCCAAACTTTGCTGAAGTTATTTATTCTTTGTTAATTGAGTGAGATAGGACAGTTATGAGCTGGTTGAAGATTGTTTAACTCTTTTTCCATATTAAAGAGAGTGAAAGTATAAAATGTGATTGTTGACTCCATTGTGTTTTCTTTGACTACTTTTCTTTTTTATAATTACTACTAATACAGAGTGTCAGCCCGGGAAGCTATGGTGAAGATAGTATTGAATGAGAATGAAATTGTGGAGGTGTTGGGCCAACATCAAGAGGTGGAGGACAACACCAAACTCGCCAGAACTAAACAGGTAAGTGAGCAAGTACTGTACTGGTATCCCTTATTATCCACTTGTTCACTGGCACTTTTATTCTTACACCTCTCTCTCACTATCCAAAGACAATCTTCACTTATCAGAAAGATTTTCCGATCAAAAATTCAAATTACAGTATCTCGTGTGGTGAGCGCCGACCACCGTATAGTAGTTAGGTACTAAATTACTATAGTTAGGTAGGGTTTTTGTGGTACGTGAACTGGTTTAATTTATTTTAGGTATACCGTAAAATATATTGGGGTTTTCTTGTCGCTGGAAACCAAGCACTATTTTCCCCCTTTGTTCTGTTATCCACTACTATATATGAATGCTCTTCAAGGAACCTAACTAATTTGAATAACAAAGGATACCCATATGTAGTTTACCATGGTATAAGATTGTGTTAGAGTTAGAGGAAATGACCAGAAAAAAGTTAATTTCTCGATGCATTATTTATTTAGTTTTCTGTCTTGCAGTATTGATCACATCCCACCCTCATTTATATAACTGTCCTTCATTTGTCGGTTGTCATTAGCCAATGATTTTTGCATTATGGCCAACAATATAAGAGGTTTGATGTAGCCTCACCAAGTTGATCTGAATCATCTATTGAGTCTTTGAATGAAGCTTAAGGAAGTTACAGTATTGATATTTATTTTATAGTGGTTATCAAGATTCTGTTTGCTGTATATCATAAATTTATTATTAAGCTTCAACTTGTGAATGCCTGATCCATGTTGAGAGTGTGGCACCTATACTGAACACAGAGGATAACATTTACTGAGGTGCTCTACCTAGGAGTGGTTTATGTAGGATAGGTCACCTTTGAACCCCTTCTGTATGAGGTACCCTCTCTGCTGAATAAAATTATCTTGTGTAGCCAAATAAAATATTAAAATTGGCATCCCCATAATGAAGGGTTAAAGGTTTATTGACCATAAGTTTCCATTTTCTTCATTTTTGAAGGATTAATGTGCTGTCCTACAACTGGGGAGGAGTTTTGTCCACAGTGTGAGTTCCTCTTATAAGCATTTTGAGTTTTGTGAGGCTGTACTGTACTGTATTAGGGTGCAGGAGCAGTAAACATGAGAAGAACATAAAACTAGGAGTGTACGTTGCTTAATGAAGTTATTAGTCAACAATTTCAGACGGGTGAGTTCCTAGTTGCCGATCTATTAAATATCGGGAATTATTGTAGGATTAGGGATTGATATTTTTACAGTGGTGTCACATTTGTGTAGCAGTACGTCACTTTGGTTGGATTTGAGGTTGGCTTCTGTTATGTTGGCACCGGAGGAGATACAAGAGATGACATTAATGTACTTGAACCATTTAGATACAGGAACAACTCTCCATTATTTGGTGTGTTTCTCATCGCAGGATGTCACCATAAAGGATGAAGTAATTGTCGAGGATAGAGATTCCTTGTCCCTGCCCATATCAGAGGTGACAGAGGGTGACTGCTACAGCGGCCAGGTCTTAGAGGATAGCAAGGATCACACGAGGGACATGCAGTACCTCCTCTCTCATTACTCCCAGTCTGACCAGGCAAGTCAAAGTGCTACCTTGAAGTTCATTATTATTATCATCATTATTGTCATCATCATCATCATTGTCATCATCTATCCACTGTTTTGTAGCATAGAGTGACGAGAGTTGAGAACAAACTCACACTGTTACTATCACTTAAGTCTTCCCTTTCATCATAAAAAGGTCATATACTGTAAATTATTCCTCTGGTTCACTTTTATCACATCTCCCATCACCTGTGTGTGTGTGTGTTTATATATATACAGTATATATATATATATATACTGTATATATATATATACTGCCTGACTTAGCGCGTGTTTTCATCATAAAATATTTTTCATACAAGATTTCATACCCCGGCCAGAATATAATTTACATTGCTGGAATTCTTATAATTTGGTGATCATTTTGAATATAAACATCATATATTTTGCATTAGACATACAAATTTTAGATAAAATGTTTACTCTTGAGTAAATATGTTATCTTTTGTGCAAAATATATGACATTTATATTCAAAATATTCCTGGTCTTACAAGGAATCCAGCAATGTCAATTGTATTATCCTAACTTTAGTTTGAGGTATTATTTATTAAAATTTAGTGGTTTTCCCCCCAAAATTTCTCAGAGAGGGAAGAGCCGGCAGTGTAGTGTGAGAGAGGGGAGGGAGTTGAGTCCATTATTTGAATGGACATTAACTTGGTGACTGTATTTCTCTATTTCTCTTAAGTATTAATTGTGTGCATGTACCATCATAAAATTAAGATGTTATTTTTACTACAACATAGTTATGTGTCTTCAAAAAGTGGAGTTTGGGGGTCGGGCCGGTTTCTATTGGAATTAATCCCATATGTTCTGTTGTTCACTTAACGCGGATTTCACTTAACACGGGACCCTCTGGGTTCTATTGACCGCGTTAAGTAACTATATATATATATATATATATATATATATATATATATATATATATATATATATATATATATATATATATATATATATATATATATATATATATATATATATATATATATATATATATATATATATATATATATTAATAATGCTAATAATAATAATAATATTTATCCATTAAAATTGTCATTCAGGTTTATAATTGGAGAGGCATGTATGTACTGTATTGTACTGTATAGTATATAAGTTGAGCCCAGACAAACTATTAGAGCAGGACATGACCCACAAATGTTCTTGTTTCTAGTGATAAAGTTAAGATGGTCCATTGAGTTAAGATGCATTGCATGATATGGATGTTTTATTAAATCTGGATGTGAATAGATTACATAGTACAGTATTGGTAATTTTGTGGGCAGATGAGCCCCACTTGTAAGAGGCCCCAACCTCTTCTAATTATTATGAATTGACCCAAGTACCAAAGGGCAGGTTAGGTTGATTTGAGTCCTATTAGGATTAGGACCCATTTGACTTGCAACCATCGTTATCTTATATTTTCAGGATTTTTCCGAGACCAAAGAGATTGCAATGGATCCTAGTCTGCAGGAGTCGGTGGATCAGACGCCGGACTATGTGGTGGCTCAGTCCCCACACTGTGTTGTGGATGAGACACCACACTGTGTGGTGGAACCTCTGGTAGAGCCCCCTTCTGATCCTCTGATGGATAATCATCAAGAACAGACTGATCAGGCAGACGAACTTGACAAAATCCAGTATGAAGTTGATGGAATAGAGAGCATTGGAGATTCTCTGATTAGTGGAACTGAAGGGGAAATTGTGGTGTTTCAGAGAGAAGATGGGACATTTGTGAACCAGGTAAGTGTCACCTTGTAGTGATTTGCCTCTCTTACCCCGACCACCTCAACTGTGTTAGGGTAGAGAGATGGGTGGTGGTGGTAAAGTGCTAGGGCAGAAGCCATTTTGGGAGTTAGGAGGATAGTAAGGTGTTTTGCGAGTTGATATTTTTTAGTTTTGAGTCTTTTGAGTATCTTGGGTACTCAGAAATGTTGTTCTTTTTTTTTTCTGATGATAATTCTTGCCAACCGTAACACTAGTTGCAGCAGCCACTTTATCATGGCGACTGTCGTCATTATGAGATCACTCCCTGAATCACACAGCTCACTGTACAAAGGATCCCTTTTTGCCTCTCACACCCCCGAGCCTTAAGACGACTCATCCAGCTCGCAACTGTAAACTTAACTAAAATGTTTATAGAGTTTGTTGAGTATAGGGTGTGAATTTGCATACGTTTTATTGATTCCTTTGTTTTTACAGGACGGAACGCCAGTCTCCAGCGAACTTCAGTATTTGATTACCAGTTCGGAACTAGTAATCAAATACTGACAGTTTCCGACAAGACTCGACTCCAGCTTTAGGGTCTGAAGAAGACCAGGCTGACCACACATCCTAGTGCCTCCAGATACTTTTGAGTTACTCTAGTGAGGTAGAGGTCGGTAAAAAAAAAAAAAAAATGTTTATCTGAAGGTGAAGGGAACTAATGTGGTTATAGGAATGGAAAAAATGATACAGTGCTGAGTGTTCCTCTCCGATCTAGACCAAGGGTTGATGGCTGTAGAAGTATATACAGTATGTATGTACTACAGTAATGCCTAAAATTGTATAACACGATCCAGATGATTAAATTGATAGTGGATGAGGGTAAATGTGTGGAAGGTAAATGTGTGTTGAGTGATGAGAAGTTTGTAGAGAATCCCTGTTGTGTGATACTATATCTTGTCCTTAAAGGTGTCAAGTGAGTCTCTAATGATGTTCCTTGACAGTTTTTGGTCACTTTGTCGTAAAAAACTTTAAGAGCAGCCGTCGAGAGGTTTTACAGCTTGTCTCGCTTGTTTATCAATACAGTGTGTTAAAGTTAAGTTACTAAGGCATAAGGAAAGGTTAGATTATTAGGCTAACAAGAAAAGTTAGAGAGAGGGAAATGATGTAAGGGTGACGTTAGGTTGGGGTAGCAACAGGGGACTACTGTACCAGAGCAGAGTGCAGGTGTTACAACTTAAAGAGTGGGGGAATGACAACAGATAGAGGACGGCTCTGTGTTTCCTTCACAAGATGGAAAATTAACGCAATTTGTTCTGGCTCTGTGAGAGAAGTATCAGACTAAAGGAGAGAGAGAGAGAGATAGAAGTGCTACCGTGTGGAAAGATTATGTTGGACATAAATGTTGATGTGTGTTTCTACATTCCAGGATTTAGTTTATGATAAAATTATTAATATATGTTCTGTTTACTGGGTACTATTAATATGACTATCAGCTAAAGCCAATTGATTATATGGGGAAGCAAAAATTAGCTTGTGAAATGCTCTGGTAAAATAAATATGTTGAAGAGAATAAAAAACAAAATACATCGCAGTTCCAGTGACATCCTCCACCTCACTGCATCATGTCACGCCGAAGAAGAGTTTACATCTGGGAACTTGTGCATCAGGTTTGTGTTCTCTTTATAATATTTGTGTTAACAGAGCTTTTCACATGGTAATTTTTGCTTCCCAAAGTGCGGAAATTATCACAGATCAACACAGAATAGTTACTTCCATTAAAATATCAGAATATAAATACGACAGGAAAAATAATAAAGAACTGTAATGACTTTTCCCTTGTCCATCTGCCAGCCAATCAGCTGCTGTGTTACAAACTGACCGTAGGCATCAGTTGCAAGGTTCGAGTGAACAGACTACCAGTATAGTAGCAGCAGTGAAATAAATAGAAACACTTCACATAAACAAATGATCTGATAATAAATGTAATAGACATACAGTATTGTTATAGCCCCCCCACACACACCACCATCACCATCCCAAAGCTTTCCAATAATAATTATTTTTTTAGATAACAGATAATTTAAGAAGATAAGCCATACTATTTGCCTGGAGTGACAGAGATTTTCTTATTGAGATTTTAGCTGGGGTATAATGGAAGCTGCCAGCGGTGGTTGTAAGGTGTGTTAGGGAGTACTGATGGCAGCACCTGAATCACAACTGAGTTATGTGTGAGGTACAACATGACTCTTCAATTGATGACTTTTGCTGAACTTAAAAAATAAGTTACATTATTAAGGTGAGAGGTATGAAAACTGCCCTATCATGCATATCTTATAACAAAATTAGAAACTATATTGAGAAGAAATGTTGTTCAAGAAATTAATGAGTAGTTTGAGGAAGCCAATATATTTCACACCTCTGACAGGCGGCGGGAGGATGGTGGGTAAAGATTCGGTAAAGTTTGACCTTAAAACTCTACCTTGACTTGTATGCCTGAAACATCTTCATTTTCATTGTAATCAATATGCCAAACAGTGCAGCCCGGCCCACTCTTTAGCTACATCACTGCCAAGTATGAACCATGTGCGATAATATCCTAAAAAAGCATAAATGATCCCTTCCCCCAAAGTCACTGTTGGATGATTCTTGTTTTCTGTTGTCATCATAATAGAAATATGAGCAAATGATGTCATAAGCTTTATTGTCATACTCTATATTGTATTTTTTCTTGAAACTAAGAAAATATTCATCTGGCAACACCTAGCAGCCAGTCTTGTGAACCTGTCAGGGTGAAATGAAGATCAGTGCTCAGCCAGTTGTATGGAGGGTAGATGTATTCAGTGTGTCCTGTGCACTCCCACTTCCTGGCACTAATCAAGGCAGTTTCCTCACTCCTTTTTGGACCACATCTTTAGCTATCAGGCATCTTATTTGTTGTTCTGCCTTGTGTTTCCTGCCACCAGTCCTTTCCTTACGCTTCTTGCCTGACACCACCCAAGACAAGTAAACAAACTATGATAATGAGGATAAATTGCTGTCATGGGAGGAACTGCCTTACCACACTTGTCCATCGTGTAGTCGGGGACAAACTACAAGAGGGAGGATTCAAATCTTGGTTTAGTGCAGCAGAAGCTTTACTGGTTGTGCAGTATATAAAGAGTCTCATTATGTTTGATGTGAAGTATCAGGACATTGGAATTATTACTCCATACAGGAAACGGTTAGAAAAGATAAAAAAGTTAATAACAACTTAGGGAATAGCAGAGCGTGTGAAGGTTGGGTCTGTGGAAGAGTTTCAAGGTCAAGAGAGAAGTGTTATCATCATCCCTACCGTCAGATCATCCTCTGACTCGATAGAGGTTGTTGTACGACACAGCCTTGGTTTTGTAACGTGTCCTAAGCATTTTATTGTGGCAGTGACAAAAGCATAGATGCTTTTGGTGGTACAGTAGTAGGAAATCTTTTGTTACTCAGCCTTGATAATTAAGTTATGCCTCCAGAAGCTGCTTATCGTGGTCAAGAACTACATGTTCTTGTCAATGAAGATAAAGGAATAGAAGATTAATCTTTATTTCACAAATGTTGAAACATTTTTCTATTTTTAGTTGATATTTCATTGTTTACTTACAAAATATTACCTGCCTCGACTGCCATGCCTACAGTATTGTACACATGTTTGTTGTTTTGTATTATGGTAATTATATTTATTAGTAGTGTATAATTGTTCTGCCAGTGTCTATGTTAGTTCAAGGTTGTAATGTCTTTTGCCACATTGGATCAAGTTTTATACTCCTTGGGTTATATCTTTGCTGTTCCTGTCACATAAATTGAGCACTTTTATCACTTCAATAAATGTCTAAATGTATTCATAACAGTGATAAATGTATCACTTACGAGTTGATTGCTTCTCACTGACATTGTTTACATTATGAACCGACAACAACGCATCTCACTACGTCTTACTACACGTACTCGTACACACACACACACTCACACGACTTTACAAACACGAATATCTTTGTTTTTCACCTAAGTTTCTTACTTTTACAATAATTATATAAATATTTCATTTGTACAATGTTTCTTTTTTTTTCTGTTAGTAGTTAGGATGGTATGATATTTTATAAAGCAGGGCATAAACCACAGTGGATCATCACACTCTGCAGCAATAACTAATGTCTTTGTGCACCTTTTCACCCAACACTGTGTTACTGTATACATGACAAGGTCTCTTAGCCTGTGTTGAGGGCACCAAACTTGGTGGGGAGGTGTGTGTGTGTTTGTGTGTGTGTGTTTGTGTGTGTGTGTGTGTGTGTGTGTGTGTGTGTGTGTGTGTGTTTGTGTGTGTGTGTGTGCATTTGTGTGTGTGTGTGTTTGTGTGTGTGTGTGTTTGTGTGTTTGTGTTTTGTGTGTGTTGTGTGTGTGTGTGTGTGTGTGTGTGTGTATGTTTGTGTGTGTGTGTGTGTGTGTGTATGTTTGTGTGTGTGTTTGTGTATGTTTGTGTGTGTGTGTTTGTGTTTTTTTATTAGTAATTTTTCATGGGGGTCAGTAGAGGCTCTGATGTGTGTCCTTACGAAATACATGTAATAAATGGCTCTCTTGATGTGAAGTTACATATGTGAGCTTTTTTGGAATACAACCCCAGCATAAAGTGAGGTTCACATGTACTGCTTAATGATGGTGACAGATTAATTACCTCATGGCCACCCAAACTAGGGGTGGCCATGCTGAGGGAAGGAGGCCAGTGGTCCATATAGGAGGTCAGTGGTCTGTTTAGGGATCCCTTCATTGTTCTTGATAGTCTTGTCAAGCCCGTTACTGTTCTTGATTCCACAGCTTGGGCTGATTGGCCATTCCATAGGTCTACTGTACTACACTGTATGAAGACGTACTTCCTTATATTCGTCCTGCATGACATCTTCGGAGCTTGAAATTGTGTTCCCTCATGTTGGTGGTACGTGACATCACCAACAACAACGGCCTGAGTTCATGTTTTCCATCCCTTGTCAAGATCTGCGCTATTGTGTCTTGTGTAAAGAGTTGTTAGTTGTCCGAGATATTATGATATGTAGTGAAAAGAATGTGACAGTGTTTAACTAAAATAGAAATATGAATAAAAGGGAGAGATAAGGCAGGAGAGTAGAGAGATGGAGAAAAGTATAAGGTAGACTGATAAACAAAAGTGAGTCAAGTTCAAGAAGGGAAAGTGAGCACCATAACTGATATATATGTAGAGAGAGAGAGATGTTTTACTTGCTGTACTAGGTATGTGTCACAGGGATTCATAGGATTTACATTGGTGGATGAAGGGAAGAGAACACCTGAAAAATGATCAGAGAACAGAATAATTAAGGAAAATAGTGAGATAATTTGAGATGGTGAAAAGGAAAGGTGAGAAGAGTCTGAAATTTAGACACTTGGTTAATGATGAAAATTTTAGTCTAGGTTTAGAGATAATAAAAGAAAAAAAATGTGATGAAGTGGTAAGTCTATGTTGAATGTGCTGTACTGAAGTTACCAAGGAAGATTTATTACAAATTACTGTATGACCTTTGTAAGTCCGAGAGAACGGGAGTCTTGGAAAAGTTATGATTAATGCTGTGATAAATAGAGATATTAGAAACTTCTTTGTTCATTATGACTGCAGCAATCTGATGCTGTTATATAGAATTCTGTCATGTGTCTTTTGTCCAACTCAGATGTATCCTGTAAAAGGTTGTCACCATGCAATTTTATTATTATTTTGTCTCATTTTGACTTACACATTCTTTAGTTGAAATTTTTTTAAATGATTGCATGAATATCCAAGGTATCCATATCCCTTGTCCTCAGTACACCTCAGCTTTCCAACATGTTTATAGCCAAAGAAACATTTCCATGTTCTAACATTGTTAATCTAATGTTGGAAATTTCCCTTGTCAGATTTAGTAAAGGTTAAATTAAAGTATAACAACTCTGTGCTGATGTTATTGTTGTTTACAAACATTCTTACCTCGGCCTGAATTTAAAGATTGCTGATTATGTCAAAGGTAGTTTTGTGACATTACAACGTGAGTAAGTGCCAATTAATCAGCATGTCGAGGAGTACCTTTATAGGAAACTTGTGTATTATTTATAATTTGACCACATCTGCTAAAACTCGAGATAATAAGTCAGGCATTGATTGGGCCAGACAGACTTTTTATCTGGAAATTGAAAAGTAACTTGACTTAAAGGTATAGAGTAATTGACATTTTAAATATTCTAATTGTGTTGTAATTACTGTATTTCAAGGTGCATTATTTCACACAGATTATTTTAAATTTAATTTTTTGAACCTAGATTTGGATGTGAAAGAAGTGTTGGTCAAGGGAGTGGTTTAGGGTCTACTCAAGTGGTAGAGCCTTCAGAGAAGAGAAAGTAAATGATTGGTAAAAGTGTGTAATTTAAAGGTGAATGGTAGGAGAGGGAGGGGGGGCATGTGAACAAGACAAAGATGTGAAGGAGAGGGTGGCGGTGAAGTGATGAGGATGGAACTAAGAGGGGGTGGGTGGGTGTGTGAGTGAACGAATAGTAAACGTAACGCTGGTGGGCAATTGAAAAGGTATAAGGATAGTCTTAAGACAAACCTGAAAAGGTGCCAAATCGACCCCCTCACCTGGGAGTTGATTACTCCACATTGTAACGTTTGGAGGAGCACCACCCGAGAAGGTGTCACTTCTTTTGAGTTAGCCCAACTACAAACCGAGGCAGATAAGCGCCAACGTCTGAAAGACGCCGCCACCACCCCTCCCACAGTAGATGGAGCCCTCCACATGCACAACAAATGTGGACGACTGTGGGTCCCATATCGGGCTCTTTAGTCACCTCAAAACTCACCAACCTAGGTGACATCCCTAATAACCCATATCATTTTACCATAGCTGGATGATCGTCATACTTGATTCCAAGTGACAGCAAAGTAGTAGTAATAGTGTGGGTGTTGGGTGTGTGTTTGTGTGAAAAAGCCAAGATCATGGTACTTAGTGTATTTTGGGGAAGGACTTGCTGTTGGTGGGTGTTGCTGACTTGTGTGAGGTGTTCAGTAAACCTGATTGGGAGCCATGTTGTAGAAGGTGAGTAATATTACTGTACCATTGTGACATAGGTCTTATACAGCAGTGAGAATGAATGATAAGTAAAAAATCTGAATGGAGAAAATTGTGTGTGTGTGTTTGCTTGCTTCCAGCCACCCTACAGATAGCAGGAAGGAAGCAGTTTAACCAAGACATACAGGAAGTCGATAAAATTGCATGGTGATAATATTGAAAGGGGAGGGGGGGGGGGGGAACCACCACTTTCCAATTGTCATAAGAGCCCCGTTTGTGTTAACTGCTGAGAGGTAGGAGGTGAAAGTTTCATCACATCCCAACTTTGCCTTCAGATTATCTCAGGATCAATAGTGTGACATTCTTGTAGTGTAATATATATATAGCAATGTTTATATATAATTATACAGTAAAATGGAACAGAAAGATCACAACTTTTTTTACTTGCCTATACATAATACTGTATAACTTTTTTTTTATATTGAACTGAAAACACAAGATAATAAAGTATGTAATATAAACTTGGATAGTATTTTATATTTATTTTACTGACCTTTGTAAAAAGATCTTTGTTCTAAGACTACTGTACTATTTTCATATACTCCATTTGCTCATTTGAATTGTACTTTATGTACTTCAACACGAAAGCTTTGTCTGTACAGTGGTCCGCCTACCAACAAGCACAGTTGGTTCCACAGTCATTCGTAAACTGAATATTATTTCAATGGGATATTGGGTAAAAGATTCCAACTCGCAGAAATCCCTCACGGACACCGGCACCACCAGGGGCCCTGCCAAGGGCGCTGGCACCCCCAGGGTTGACGGGCAACTCTCAGAGATGGCGGCGTCACAAGTGGCCCTTCCAAGGACAGCAGCGCCCCTAGGGGCTCTCCCAGGGACAGCAACACTCACAGGGTACCTCGCAGAGACAGCATTACCCCCAGGGGCCCTTGGGGCCCTTCAGTGGCTCTGACATCCCAGGGGCACTCCCAAGGAGAGCGGCGCTCCAAGGGGCCTTGCCAAGGGCATTGGCGCCCTCAAGAGCCTTCTCAGGTGAAGTGGCGCCCCAAGGACCCTCCCAGGGACGGCAGCGCCCCCAGGGTCCTTGCCAGGGACGGCAGCAACCCCAGGATTCCTGCCAGAGGTGCTGGCGCCCCCAGGGGCTCTCCTAGGAACAGTGGCACTCAAGGGGCCCCCAAAAGAATGGCGGCTCTCCCAGGGGCGGTGGTGCCCACAGGGTCCATGCCAGGGACAGCGGTGCTCCCTGGGGCCTTCCAGGGATGGTGGCGCTCCAAGGGGGCAGAGGCGGTGGCACCCCCATGGACTCTCAGGGACGGCAGCGCCCCCAGGAGTTGTGGCACTCCTAGGGGCTCTCCCATGGACAGCACCGCCCCTAGCACTCCTCGCAGGGTATGGCAACGCCCCCAGGGGCCCTGCCAGGGGTGCTGGCACCCCCAGGAGCTCTCCCAGAGGCCCTCCTAGGGACTGCAACAACCCCAGGGGCCCTCCTAGGGACGGCAACAACCCCAGGGGCCCTCCCAGGGATGTTGGCGCTCCAGGGGGCGGTGACACCCCTAGAGACAGCGGCGCTCCCAAGTACGGTGGCGCCCCCAGGGGGCCTGCCAGGGACAGCGGTGACCCCAGAGGCCCTGCCAGGGGCGCTGGCGACCCCAGGGTATTTCACAGGGACAGTGGCCCTTCCAGGGATGGCGGCGCCACCAGGAGCCATATCAGGGGCGGCAGTGACCCCAAGGGCTCTCCCAGGGACAGCGGCGCTCCCAGTGGTCCTCCCAGGGACGGTGGCGACCCCAGGGACCCTGCAAAGGGCTATGGTGCCCTTAGGGATTCTCCCTTCTTAGAGCACACATCTCAGTGGCAGTAGAACTGGCGATAGCCGGCTATTTAATCGATGACTGTGGCCAAGGTGCGAGGGCACTGGGAATACACTATCACATGTCCATTTGATGACAGCTCATGGCCCATAAGAAAGTTACCGTGGGTGATGTAATTAAATAAACCTTATGTGTGTAACCCAGGCACTGGCTCCTGCAGGGGCTCTCCCAGGGGTCCTCTCAGGGACGGCAGCACTAGCACACACAGGCACTCCCAGGGTTGAACCCAGGGGCTCTCCCAAGAAAAGCGGCGGTCCCAGGGACGGTGGAGCCTCTAGGGGCTCTCCTGGGGATGGCGGCCCTCTCAGGGGCTGTGGCGCCCCTAGGGACCCAGCTATGGGCGCAGGGGCTCTCCCAGAGTCATTGGTGCCGTTAAGTGCACTGACACCCTCAGGGACTCTCCCAGGGACAGCCGCGATTCCAGGAGCTCTCACAGGTACTGTGGCGCACCGAGAGGCCCAACCAAGGACGGCGGCGCCTCCAGGGTAACTGCCAGGGGCACTGCCACCCCCAGGGGGTCTTCCAGGGCCAGCTGCCCTCCCAAGGGCCCTCCCAGGGACGGCAGCGCTCCAAGGGGCAGTGCTAGGTGCGATGGCGCCATCAGAACCCTTCTAACGACGGCGGCTCCGCCAGGAAGCCTGCCAGGAGCGCTGGCGCCCCCAGGGACATCCTGGTTCTCAGGGACCCTACCAGGAACGCTGATTTTCCCAAGGGTCCTGCCAGGGGCGCTGGCGTCCCTAGGGACTCTCAGGGGTCCACTCAGGGACGGTGGCCCCCTAAGATCCCTACCAGGGGCGCTGGCGCCCACAGGGACTGTCCCAGAGACAGCTGTGCTCCAGAGAGCCCTCCCAGGGACTGTGGCGCTCCCAGCGGAACTGCGAGGGCGTTTGCACCTCCAGGGGCTCTCCCTGGGACAGCAGCGCTGCCAGGGGCCCTTCCAGGGACGACGGCACTCCAAGGGGCCGTTCCAGAGGCGGTGGCGCAATTTGGGGTCCTCCCAGGGACATCGGCACCCCCAAGGGCCCTGCCAGGGGCGCTGGTGCCCCCAGCGACTCTTTCATGGACAGCCGCGCTCCCAGGTGCCCTCCCAAAGACTGCAGCGCTCCCTCCCAGAGGCCCTCCTAAAGACTGTGGCGCTCCCAGGGGCCCTCCTAAAGACTGCATCGCTCCCAGGGGCCCTCCCAGGGACGTCGGCTCCCCAAAGGGCCCCGCCAGATGCGCTGGTGCCCCCAAGGGCTATCCCAGGGACAGTGGCACTCCTAGGTGCCCTCCAAGGGACGGCGACGCTCAAAGAGGCCCTTTCAGGGGCGGTGGCGCAACTAGGGGCCCTCTTAGGGACGGCGGCGCCCCCAGGAGCCCTGCCAGGGGCGTTGGCTCCTCCAGTGGCCCTGCCAGGGGTGCTGGAAACTCCAGGGACTCTTTCAGGGACAGCCACATTCCCAGGGGTCCTCGTAGGGATTGCAGCGCTCCCAGGGACGGTGGCGCCCCAAGGGCCCCTGCAAGATGTGCTGGCGCCCTAGGGGCTATTCCAGGGACAGCGGTGCTCCCAGTTGCCCTCCCAGGGAAGGCGACACTCCAAGGGGCCCTCTCAGAGGTGGTAGCACAACCAGGGGACCTCCCAGGGATGGCAGCAACCCCAGGGGCCCTGCCAGGAGTGCTGGCGCCCCTTGGGACTCTCCCAGGGACAGATGCGCTCCCAAAGGACCGCCTAGGGGCGACGGCGCCCCAGGGGCTTCATCGTGGTGTTATACATATTGCATACGTCCAGCAATCCCTTACTTAACTGTGATTGGTGGACTAAAATGTAAATCCACCAAATTACAGCCAATAGGAGAACAGAGCAATCAGTCAGCACAACACCCCAACTTATGATTTCCTGTTGGATATATAATCTCCTTTTCATTGTTCAGGATGCAATGACACTGGAAATGTGATGGGCAGTGTATTTATTTAACGTTATATATCTCAGAGTTTTAAATAGTGCAAACACAACTGCCCCCAGGGACGACGGCGCCCCAAGGGCTTCATCCTGGTGTTGTACATATTGCATACGTCCAGCAATCCCTTACTTAACTGTGATTGGTGGACTAAAATGTAAATCCACCAAATTACAGCCAATAGGAGAACAGAGCAATCAGTCAGCACAACACCCCAACTTATGTTTTCCTGTTGGATATATAATCTCCTTTTCATTGTTCAGGATGCAATGACACTGGAAATGTGATGGGCAGTGTATTTATTTAACGTTATATATCTCAGAGTTTTAAATAGTGCAAACACAACTGCCCCCAACGACACAACATGCATCCGTCCAGCAGTGATTGGTGGACTAAAATGTAAATCCACCAAATTACAGCCAATAGGAGAACAGAGCAATCAGTCAGCACAACACCCCAACTTATGTTTTCCTGTTGGATATTTAATCTCCTTTTCATTGTTCAGGATGCAATGACACTGGAAATGTGATGGGCAGTGTATTTATTTAACGTTATATATCTCAGGGGTGGCGGCGATCCCAGGGGCCCTTCAAGGAGCGGGCACCCTAGGGGCTATTCCAGGGACAGCGGTGCTCCCAATTGCCCTCCCAGGGAAGGCGACACTCCAAGGGGCCCTCTCAGAGGTGGTAGCACAACCAGGGGACCTCCCAGGGACGGCGGCGACCCCAGGGGCCCTGCCAGGAGTGCTGGCGCCCCTTGGGACTCTCCCAGGGACAGATGCGCTCCCAGAGGACCGCCTAGGGGCGACGGCGCCCCAGGGGCTTCATCGTGGTGTTGTACATATTGCATACGTCCAGCAATCCCTTACTTAACTGTGATTGGTGGACTAAAATGTAAATCCACCAAATTACAGCCAATAGGAGAACAGAGCAATCAGTCAGCACAACACCCCAACTTATGTTTTCCTGTTGGATATATAATCTCCTTTTCATTGTTCAGGATGCAACTGGAAATGTGATGGGCAGTGTACTTATTTAACGAATATCTCAGAGTTTTAAATAGTGCAAACACAATGGGGGACAGATGGCGCCCCAAGGGCTTATTTTGGTGTTGTACATATTGCATTATTACTTAACTGTGATTGGTGGACTAAAATGTAAATCCACCAAATTACAGCCAATAGAAGAACAGAGCAATCAGTCAGCACAACACCCCAACTTATGTTTTCCTGTTGGAATATAATCTCCTTTTCATTGTTCAGGATGCAATGACACTGGAAATGTGATGCAGTGTATTTATTTAACGTTATATATCTCAGAGTTTTAAATAGTAAACACAACTGGGACAACGGCGCCCCAAGGGCTTCATCCTGGTGTTGTACATATTGCATACGTCCAGCAATTCATCGTGGTGTTGTACATATTGCATACGTCCAGCAATCCCTTACTTAACTGTGATTGGTGGACTAAAATGTAAATCCACCAAATTACAGCCAATAGGAGAACAGAGCAATCAGTCAGCACAACACCCCAACTTATGTTTTCCTGTTGGATATATAATCTCCTTTTCATTGTTCAGGATGCAATGACACTGGAAATGTGATGGGCAGTGTATTTATTTAACGTTATATATCTCAGAGTTTTAAATAGCGCAAACACAACTGTCCCCAAGGACATCCCAGAGGCGACGGCGCTGCCAGGGGTTCTCTCAGGGGTGGCGGCGATCCCAGGGGCCCTTCAAGGAGCGGTGGCACCCTAGGGGCTATTCCAGGGACAGCGGTGCTCCCAATTGCCCTCCCAGGGAAGGCGACACTCCAAGGGGCCCTCTCAGAGGTGGTAGCACAACCAGGGGACCTCCCAGGGACGGCGGCGACCCCAGGGGCCCTGCCAGGAGTGCTGGCGCCCCTTGGGACTCTCCCAGGGACAGATGCGCTCCCAGAGGACCGCCTAGGGGCGACGGCGCCCCAGGGGCTTCATCGTGGTGTTATACATATTGCATACGTCCAGCAATCCCTTACTTAACTGTGATTGGTGGACTAAAATGTAAATCCACCAAATTACAGCCAATAGGAGAACAGAGCAATCAGTCAGCACAACACCCCAACTTATGTTTTCCTGTTGGATATATAATCTCCTTTTCATTGTTCAGGATGCAATGACACTGGAAATGTGATGGGCAGTGTATTTATTTAACGTTATATATCTCAGAGTTTTAAATAGTGCAAACACAACTGCCCCCAGGGACGACGGCGCCCCAAGGGCTTCATCCTGGTGTTGTACATATTGCATACGTCCAGCAATCCCTTACTTAACTGTGATTGGTGGACTAAAATGTAAATCCACCAAATTACAGCCAATAGGAGAACAGAGCAATCAGTCAGCACAACACCCCAACTTATGTTTTCCTGTTGGATATATAATCTCCTTTTCATTGTTCAGGATGCAATGACACTGGAAATGTGATGGGCAGTGTATTTATTTAACGTTATATATCTCAGAGTTTTAAATAGCGCAAACACAACTGTCCCCAAGGACATCCCAGAGGCGACGGCGCTGCCAGGGGTTCTCTCAGGGGTGGCGGCGATCCCAGGGGCCCTTCAAGGAGCGGTGGCACCCTAGGGGCTATTCCAGGGACAGCGGTGCTCCCAATTGCCCTCCCAGGGAAGGCGACACTCCAAGGGGCCCTCTCAGAGGTGGTAGCACAACCAGGGGACCTCCCAGGGACGGCGGCGACCCCAGGGGCCCTGCCAGGAGTGCTGGCGCCCCTTGGGACTCTCCCAGGGACAGATGCGCTCCCAGAGGACCGCCTAGGGGCGACGGCGCCCCAGGGGCTTCATCGTGGTGTTATACATATTGCATACGTCCAGCAATCCCTTACTTAACTGTGATTGGTGGACTAAAATGTAAATCCACCAAATTACAGCCAATAGGAGAACAGAGCAATCAGTCAGCACAACACCCCAACTTATGTTTTCCTGTTGGATATATAATCTCCTTTTCATTGTTCAGGATGCAATGACACTGGAAATGTGATGGGCAGTGTATTTATTTAACGTTATATATCTCAGAGTTTTAAATAGTGCAAACACAACTGCCCCCAGGGACGACGGCGCCCCAAGGGCTTCATCCTGGTGTTGTACATATTGCATACGTCCAGCAATCCCTTACTTAACTGTGATTGGTGGACTAAAATGTAAATCCACCAAATTACAGCCAATAGGAGAACAGAGCAATCAGTCAGCACAACACCCCAACTTATGTTTTCCTGTTGGATATATAATCTCCTTTTCATTGTTCAGGATGCAATGACACTGGAAATGTGATGGGCAGTGTATTTATTTAACGTTATATATCTCAGAGTTTTAAATAGCGCAAACACAACTGTCCCCAAGGACATCCCAGAGGCGACGGCGCTGCCAGGGGTTCTCTCAGGGGTGGCGGCGATCCCACGGGCCCTTCAAGGAGCGGTGGCACCCTAGGGCCCTCCCATGGGTGATGACGCACCCAGGGACCCTCCTAGAGGCGGTGGCTCCCTTAGAGAACCTACCAGGGGCAGTAATGCCCCCAAGCGCCCTTCCAGGGGCGGTGATGCCCCCAGGGGCATTCCTAAAGGCGGTGTCGTCTCCAGGGGCCCTCCCATGGTCGTCAGGGGCCCTCCAGGAGGCTATGGCGACCCCAGAGAAACTCCTAAGGGTGGTGGTGTTCCCAGTGGCCCTCTTAAGGGCGGTGGTGCCCCCAGGGGCCGTTGCACGGGCGGTCACGCCCAGGGGACTTTTCCAGGGGCGGTGATGCCCTCAGAGGCACTCCTAAGGGCGGCGTCGTCCCCAGGAGCCCTCCCATGGTCGGTGAGGGCCATCCGAGAGGCTTTGGCGACCCCAAAGGCACTCCCAGTGGTGGTGGTGCCCCCAGGAGCCCTATCAGAGGCAACAGTGCACCCATGGGTCCTCATAGGGTCGACAGCGCCCCCAGGGGGAACTACCTAAGGGTGGCAGCGCTCCCTGGGACGCTTTTTAGGGGTGGCGGCGCCCCCAGGGGCCGTCTCAGGGGTAGCAGTGCCCCCAGAGGCTCACTCACGGGTGGTGGCGCTCCCAGAGGCCCTCCCAAGTGCCGTGGTAACCCCAGGGGCCCTCTTAAGAACGGTGGCACCCCCAGGGGTCATCCCAAAGGCAGTGACGTCCCTAAAGGTGCTCCCATGGGTGGCGGCGCCCCCAGAGAACCACCCACGGGCCCTTCCATGGTCGGCGGGGGCCCTCCGTTTAGGCTCTGGCGACCCCAGGGGCACTTCCAGGTGTGGTAGTGCCCCCAGGGGCCTTTTCAGGGGTGGCGGCGTCTCCAGAGGCCCACTCACGGATGGTGGCGCCCCAAGAGCCGTGGTAACCCCAGGAGTCCACTTAAGAGCGGTGGCGTTCCCAGGGCCATCCCAAAGGCAGTGGCGTCCCTTAGGGGTCCTCCCATGGTCGGCGGGGTCCCTCAGTGAGGCTCTAGCGACCCCAGGAGCACTCCCAGGTGTAGTGGTGCCCCCAAGGGCCCTCTCAAAGGCGACAGCTCACCCACAGGCTCTCATAGGGTGGGCAGCGCCCCCAGGGGGACTTCCTATGGGTTGTGGCACTCCCAAGGACACTCCTTAGGGGTGGCGGTGCCCCCCTGGGCCCTTCCAGAGGCGGCGGCGCTCTTAGGGGCCTTCCCAAATGCGGAGGCACCACTAGGGAACCTCACAAGAGTGGCAGCGCCTTTAGAAGGCCCTCCCTAGCTTGGTGGCGACCCCAGGGACTCTTTTTAAGGGTGGCGGAGATCCCAGGGACTCTCTCAGTGATAGCGGCACTCCCAGGGACTGCTGTGCCCCCAGGGACCCTGCCAAAGGCGCTGGTGCCTCCAGGGGTCCTCTCAGGGATGGTGGCGCCCCCAGGGGTTCTTCCAGGGACAGCTGCATTCCTAGGGACCCTCCCAGGGACACAGGCACTAGCTGGGTCCCTCTCAGGGACGGTGACGTCAATATGTGCTCTCCCAGGGACAGCAACGTTCCCAGGGTGCCCTCTCAGGTGCGGTGGTGCCCCCAGGGGCCATGCCAGGAACAGTTGTGCTCCCAAGGGCCCTCACAGGGATAGCAGCACCCCCAGGGGCCCTTTCCGGGACGGCAGCACCCCCAGGGACTTGATCTCACTCTCCTTTACTGTATATATATATATATATATATATATATATATATATATATATATATATATATATATATATATATATATATATATATATATATATATATATATATATATATATATATATATATATATATATTAGTTTGTCTTAAGAATACATAATCCAAGAGTAAATGTATGTAAATGTATTCAGGTACGGTAATGGAGACACTGGAGCTAAATTTGTACTTGAGGTTCTTGGACACAGCTTTGGCTGTGGGTGTGACTCCACATACTTACTTCAAAATAATAATTAATATAAAAAGTGTATTTTACTGCAAAAAGTATCTTTGCTATTTTGACAAAATTCTGCTGTATAAGCTGATACATGTATATATGTATACTGTATACATATACAGTGGTCCCTCGGTTAACGAGCACAATCCATTCTAGAAGGTTGCTCGTTAACCGAAAACTCGTTAACCGAAACCATTGTTTCAATGGGTTTTTGGGTAATTGGTTCCAGCTCACCGAAAATTACATACAAACTAAAAATAAATGCAGTAAAGTACACTTATTTTGAGGTGTGTATGTAGAAGGCTCCTGGATGATGATGATGATGATGGGAATTAGAATGGGGGTGGAGGAGAAGGCATTGGGGTGGAAGAGAAGTCACCCCATGGCACCATTTCACCCATAAAATTTTAGTTCTCTTGATGTAATTCAAGATTATTTTCTTTAAATCAACACTGCACTGCATTATATATTGTCAATATGTAAAATAAATTTTAAAATGACCAATAATTTGCTTGCAAACACAGAAAAAAGCATTTAGTTGATGAGAGTCTCAAGCAAGATGTTACTTCCACTGAAAAGACAGAGAGACTGGCGCCTGTTTGGTGTGTTGTCAGGCTGGATGGCGCGCATGAAACTAGTTTCCTTACCTTCAATTATGTTCAATAATTGTTAAAATGACTAAAAAATTTAATATTAAACTTTTAAACTTATTGAATAGTATAAACTTTTTGGTATTTACTAAAATAGTAAGGAATTTAAGCCCTAAAACCGATTATTGTATTGGCGGACTAATACTACAGCTGGTGGACCCCAAATGCAAGTGAAAACATGTTCAGGTCGGCTCGTAAAAAACTTGTTAATCGAGGGATTGCTCGTTAACTGAAGTTAAGAATCTTATGGAAGGTAACTCGTTAACCGAGGGATCACTGTATTATCATACAGTAATATATACAAATATACATAGAGAGATGGGGGAGAATCTTAAATTTGGCAGTGGCTTTATTATGTGGTAGAGTCTATGTATAGATGGTGTTATAACTTCAGGATCTGTATAGATGATTTTTATATTGAGTGCTCTCTCAGTCACCCCTGCCACTGTTTATAGGTTAATCAGCATGTTCAGCAGTTAGCTATACAGTGATTTTGAACAAAATTGAAGTGACGAAAATTGCAGTTGAAATGGTAAGCCTTACCTCTTAGTGATCTTTGGGTTGGCAAACCCATTTTCTCCAAGAAGTGGATTTTAATGTGTATAACTATTTAAGTACAACCAGAGTAGTGTAAAAACACACAAAAACTTCTAATGAAATACCATAGGTAACAAGTAATCAGCATTCCAGGAGTCATTAGTGCAAGTAATTGCCCAAATATTACAATTTTGACCAAAGATTCTTAAATACCTATACAGTATAGTACTGCACTGACCTCCACGTGTTTGTCCAGTTAGCTGCCTTATTACAAATTGACCCTAGACCTTTGTTGCATATACTGTAAAGTATACAGTCTCATGAATGGTTATAATATGCTTTGTGGGACACTTTACAAGACTGAAAGGAATATATTGTTTGTTTAGTTTGACTGTCCTCAGGCTGGGGCCACGTAGGCCATCTTTAGCTCCTCATCACACAACAACCAACTTAAAAAGGAGAAGTTTAAACAATCACAGTACATTTAAATAAAGTATTTTATTTAACATTTTAAAAAGCAAAATGTACAGCTTAGTTACAAGATCTTATGGGTGATCATAATCAGATAAAATGCTGCCCTTATCTGCCAGATGATCCGCCATCGGACGCTGCCCCTTCACACAATCACCAGCCCACACAATGCCCTGCTTGGCTATGCTTTCAAACATTAAAGGATTTTTAAACATGTGGATTGTATCACTAATAGGATGACAGCCCCGGTTTATGTCAGAGCACAACTCATAAGTGTTTGTGTTACAGCAAGTGGCCTCATAATAAATGCACATGGTTGGGGCAACAGTTTAGGACCAATATTGCATCTTTCCATGGGACTCGAAAAAGGATATTCCATTCTAAATTACACAATAGAGGATTCCCTTTCCATGTAAAAAATGCCTAACCAGTGTACAAAACATAAATAGAAATCCTCAAATTGTACTGAAAATATTCAATAATATCTCAAGGCTGCACTGACCATATATTGCAGTTAAATATGACTAAAAGAAATTTGTTTACAATCAAAGGTCAGATAAATAAATGCTCTTAAAAAGGCAGGGAAACATGTCATCTGCTATATGAAAATATTCATAATCATCATAACTAAAGCTCTCATACCAATGAGAATGGAAATCATATTTAAAACAAAAATTATGTTTCCCTATGAAAGACAAGAGAAGAAATGCAAAATCTACACAAAGTACAAAGAAAAAAGAAAAACAAGTACAAATGGAGAGTCACCATACAGCGCTCTGCCAATAGTTTACACGGTTTATGCTACAATAAATACAAACAAAAAAGCCTCTACAGCTGGATACAAACCTAACCACAAAAGATGACTTTATTGCGTTCTAAAGCCAGATCCAAGCCGACTTACCTTAGACCGACATGTTGTACATATATACTCGAGTTATGATTATCCGCTGGGAAACAGGGGCCCGAAACGCCACAATTCCTGCCATCACTAAAACATTATGCTGACATTGGCCTCACACCAAGCTCAGTATCACAACGTAAAAGACTAAGACGTTTCATCACTAAAATAAACTTAGATAACACTGCCCTATAACAATTAAGCACACTTCTCAGTCAATTAATCGATTATTTAAGATCACTTTGTACTTAGATGAAAATCAGGCTTCACCCTGAGTCCATTAAACTGAACTCAGAACACCAGGATCACGCCAAAATACAGGTATCAACATTATTTTGCTCACTAAGGGTTCCTCCACATATCATGGAGTCTCTAAATTATTAACTTGACCATCAAAGTTGCCAAGTAAAAGTAAATTAGTTATATTATCATTTCTTTAAACCATGTATAAACACCATAAATAAGTATCTAAAATATAGCTCTCACAACAGGCCCAAAAATATGAGTTTTCACTAAAAAATCTTTGTGTAATTCAAGCAATACAGATGTCAGGGTTCTTCAAAACACTTAAAAGTTTGTGTTGTTTCACTTGATCACATACCCTGACTCACCCTTATATCACTAGTCAAAATATTGCCTAGTTTTGCATAAGTCATTGATACTTTCAGTAATTGGATCCAGCACAGTCAACACCAACATTGCACTTGCGTTGACAGTTGCTACTCATTAATAAGCACCATAATTAAAATACTGAGATTTGAGTGTTGAGACTATCGACGCATGGTGCCGTTGAGCTGTAGTGGCGGCATATAAGAATATGGTGGGTACATGGTGTTCTGGGGCTGGGAGCGTGGGTCCTGGTACTGGCCAGCAGCCTGGGGATGCATATTCATCATCTGCATGGGCAGCTGCTGATTCATAAATGAAGGGTTGGTCAGGTACGATGTGTTGAGGGCCGACATGGCCCCCGGTTGGCCCGGCATTCGGTAACCATTCATTTGGTACCCCAACACTGTTGGGGCCATCATATTGGAGGACATCTGAGCTGCTGCTGCCTGGTGTGACTTGTATTTATATGATAACGGCACCTGGGACTGTAAGTTTGAGATGGGTGGCGTCATATTACGCTGGGCAGCGGCTGCAGTGACTGTAGGTGGCGGAGTTACGGTGTGAGACGGGGGAGGAGTCACGGTGTGTGGAGGAGGAGTTACGCCTGCACAAGGAGGCGGTGGCACAATGTCCATGATCCCATTTGTGAGCTGCTGTAACCGTGCTATACTACAGGAAGAGGCACTTCCCTGTGCTCCTCCTGGATGCTGCTGCTCATTAGCCATGGGAGTTGGAGTAGGAGATGGTCCTGGGGGGCTTGAATTAAGAAAGTGGTAATTGCCTCCTGAAGGTCCACACACACTTGGGGCATTGGCTGCATGGGTAGCACGCTGAGATGAGGCAGATGAGGAGTTTTGAATGGTGCGTTGGGCCGAAGCTGACGAGTTATGGCTTGTACCTTGCTGCGGAGTGCTTGGGCCTCCCATGCGTGACTGTATAACCGAGGTCATATACGAAGACGAATGGGCAGGAGTGTGTGCCTGAGCATAGGTTGTCACAGATGGCTGTGGCAGGTAGCCCTGGCTGATCATTGACCCATGATGCCCCAACATTTGCTGGTGAGGACTCATCATGTAATTTGCATGATGACCAAAGTTTTGCATTTGTGAATGTGAGTGTGTGACATGAGGTGTGCGAGGTGGATGCGGGGTATGGGCACCATGAGGGTGGTAGGACATAGGGTGGTGCTGTCCCAGGCCTGAGGGTGGGTGGGGTGTTGATGCTACCATTCGTTGGGTCATTACATTTACTTGATTTGAGACATGCATGGCTGCTACAGACTGGGGAGACAACTGAGTGCTAAGATTGGATGGTGGCCGGGAACCTGCAGAAGCAGCCTGTGTTTGTGGCTGTGAAGGAGGTTTGGGCTGGATATGCCGCTGTTTAGATGGCTGATGCTTAGCTGGAGCTTGATGTGAATGTGTGTGGGGTAGTGTTACAACCCCTATCGCAGGAACAGTTTGAGCAGCTGCCTGTGTAATGATGGCCTGTGGTTGTGGCTGTGGTTGAGGAATTGGTTGTGGCAATATAGGGGTTGGTGTTGGAGTGGTCCTTGTTATGTGTGGAGGAGTAGGAGTAGTAGGTTGAGTGTGAGTTGGAGTGGTAGGCTGTACATGGGTTGGAGTAGTGGGCTGTACGTGGGTGGGTGTCGGAGGCTGGACCTGTTGGCTGGATATTTGAGCACAATCACTATAGCTCTGTGGTGTTGACGCTTGCTGAGGGGGTTCAACTGAGTGTGCCATTTCATTACTAGATATAGATGTTGGCGACTCAATGCCAAGCTGTGACACATCAAAATCACCTTGTGAAGAATACCCATGCATTGAATGCACAGAATTTGTGGTTGAATCTGGTGTATACACTCCCATACTGCTAACTTCCTGTTGGTGTGGTGGGGTAGGGGTAGGTGCTTGACGGGTGATCACAGATGTGGTGTTGGTGGACCCACAAGATGAGGGTGGTGTGCTACCTGCTGAAGAATTTATTACTTTAGGTCCATCTCCAACTTCTAATGCAAGGTCGTGTGTGTGTGCCGCCTCTTGGCCCGTTGGATGATTATCTACTTTAGGGGCATCAACGGGCTCATACGTCTGTTCCATTTGTGAAGCAAGGGTCTCTTCTTGGCGACCAGCAGCACTAAGAGTATCTGGTACTCCAGGAACTGTGGCCTGGACATGTGGCTCACTCACATGACCTTCACTCTCTTGAGAACATTCCTTGGCTTGTTCTTGTTGATTTTCTGGTTGTTGCTGATGCTGCAAGTCTTCTATCACAGGCTCACAATGCTGATCTTTACTATCTTGTTCCTCTTGACTGTGGTGACTAGATACTGTGGATAGCAAGGGAGTTTCAGCTACAGGCACAGGTTCCCCAACTACTGGCAAGTGACATGAAGACCGTGTGTCCTCAAGGCTAATTGGCTGAGGGGAAAGGCCCATTCGTGGGGGGGAAGCTGGTTGCATTGGTTCAACTGGTACCTCTGGCACTGGAGATGAGGGAGAGTGGAGAGGGGCAGGAGATCCAATTGAGGATGGTGAAGGTGGAGATCCTAGGGACTGTGGAGAGGTAGGTGTAACAGGAGCAGGGGCACAGGGTGGCTCTAATGGTGAGTCTGAAGGAAGCAAGGATGGCACAGGGGAAGGTGATGTAGGTGATGGAGGAGCTGGGGCAGGAGGTGGGGAGCTGGGGATGGGTGATGGGGGGACAGAGGATACTGGGGATCTAGAGTGATCAAGAGAATTAGTAGGACTTGGTGGGATTATTTCATTTTCTGACTGTAAGGAAGGACACGGAGGAATGACTGGTGAAGGTGGATGTGAGAGTGTAGACACATTTAGTTGGGGAAGGGCTGGACCAAGACTCTTGGGTTCCTCTATAATCTCTGACGGTCTGTTATCCTCACCCAGTGTGGGGTCTCGTTCCTCTGTTCCTCCCCAGATGCTCTCCACAGCCTTGGTTACTTCCTCCTGGTATGCTTCATCCACTCTACCATCTCCTACTTTACATTCTACAACTTCATGAACTTCCTCTACTGGGGGTGGAGTGCTGTAATTCTCATGCTCTATACAGTCTCCATTGGGGACACTCTCACAGGTTCCGTTCATGATGCTGGCCACAGCCTTGTCTGCCTCACTTAGTTCCTGCTCTCCATCCCCACTTGCTTCTTTCTCCACTACCACCTCCTTAGCAGGGTCATGGTTTTCTTTTTCCACTTCCATTTCGTCTTCTCGTCTTTCAGCTTCTCCCTTGTCATTTGTATTTAAGTGTTTACTGTTGGAGGAAGCATCACACTCTTTAACGTTCTCCAGATCACTGGTAGAATTTGTCAGGTTTTGCACTACATCATCACTACTGTTTTGCACTACTTCATCACTGCTACTTTTGTCCGCAGTCTTACACTGACCATTATTTTCCACCACACGATTTTCCTCACACACTTCCATTCCCTGGCTCTTTTCTTCATTTTTCTTCACCACAGTACTTTTTTCAACACTCTTGAGAGGTATACCATTTTCCACTTCCTCACTTTTGGGTTTGTCTTCCTGCATAGGCTCATGTGTCTCCAGCTGGGTCTCCATCAACTCCAGCTGACTGTCTGTCACTTGCAGGCGGTTCTCTTTTGTTTCTAGTTTGTTCTCTGTCACTTCTAACTGTTGCTTTTTCGCTTCCAACTGGTTCTCTGTCACTCCCAACGGATTCTCCGCCTCCTCCAGATGATTTTCTATTGCCTCCATCCGGGTCTCCTTTATCTTCAGCTTCTTTTCATCACTGACCTTCCGGTGGTTCTCCGTCAGTTTGTTCAGCTGCTCAGGATCCTCATGCAAACTTTCTTGCAGCTCACCAGCATCCACTGCAGGAGGCTTTTGCTCCCCTTTACACTGGAATGGAAAAAATACCTTCATTACTTACAAAACCTCTATACATGTAGTGGGAGATTCATCAGACACACACACATATTCACAAGCAAAAAGTATTCAATATTACCTCATGCAACTGACCTGATGACCACGAAGAAACCTCCAATTTATAAAATTTTAACACACCAGTCTCCTCAACACTACCAAAACCACTAAGATTATAACTAACACAGTTTACATCAAAGTCCATCATATAAACCCACTTAGGTTTCAATGCTATATATTTGTAGGCTTTGTCTGTATAACAAGGCAGATTGGGACACACACATATCTATAGTTAATCTTTATGTTGACTCTATGTTTCTTATGTTTCTTTATTTAAAGCTTTTGTCAATCAAGTGACCCACTCCCCGATTTCATCAGATGTAACTTATGGTCTCTGTTTATTGTATATTTTCAGCCTTCGGGCTGCCATGTTATCTTAATAAACCGTTAATTTTTATTATTATTATTATTATTATTATTATTATTATTATTATTATTATTATTGTTATTATTATTATTATTACACACACTTTCTAAAACATGTCACAGAAAACCCTACAGTAATTCTCTAAGCGGCCTCTTAGTTTTGCTCTCCCAAACAGGAAGTAATCATCAGAGTGTTTTCAAAGATATATAATGGTGTATGTAAGTCTAAACCACAGTAATATCTCAGGGATCCATATGGAGAGAAATATAAATACTGTATGAGAGGAAGAAAATGTAAACAAACAATGGTAAGAAAATAAAACGAGAGAAAAATAATTCTTTCAAAGGGAGATGTAGTATAAAATGAACCGTGTCGACAGGGAAAGACATAACCTACCCCTTTCTCTCTCTCTCTCTCTCACCGGTGATCACGACAAACTTTGAAATGTTATCTATGTTTCAAGCTGAGCAATCTATCTATTCAATTAGAGGACTTGACTTCCATCTAAGTGAAAATAAATGGCAAAATCCTGATGGGGAAGGAATCCACACCTCCACTATTCCTTTCCCACATCCTGCTTCAAAATTAAATTAGAAGGCTACTTCACTACATTAACCTTACCGCAATCTCATCCATAAGGGCTCGAGTACAGATCTTAGTAGTAATAATAAATAAGGGTCTTGAGAATGAAATGGTGATAGTTTGTGGTTATTTGTCACCTCTATGCTACCATGGTGCCAGCATCTAACACATGCACTAGAGTAATATCATGCTCATCCATTACTTGATATCACAAACGACTCACTTTTGGTCTCCCCCGTCCCCGGCCCGACGGTCTACCCGGGCCCCGACCTCGGCCGCGATTTGAGTTCTTTGGGCCACGAGGCACACCCTTGGGCCAGCCACGCTTCCTAACGAGCGAGGGTTGGTCACTCTCACTTGCTTTATCATCTGGATCAGAGGTCACCTTGTTCTCTACATTAGTATCTGATCTGGCTTCTGTCTTGTGATCTCCTCCTTGTTTCTTGTCTTCTATTGACTGAAAACACAAAACAAAAGCATTCTTATTAATAAAAAAATAATAAAAATAATTATTCACAGCAGTTGATGACAGCACACTTTCATTTTTATTCTGTATAATATTAATAATAATAATAATAATAAAGGGGTTTTCAATGTTATGTTGTTTTAATGCCAGGTACTGTATTGTACCCAGATGCAAATGCAGATAAATATTATCCCTCTACAGTAGTCTCAGTCAGTCAGCCATTTAGGCCGCTGAAAAATATGTGTTCTGCTATGGTGCTGCTCTTCTACAGCAAAGTCCCATCATATCTGGTTTATTCCTATTACTTCACGTAAGCATATACCACCCTAAACAGTACTTCCTTACAGTTCATTTTTCTCATATAGGAAGTGACATTCTCCTAAACTCAATGGTGTCTGTTTACTTGTTGACTTTTGGGAACAGTTTACCAAAGCTAAAACTGAATATAAGCCATTATAAGTCTGGCCAATCCACTAAATCAACTAATACTAAGTTCAAGATGTGTGACCACCAGGTACTGCTCCCCACCTACAGTAAAACAGACCAACTACTGTGGCCTTGTGTCTGGTGTACCACAGACCACTCTTATCTTGGTGCCATTGTTTACTATAGAGGTAAACATAACCTGTTGTTTTTCTCTGGCATTTGACAATTTATCCTAATTTCCTTTAGATTTTTATTCAATAATTATTAATTTTATATGCATTAACATATATTTAAGTTAGTTTTATGGAATTGAAAGTGTCTGTAGCACTAAAAAGATGTCAACTATGTAATACAGCACTATACAGCTACTCTCAAACAACCACCACTTCCGGAGAACATGGCAGGAGCCCAGTCACGAGGATTCTGGATATTAAAGAGTTTACTGCACCAATTAACTCATGTTAATATTCAGTCAACAAATATTACCAAGTCAAATAACAAGTGTAATACTGTAACACCTCCCATCAAGTCTGTGGGTCCTCTTATGGTACATACAGTATCAGGTTTAGTGTTACCCAGCAGATTTTTACTTTGCGGTTTTCAGTTATTCGCAGATGAAACCCTGGATGTACCCAAGAATGTCTGTGGGTAGTTTTAAAGTTGCCGTCATTATTGCGGCTGGGACAAGGAGCCATTCGTTCTAGAGAGAGTAATTTCCTTTACCTGTACAGTATTGTAAATATGTTTGTGTATGTAGATACACACACACAAATAAATAATTATATTGGAAAATCATCTCATAAATAATTAGAAACAAATTTATTAATAATGTGACAGTCTACCCTCATGTCCGAGCTCTATTACAGTAGTTTATTAATGGAGCACGAACTTGAGGGTAGACTGTCACATTATTAATAAATTTGTTTCTAATTATTTATGAGATGATTTTCCAATTATTATTTATTTGTGTGTGTGTGTGTGTGTGTAGACACATACACACACACTATCACATTCACTGGACATAAATGGGAGCTTTATGACCCCCACACACCCTTCATACATCGTCACACTTTACTCCCTTGACTCTCCAAAGTACCACGTGCTATTCACAAAGAAAACATCTATCCCGCTCACTGAGATACCTCTACACTTACACCCCTATTCACCACAACAGTAAGAACGCACAATGCCTTGAACAGTCAGTCAGTCAGTCAGTTAGTCTCTTGACACTCTCTAAACTGTACTCACATTACTCCAGTTCTCGGCTCTCTCTGGCTTTTACCTATAGCATGTAACTTCTGTAAATATATTGATTTCTTACTGCAGTTTTTAAACAAAGACACATACTGTATTGACCTCCCCCACTGCAATTTTTTGGACAGACACATACTGATATCTTATGGCAGTTTACAGACAGACACATATTGACCTACCACTGCATTTTGTTTTAGATAAACCTTCCAGTGCAGTTTTTAGTGGTTATAAACATGTCACTACATATTAATATTCTTTTTAACTCCCCTTGACATTTGGCTTAACAGTACTGCTGAAGGAGACAGTGTCATCAGGTCACACTCCACAGCTCCCTATTCTTGTTTTCACTCATGGCTTTAAATAAACAGTTCACACACACACTTGCTCTTGTATTACATATATCACACAGTCTTTGATATCATTATACGTGTAAATCCTACCTGGTCAGGCTGAGGAACTTCTGGTCGCTTCTCAATGTCAACCATGGGCTCTAGGTGTGGCATTTCCAAGTCTGTGCTGTCCACGCTATCAATGGGGAAAGGGCTGTCATTAAAAACACAAATACAGTACATTATTTCTCCACACAACTCTTAGTCGAATCAAATAACTAAGTATAAGTTTAAACAAGGGATAACAAGCTTTAAGAGGCACAGGGCATCGTGCAGGAGTACAGTACACATGCCACCTCAAGCACTGCACGTCTGGCTGCAACAGGATAAGTCTAAGTCTCCAGCTATGTAAAAAGAAAATTAAATGCTTTAAGAAAATTTCAATATTTAGCTAAATATGAGAAACCTTCCTCTGAAATAGCATCCTAGAGCAAGACTCATTCTACAGAGTCATACACATCACATCACTCAATACACAAAAGAAAGAAATTAAATAAATAACAGCAAACATAATGATTTAGTGAATAAACAAGATTCAAAGGTTACAAATGAAATTAATGATATGAACTAGTTAATATGCTGGGTAAAGGACAAGTGGGTATACTGTACTGTAGTAATCACAAGTGGGTGTACTGTACTGTAGTAGTCAATCAGCTAAGTACAGTACAATAACCTGGAAACTATCACAGGACAATGACTGCATGCATCAGTAGGAACATCTGACCATTGGTAAGTATTAAGGGAAAGAATGATTACTTATGGTTTCATGAAAATAATACTAAGAAGAAGGGAAGGCTTACAAGCATAACAGCAAGTAACAAGTGTAGTTTTACAGCATGAAAAGATGCAAAAGATCATTTTACGAAACGTAATAGTCGTTACAGCCCCTCCCTGTCACATTGGACACTGTGTCGTTAAACATAGGTGAGAAACAAGCAGCTTAATTCAAAAGTTACCAAGAAAACACTGTAGTTAAAAAATTCACCAAGATTCTAAAAACAAAAACAGCATTACCACAAAATTGACACAAGTTAGCCAGTTGATATATTTGGCAACTCAAGGGCAAAAAATTTGAACCAAAATCTTGCTGTTATTAGGAATGGCTATAATTAACCAGCAAATTAATACTATCGTGCACACTAAAACAAAAATAAATAAATAAAAAGATACTAAAGTTAAGAGCAAAATATAATTGCTAACAAGACCTTTATAGGAAAATACTGTATACTAACAATTACATCATACAGTAGCACGACACAGTGTAGTTACAAGCCACTCGTGTCAGATAAGTAACAAGCACTAGATCAACACACACAGGCATGCACTGTTGAGGCACATACTGCACATACATAGAGGTGGCGTGCGGCTAAGTATTAAAATGAGTGATAACAACTACTGAACTCTACACTGTTACCTGGCATGTCTAAACTCTCATCTCCCATCAACTAAAGAGACTTGAACAACAGTGAGACACCTAACAAGACTACAGTACTGGTGAGGGTCAGTAAACATCAATTTCAACTCACTAATTCAAATCCAATGTAAAATAAACCAATAAAACTTCAATACAAACACGTGTAAAAGCAATAAAAATCAGCACAAATTACACTACTCGGACAGGTTGTGTGTGTGTGTGTGTGTGTGTGAGAGAATGCTGCTGATTCAAAACGAGTACAGTGATCCCTCGGTTAACGAATGCCTCGGTTGAAAAAATTTCAGTTAACAAATTACCTTCCATCCATAAGAATCTTCAATTCGGTTAAAGAAATTCTTACGAAATCATGTCAACATGTTTTCGCTTGCTCACCAGCTGGAATATTAGTCCGCCAATACAGTAATCAGTTCTAGGGCTTAAATTCGTTCCCATTTGAGTAAATATCAAGAAGGTTGTACTATTCAATAATTTTCCAAGTTTTATATTAAAATTTTTAGTCATTTTAACACTTATTTAACATAATTGCAGTACAAGAAACTAGTTTTGGGTGCACCAATCAGCCACTTGACTCACCCACCAAGGCATCAGTTTGTATCTCTGGTCAGTGGAGGTAACATCTTGCTTGTGGTTCTCTTGAACATGAACTATTTTTACGTTTTTACAGTACATTTATTGGTCATTCTGAAATTTATTTTACATATTGACAATATATAGTGCAGTGCAGTGTTGATTTAAAGAAAATAATCTTGAATTACACCTAGTGAACTTAAAATTTTATGGGTGAAATGACGGCATGAAGCATGGGGTGATTTCTCTTCCACCCCCACTTCCATTTCTTCTCCCTTCTCCTCCACCCCGACTTCTAATTCCCATCATCATCATCATCAACCAGGAGCCTTCTACATACACACCTCAAAGTAAGTGTACTTTATGTATTTTTTTTTTTTACTTTGTATGTAATTTTCGGTGAGCTGGAACCAATTACCTAAAATCCCATTGAAACAATGGTTTCGGTTAACAAAATTTTTGATTAACGAACGACCTTCTGGAACGAATTGTGTTCGTTAACCGAGGGACCACCGTATACCACACTGTGCTGTCAGGTCACATTTCCCAGCATTCAAAAGTACAGGAGGATGCAAAATAAAATCTTCTCAAACATTATTGTCCTGAAGATGCTGTATATGGTCATGTTTTTTGTTCACTGTTCCTTCGAAATCCTACCCTATCTTCTACCCTCCCCTCCCAACCCAGCCCCACTGTTGCTCACAAGATAGGGCCTCAAGATTATTTCTTTCAGAGCACAATGGATCAAATTCCTCTGTTTGTGTTGTTAAAATCCTCAACATATATTAAAATACCATCTTTTTCTAGGCTGTATATCCTTCCTCAACTCTCTTAGGCTCTGAATAATTCCCAACTTGTGATATACTCTGAACATTTCCCAACTTGTGATAAATGCATCAAGGACTGCTACTGCTGTTGGGGCTCTGAAACTGTTCTCTCTTCATAGGGGTAAAATCCTCAACAAAAACAACTGATGATGAGTTGATATCAATCATCGGGTACAGCTGAAACCAATCTCTAAGATTCATTCAATTATCTGTAAATCATGCCAATAAATATTACTGTCTACTTACCCATCTTCCTCCTCCTTGTCTACTTCCACTTCTTCTTCTTCATCTTCTTCTTCTTCTTCATCCTCCTCCTCCTCCTCCTCCTCCTCTTCTTCTTCATCCTCATCTTCATCTTCTTCAGGTTCGATGGTAGGACCACTTGAGACATTTGTTCTGAGTCCTGCTGCAGCTCCCTCTAGGTGGCGGCTCGGTCTTGGCTTCTTGGGTCTCAGGTTAAACGGCTCGGGCTGTTCTTCGATGCGTTTTGATTTCCTGGTCCTGCCGGTCTCCTCCACTTCTTCATCTCTTTTACCCAATTTTTCTACTTCATCTTTACTTCTGGTTACTCTGTCCACTTCTTCGTTGTTTCTCCTCGCGCTCCTCTCTACTTCCTCGTTCCTCTTCATCCTCTTGCTCCGGGAACTGAGACAACACTCTTCTGGGTCCTGTGGCCTTAGTCTCGCACTTCTGCTCCTGTTGTTTACTTCCGGCGTCACCTCTTCCTCGTCGTCAATTTCCGAGTGTTTCCTTCTTCTGGCCTCCCTAGTGTTGGTGCTGCTGGAGTATATCTGAGGCTTGTTCCTGAGTCTGTGTGATCTTTCTAATTCCTCGGTGTGAAGCTCTTGAGGTTCTTTTCTGTGGTCGGCTCCACCCGGATCCTGTTTCCGCCTCGTTCGCGACGATTCCCTCAAGTTGGTTACCGGATGGTCCTCCACGTCGTGCGCCTCGACTCTTCTTCTCGTTCTCGACGTATCTCGGGTCACCATCATGGGTTCTTCTCCGTTTTCCTCGACGTCGACTTTTCTTCTGCTCCTCGTTGACAGTTCCCGTTTGATCTCTTCCTCGCTCTCTTCGGTTTCTATCTTTCTTCTTCTACTCCTAGTCGACGGTTCCCTGTAATTCTCCTCTTCGCTTTCCCCAATTTCTATTCTTCGTCTTCTCCTGGATGAGAGTTCCCTACGACTCTCTCTCTCAAACTCCTCCATCTCTATTTTTCTTCTTATTCTGGCCGAGGTCTCTCTGCGGGTCTCCTCCTCGCTCTCCTCGGCTTCGACTCTTCTGTTGTTCTTCGCCGTCGCCCCTCTCCGATGATTCTCCTCCTCGCTCTCTTCGGGCTCTGGTCTTCTTCTACTCCGGGATAAATGTTCCCTTCGGTTCTCCTTCTCGTTTTCCTCGCACTCTATTCTTCTCCTGATTCTAGACGAGCTCTCCCTCCGCCTGTCTTCCTCCTTCTCCTCTGGCTCGGCCTTTCTTCTGCTCCGGGTTGAAGAAGTCTCTCTCCGGCTCTTTGGTAACGACACAGAGTTGTGATCGTCCTCGGCTATGCCTCGGGAGTCCTCGTCATTGGTGTACTCCCCGTAGTGGACCCAAGAACTAGAAGCAACTCTCCGGGAATTTCTTGAAGTTGGCGTAGTTTCCACCACACTGTTTCTTTTACTGCTTACCTTGTTGTTCACCAAATCTGTGCGAGATATACGACAATTAGCCAAGACTCCTGACCCGATATTCATGAATGATTGAGCATTAGACAAGAGATAAGTCCACTGAATTAACCTAACCATGTGATTTCAGTGCTGACATTAATTCTATACACCGGATGAAGCTTAAAATTTTATCTAACACTTCTATTGATTCTTAACATAAATTACTCCCTGTTCTTTCTCTTGGTGTCTCTACTTAGATACTTAAAAACACAAATTCAAGACATCACTCACAGAATGTTTCTTACAATGATCTGAAGTGATTAAGTTTATCCTGTACTGCCTACCTACTTGTATAATATCACTAGTACTGCCTCCCTACTTGTATAATATCACTAGTACTGCCTCCCTACTTGTATAATATCACTAGTACTGCCTCCCTACTTGTATAATATCACTAGTACTGCCTCCCTACTAGTATAATATCACTAGTACTGCCTCCCTACTAGTATAATATCACTAGTACTGCCTCCCTACTAGTATAATATCACTAGTACTGCCTCCCTACTAGTATAATATCACTAGTACTGCCTCCCTACTAGTATAATATCACTAGTACCTACCTAGTACCCTACTAGTATAATATCACTAGTACTGCCTCCCTACTTGTATAATATCACTAGTACTGCCTCCCTACTTGTATATCACTAGTACTGCCTCCTTACTTGTATAATGTCCAAACTCTAAAATACCTTCAGGCTGTAGTACCACACAGCTACCAACCCAATACTTCTCCAAGGCACCTTCTAAAAGCATTGTTAAAAAAAAAATTAATAAATAAATAACTCCATTTCCGACTGACCTCTTTCTTTCGCTTGCTGCTTCTCTGCCGTCACCTTGTCTCTCTCTAACACCGGCGGTTTCTCTTCCCCGATGGACTTCTTCTCCTCCACGGCGACCTTCTTGTTGTCTGCTGTCGACGTCTCCTTCTCCTCCTCCTCTTCCTCCGTGCTGCTTCTCTTCTCCACCGCCGTTCGCCTCTCCTCGACATTTGGCCGTTTTTCCTCTTTATCTATCGCCAGATGCTTCTCTTCTGCTACCAGTTTCTCTTCACCGTGGTCTTGCCCGGCCCTCTTCGCTCTTCTTCTCTCCGACGAACACTGGGTCTCCTTCAGGGTCTGAGACTTCCTCCTCCCACTCTTAAGACTTCGAAAGCTGGTTTCAAATTCGTCCTCATCTTCCTCCTTGAAGACGTAAGCGTCCTCCTTAGATGGTACGGCGTGCATCTTCTCCTCCATTTTGTTCTGACAAGTGTTGGTGTTGTTCTGTTTGATGTCGCTGATGCTGCTGTTGATGTTCTCCTTCTCCCTTTCTTTGGCTTCGACCTGTGGAATAAAATAATGCTGAATGTAACCCAACAATGAAATAAAATGTAGTATGAATAAAGGAAGTGTAAAAGATGGGACAGGTTAAACAGAAAGGAAAGTGACGATACAAGTCAAAAATACAAAAAAAAGGAAAAAAAATAATGGTAGTTGTGCATGGCATTATTTGTAACATTTTTTGTGATGAACTACTCAATACCATACCCCCCCCCCCCAGTCTGAAGATGACCCTTACACACTTTTTCTCTATTCCCAGGTAAATTAGCTTAAAAGACCTTGAAAGAATTACTTCCCTCAAATTCCACACTCGTTCACACCCTCACTAAGGTACACAGGAGGACTAAGAAAACCCCACAAGTGAGAAGGTTGATCATTTCTTACCCAGTTCAATGTTAGGTATATACCATGATACAGTCACTGCCCACCAACTCTCACACAGCACCAACACACTCTCACACAGCACCAACACACTCTCCACTCTCACAAAGCACCAACACACTCTCCACGCTCTCACACAGCACCAACACACTCTCCACACAGCACCAACACACTCTCCACTCTCACAAAGCACCAACACACTCTCCACGCTCTCACACAGCACCAACACACTCTCCACGCACCAACACACTCTCCACGCTCTCACACAGCACCAACACACTCTCCATGATACTCACTACAGATACGGGGTTTGGAGCTGCCCTTCAGCTTAGGCGGGCGACTGATCTTGACGGCAGAGGTCGTCAGAGCGCCAAGGCCTTCTCCTCCACCGGTTCTTCCTTCTTGGTAGCTTCCATGGCCTTGCACTCCGATACCTTCTCCGTCTGCCTTCACCGTCTCTTCCACTTTACTGATTTCTGTAACCTTATTGTCCTCTATCTTCTTGTCCTTTGGTATTTCTTCTTCCTCCTATAAATGAAGAAAAACAAAAAAATCAATAAAGTTTACAATACCAATAAATCTGATCATTTATACTTACATACAAATCCCTATCTAGCACTTCACTTCCTATCATGAATTAAGGTTGTTGGCCTCATCCCGCTGGTGCTGCGGACTACTCCAACGCCAGACTCGTGTCGGTACTGTACTGTACTCTCTCGTAACTGTGGTCGTCCTCTATGATCATCCCCACGTGTTTAAATCATTACACACATTCCTTCCACCACACCTCGCGGGATCACTCTACGACCGGATCATATCTGTTACCGCCACAGTAAGATAATCATGAGAGAGAGAGAGAGGGTGAGAAGGGGGGGTAGTGCTGACAACGTGTTTGTTGATCGTCTAATATAAAACAGATGCCCTCGCCTAGGGCTGCGATTGGGTGGCGATTGCTCAGTAGTCTACCAATTCTTGCAGAAGAAACAACACGCTGGTCGAACCCAAGACCTAAAACGTAAATATAAACTCTAAATACTTTAATAAGTATATTTATGTACTGTAATTTGATCATATTATACAACTTGTCTCCTGATGTATCAACAGATGTAACATGTGAGTTATATTTAAGATGTTAACAGGCTATGTATATTGATTGTATTATACTTTCTATGTGTCCTGAGATGACAGCATTTGTTATATGTGAATTGTTCTTTAACAGGTTTGACGAATTATAGTGCAGCGTCAATGTTGAGGGTTTATTTCTCCAGCAACAAACCAATGACGCTCCTATGAGCGTTAACAATATCGGCATTTCCAGCACAGCGCCGATCAATCCCGCCGGCACAGGCAAAAATCGGCGCTTAAACGGAGAACGGCAACTGCTCAATCATCACCTGTCCACCCACATGTCAGCGACTCTGGAGATTCGGTTCATAAATTCAACATAAACAACTCGAGTGAATTTGACCATCTGCTCGACTTAGATTCAGCAACTCTATATTGGTCATCTCACATCACAACACTGATCATTGTGTAAGGGGAACTTTAACCCCTTGAGTCATCATAGTCAAGGTGGTTAAGTCATCATACTAAAGGATTAAGTTATAGTACTCATGATGATTGATTTGTTTCATAAATGGGAAAAAGACTGTGATTGTAAACAGAAAATATGGTAAGGTGGACGTGACGATAAACTGCCTCACTGTCCGTGCTAATACAATATTAATGTTACTTTTGGATTAGGTAAGACATAAATTTTGGTGGGTTGGCCTGAAGAAAAATAACTAAATCGTAAAGTGGCCCATGACTGAGGAAAGGTTGTCTATGCCTGGATTAAATCATCACACTCAAGAGGAGGGTTAAGTCACCACAGACAAGGGAGTTAACTCTAATATAAAGCATTAAGCGCTTGAGTTAACCCACCTCATCGGAGTCTTGGTGGAGAGAGTTGTTGTGTCCAGGCAACAGTGGTGACCAACGGAGAGCTTCGGGGTCTAATCTCAGCCGCCTGGGATTGTTGAGCTGCTTCTGGTAATGTTCGTCCACTGCTGTCCAGTCAATGCTCACCACCATCCTAAACAAAGGAAGATACAACACATGTGATAACTAATATCCAGCAGGAGTGCTCGGGATCTAGGACTACAGTAATATCTCTCCTTGTGTAATTTATAATAACAAGCAAAGTCTGTATTTACATTGGTATGGTTTTATCACAAATTATAATGGTGTAAGTTAATATACAGTATAGTACTGTGCAAATTAGATTACTGTACTCTCTCTCTGAACTTATGGGAAAGAAAAAGAAAAATACACCAAACAACACAATTTAGCTAAAATTAAAATGTTTGATAGCATTTCCTTTCAGACAAATCATTCACAAGTATACAGTGAACTGTATCTACAACACACTGAATAGTCAGATTGTAGTGTAGACATCAATGATCATTAACACCAAATAATGTTAACTATATTACAGAAATGAAATCAAGTTGCCACTTACTGTCCCGTGACATCTCTCTTAAAAAATCCGAGGATATTAAGAGTGTACGCCACGTCAGCAGGATACATGGCCTTATCCTTCACCACCTCCTGGATGCTGAAGGAGGTGTGGTCCTTCACATGATACAGGTACTCCAGTAAAATAGACTTCCAATATGCAGTGTAGGACACACGACCCAGGTCTGAGAGGGGCTTCTCTGGTGTCCCAGGCTGCCCCTCTCGTTTAGATAACAGGTAACCTGAAATAAAAGAGGAAAAAATTAATTTGCTTTGCTTCAGGTATTCTCTCTCCTTTGCTGGTGTACAAATGCTTGTATGGAGTAAAGCCAACTGTAAAACCTCAATTGTGTGTGACACTATATAAGGTACATAAGTCTTGAATTAACAGGAACATGCAACCTGGTCACTATTCCAAATACTGTATCTATTAATCACTTGGTCATTTCATACTCACTAAAATCAATGAGAAAGCGTCCGTAGCCTTGTCTCTGGTACTGTGGCATCGTCATGATACATGAAACATTATATTTAAGAGCGGAGAGTTTCTCCTTGCTGAAGTAGCCCACCAGATGGCAGCCCTTCTCATCGTTGCGGGTCAGAACGTAGAAGAGAAAGGGTTCCACGTCATAGTATAAAGTTTTGTGGTCCAGGAACAGCTTAGCTAATAGGCACAGATTCTGACAATATATTTTACTCACATTACCATCCACCTGTAGAAACAAAAACACTCATTAGTGCCATATTAATTACTCTGAAATAAATCTGACAACACCCCTCCCCCCCCCTCCACTTTTGTAAACCAATACCCACTATAATACTGTACAAGCTGGTTGGAACTAAGTGTCTACAAAGACGACCTTCATTCACACTTAACGCTACAACAGTGTTCCCCTTCTATAACAAGGCCCCAAGACACCACTGACCTGCTTTACTTGTCTTACCTCACACAATACAATGCCATCCATCAGCTCAACAATAGTACGTCCATCCTCCCTCACACACACACACACCGCTCAATGCCAACACTTCTCAATTCATTCATGCACACTGCTGCTTCTCAGGTGTTTGTCCCACCTCATATGTAGTCTTCCTCTCCTAAGCCTTCCTGGTCTTTCTCTCTCCCTCCTGCTACCAACCACATACCTGTCTTCAGTATCTCTAATCTACCTTGGCTACCACTCCTTTCACCCCCACATCTCCTTCTATCTAATGTCCCTTATTCTTCACATTATGTCCAACCTATCTGCCGCTCTCCACTACATCATTTCCTTTCATAGCTCCTAACATCTACTAAATTAATTCTCCATACATTCTCATCTTTGTATTCCTCAAGACAGTTCCCCTCTCAGTAACTATTTAGCTATGTCTGCGCTGTTGATTCAGTTCCCATTAGCCTACGAGTGGATCAATGGAGGTTCGAAACAAAAAGTTGGTGAACGTAATTTTGCTTCACATTAAAATAATAAACCAAAATTAAACCACATAGAATATTGTTATAAAACTTCTTATATTTCTCCTCCTCTTGAAGACAGAAACGTGCGACTTACCTCAAACACAGAGAGACCATCTTTGCGATAGATCTCGGTGCCGGGCGGAGTGCGCCAAACACACTTCTCTAGGTGACGGCCCAACATGGAGATGCTCTTCATGTACTTGAGACAAAACTCACACAGGAACAATTTCGTTAACCTGACAAGAGGAACCACGTTATTAAGCTGTCGTTAAGACCGGTCTACGTGAACTATATTTACGGGATTATTTTAACCCGTACAGTACTTCATTATATCATCATATTTTACCTGTACTTCATTATATCATCAATGACGAGGGCATTAAAATAACCTTCATGCAGAGTGCAGTACGTGGCAGCGTACGGAGGAAAAAAAATGACAAAGGAAGAAAATCGTCGGCTACAAGACTCGTGGAAAAGGGTGCACAAAACGTAAAGCTGTGCCTCGATATCTGTTTCAAGCGATGACGATAAAAGTTAAAATGCAGAAGGAGGAGGAGAAGGAGGGGTTGGGTTAGGTTATGTTATTTGGGCAAGTTAGTTCTCTCACCGTGCATATTCTTGGGGGTACGGCGCGGAGTACCAGGTCTGGATGTCGTACTGGCCGAAGTCTATGCTCGCAGGGCACCGAGACATGTTGAAGGGGTCTCGTTCTTGTACTGTGGTCTTGTTCTTTTCCATCTCCTGTAACCAACAACATACAGGTACAGTTAGGAAGACACAATAGATATACAGGTGTGTGTGTGTGTGTGTGTGCTAGAAACTGCCAGAATTATTGATCAAAATAAATACTAAAGATAAATACAATACTTCTAATTAAAGGTTTGGGTAAAGTACAGTACAGGAAAGATGGTTAGGTCAGAGTAGTGTTGATATGTTATTGAGATTTTAACTGTTGGAAGAGTTAAGATATGCATGAAGTGACTAAAAGAATACAAGGACAGATAAGACTGAAATTAACGTTATGATGTGTTCTGAAGACATTATGCCACGTGACGATTACCACCCCAGCTTATTTCACCTATAGATTAACCTCCATAATGCTAACCTAACCTAACTCACCCCCCCTCTCCCAAGTAGTGTCAAAGCATTTTATCATCAGGTGAAATAAGCTAGAAGAGGTGGCTGATCTTAATATTTTCCCAGTATACAAAAATATTCTAATCACACATTTGCAGACTAATTTAGAATGAGTGAGCGGCTTCAGCTGTATTTCTGAATGTTTATGAAAGGTCAACGACTATTTGGATGTATCTGAGGTAGTGTGGGGGTCAGGTGTGGGGGTCAGGTGTGGGGGTCAGGTGTGTGGGCCACAGTGAGAAGAGGCGGCAACAGTTTGTGTTGTGAGATTCTAGAGGTGAAGAAAATATATGGAACGACATAAATTACAATATACTGTAAGAGTTAATCAAATGGAACACTAAATACAGTAAAAAAATGCAGAAATTAATCAAATGGAAAACTATACTACAAAATGCTGAAGAAGTTAATCAAATGAAACACTAAATACAAAATGCTGTAGAAGTTAATCAAATAGAACACTAAATACAGTAAAAAATGCAGAAATTAATCAAATGGGAAAACTATACTACAAAATGCTGTAGAAGTTAATCAAATGAAACACTAAATACAAAATGCTGTAGAACTTAATCAAATGAAACACTAAATACAAAATGCTGTAGAAGTTAATCAAATAGAACACTAAATACAGTAAAAAATGCAGAAATTAATCAAATGGGAAAACTATACTACAAAATGCTGTAGAAGTTAATCAAATGGAACACTAAATACAGTATAAAAAAAATGCAGAAATTAATTAAATGGAAAACTATACTACAAAATGCTGGAGAAGTTAATAAAATGAAACACTATACTACAAAATGCTGTAGAAGTTAATCAAATGAAACACTAAACTACAAAATGCTGGAGAAGTTAATAAAATGAAACACTAAACTACAAAATTGTTGTAGTAGACAATCAAATAAAGTAGGCGGATTTTAGTCAAGGTAAATAAATTATGTACAAAAGTGCAAACTTCATCTATCAAAAAATGAGTTATTATACCACTCACTTTGAAAACACACATGCTGGTATCACACGCACACAGACAAACACGCATGTACAAACTCTCACACATACACAGAGATACACATTCTCTCTCTCTCACACACACAAACTAGTGGACAGGAAGGAATTGCTTATGGACAATCAAAACTATTCAGCAGTGAGAGTTAAGCATAAATAAATCTGACTTGGGAACCATAATCTGATTGGGGTACTAAACTATACTATAATCTGATTGGCATCCTATAATTAGACTGGGATACCATAAAACCTAATCCGATATTGTACTAGTGTGTGGTCGGGATCCTGTTGGTAAAATATGAAGAGGTGTGAAAGAAAATAATAATGACTCTAGTTGTCGAGCTGGAGATGAATGGAAAGACATCGGGCCATTAGTGAGTGAGTGGCTTTTCCCATTCTTGCTACGGATGTTACAGTCACCCACCAATGACCTGTCACTTCTCCTGCTGAACCGGGCACATCCGAGATTCAGGCTCGTTAACCGGGAGCATTTATGGACAGAGTAATGCATCGGCGTCTACTGCGACAGGACTTTTGTGGGGTGACTGTAACTGGTGGTAAATGAATCCTATTAAAACTAACAGATGAAAGCTGAAGATAAAATGCAGTACTAAATGTGTAATGACGGTCTTATTTCCCCCAGTCTCTGCATGAATTGGAGGCAGTAGGGAAAATGGGTGGTGGGGGGGGTGGGGTGCTTATGCTTACCCACCATTCAAGGTTTAAAACAGAAATAGGAGTTAATGATGTTTTTTAAGACATCGGTGGATCTGGTAGAAGAAGTATAACCCACTTGACTGCACTGGACGTGGTTTGAAATTTAAGTAATGAATGATGAAGGAAGTATATACCGCGCCGCATAGTAAACCACTTACCATGCCTTTGCCTTTGGTCCTCTTGACATGCGATCTGGGATGAAACAAGGACACTGAGGACAGTCATAAGCTTCTGAATACTGAAACTGATCTATTACACTGTTGTAGGAGTCTTAACCAGAGAGGGGTGGTTAAACTTGAGTCTTAACCAGGAAGGGGTGGTTAAGCAAGAGTCTTAACGAGGGGTGAATAGGTAAACACGGGTAAAATAAATAAATAAACAAATTAATAATAAACTGATAAAGCTAAAGATGCGAGACGTAGAGTCATGCTGCGGCCTGGGAGACATACCTCAAGGTGACCTGGTAATGTGGTGGTGGAGGATGAGATCGATCACTGGTGGCGGTGGTGAGAATAATACAGGTAACAATACAAAGGTGGACACGGTATTCGTTGGAGTGTCGGTAAAACCTTCCGGTGAGCGTCTTTCGTCAGCGCCGTCATGTTCTCGATCGTGACTATTAATCCAATCGCTGATTCAGGAACATCTTCTGTTGATTCGCCTACAATGATTTACTCTCCCGCGCGAGAATGTTTTGGACCAGAGCGCATTCCTCTCGGCGAATGGGACTATGACAAAATATCGGCTGTGCTGCCTTTTGCAGCTGCAAACAGCTGGCTTATACCTCTCTGCCTTTGGGTGCTTCGGATCTTCTCCATAGTGAGCTTGTTCTCCACTGTTGGCGGGGAGAGCAACACTTCAGCATTCACCTCTGCATCTACCAAGTTAATTCTCTTACCACATCATCATCACAAATTTAAGAGAAAGTAGTTAAACAAGACCTTAATGACTACTGCTGCTATTGTGAATACTATTATTTCTGAAGACTAAAAATATAGCGACCAGTAATTAGGTTAAATTATAAATATAAAACATTAAGCATTGAATCATGACTTATTGATTACATCTTAAGAAAAGAATAAACTTTAGTATATCAAACATTATTATCATAAGGCAATTTATGGATTAGAAAATAAGATGTTTAGGCATTAGTAATGTCTAGAACACAAATAAATCAGTATATTATTATTTAAACATGAAACAACCATAATTGTGTGAGTCACAGACCCCACAGCAGAGCCTCGTCCCAGTAACTAAGGGAAGCACACCGCCTCTAGCCCCACTATGGTGGACAAAGTTGAGGGGGATGAGAAGCTACCCGGTTATGTACAGGTGGATCGCAAACCTTGATCCCAAATTTTGAGGGTTAAGAGACCTTGTTTATGTTTATTCTGGTGGTGTCAGATGGTCCGGATTTCCAAATCGAGAAGTTCCTTTCCAGTTAGTGCGGGGACAAGAGCTTCCAGTTTGCCATCCCCCGTCTGTTGTTGTCTGTTTTGAGTGCTATTTCCCGCCACATCTCCCCTATAAAATTTGCCAATCGTTAAGCTAAGCCGGGGCAACTCTCGTGGAAACCGTTGAAGATAACTGCCAATAACCAAACACTACAACCAGAGGAGAGGAAAATCAAAAGCTTTAAAACAAAACAAAACTTTATAAAATACAAAGTTTACATGAAGAAATAGAACACGTGGTATTCTACTCCCCGATACCTCAACGTATATCTCTAGCATGCAAGTCTGGCCGTCACATGCAAGTTGTGGACATCTAATTTATTTCGTGCACACCTAGTTCTTCTTCATGCATAAAAGCAGTCAAGCAATGGCCGAGGTTGAGCCTTTTAGTTGAAATTTAAATCAATTGGTGGGAACTCCCGGTACATCACTGTTTTATTTCCCCATCTGACCGCCGTATGGCTTACCATCCCGACCAGAGTCGCAGATGACCAGAAAATAGGACACGAAACATCTATTAAAAAATTGATGCTCAATTCTACGTACTGTACATCATCCCATTAAAGATAGTGTAGTTTATCTTCTCCTCCGTGCGACTTGAGATAAAGGGTAAACACCTGATGTTCAACCATGAGGCAACAATCTCTTTAGCAATACTATACAGCTGCAACAAACATAAGCATTTCAAGTAGGTGTTTGGGAAACTGAAAATAATAATAAAAAGCATAAGTAAAGGTGAGGGACTGGAGTTAGAGAATAATTAGGAGAATAAGCCAGCCATGCAACAGCACATGAGTCTGCAAGAGATGCCAAGTTAGCAGAAGCAGCAGCGGCAGAGAAGCAAAAGCATTATGAGGGTGAGAGTGTGATGCGGGAAGGTGGCAGCACAGCATCACGGTCCACAGAGTGCCTTACCCTGACCCCCAGTGTGGCTGCTGTAGCCCTCGGGCCTCATCTTGCGCCATTTGCGTCCATCCGTTGCCTGAGCCTGGCCGCCACCACCGCCCACGTTGGCTGCCAGAGGGTTGACCCCTGCCAGTGTTGACGGAACAGCACTGGGGCCACCTGGGCCGGCCCCAACACTGGTGCTGGACCACCTATGGGCCGCCCAAGTTGCCCATGCCCCCCCATTTTCTCTCCCCCCACTTCCCGCACCACTACACTCACCGCCACGTCTTGACCCCTCACCACCATTGGTCACTGTTGTCCCGCCCTCTACACCAATATCACACTGTGAAGTTTCCCCATCTCTTGATAACTTGAGTATTTTCTTTGGTCCTTTATACTTTGGTCTTTCCTGTAACGGTCTCTTGCGAGAATCATACGGCGTATACAAGTGACTAAGACCATCAAACAGGCCCCTGAGATGTCCCGATGCCAGCATGGCACTCGAGGAGTTAGTGGATGAGGAACTTCGCTCCTCATGGGGCGTGCCACTTCCTGAGTCTACCTCGCCCTCACTTAAAGATTCAGATTTTCTGGCAGAATTCTTAGTTCCTGTACGGATACTGTTACTTCCCTGATTACAGGACATGGAGTGGCATTCCTCACCTTTGTGCCTGACAGTTCTTGAGATAGCTTCAGGCACGTCGGCACCGGATTCATCGCTACTACTCGTATCTGTAGTAGAATCGGGCCCACTCGAGCTAAGCTCACTACCCAGGTCTGCACGCTTTCTGTGCCCAGAGGCACTGTCTCTCGTTGCCCTACACACGCTGATACCCGCGTTACCGTGAGATTCCACCCGTATTTCACTCTTAACTGATCTAAATTTTCCCTTTTCCCCAAAACTTCTTTTGAAAAACTTAGCCTTCTCTTTAGATAATTTGTCACTAGGAAGTTTCTTGGGAGGGCCAAGTTGGCCATGCGTACCCTCACTGTCATCTGAGTCACTGGCTGGGTCCTTACGCTGGTCACTTTCGCTCCTCTTCCGCCATCGGGATGCCGACCTGGAAGACATGAAAAATTATGAAAATCTAAATTTTGGGGTAATCTAATTTAAAACTTGCAACAAACACACACAACAGTAATATAACACAAAACTTTATTAATAAATACCTACTCTAACAGCAGGTCACAGTAACATTTCTCTGTGTTACGGCAAAAATTGTTAATTGACGTTAGAGGCATTATGCTGTGTAACTGTACCAGTCCTGAAGTAAGCCAACACAAGTAGTCAACATGTGTACAAATTTACTCTGAATGATACTTCAATCTGTACAACAAAGGGATTTTATAGACTATTAAGCAATGGAGGAAACAATGGGAGGTGTAGTTAACATGGTTAAGTGAGACACATGCCTACACCATGACCTACTGTGAGAGGATGCATCTCTCTGGGTGAGGCAAAGGCAGGGTTAAGTGTCTGGGCCACAACTTAGCTTACTATAATGCTCACTCTGCCTACAGCTTGAGGAATGAACACTGTGAAATACCCTGATGGAAGACCAACAGGCTTGTGACTCTTGTTAGTCTACAATCTATCCTCAAATATCACATCAAAATTCTTGGTGCTTGGGAGGAGATACTGTACTGTACCTTGTAGCGAGTAGTACACAGTTTTATAACTAAATTCAATCTTGGGTTTGAAGACTGCAAAGATTCTACTAATAGTACTGTACAGTGGTGACCACAGTCATTCTTGACCTGGGGTAATAACCCTTTCCTGCTTGGCTCCATCATTTTCCTTAACCAAGTAAAATAAAATGTACTTTGTATGAGAGAACTTTCTGAACTAATGAAGTTACTGTCAGGGTTATGACGACTCTTATTTAGTTTTCTAATTTATTACAATACAGATATTATTAATTTTGTTCATCATACTGTACTGTACTGTACTGTACTGTAATTGCAAAAGCTGTTAACTTAAAGAAAAGAAAAATTAAAAATCATATTCCTCATGTTACTCAACACAAGAACTGGTCATCAAGACTTTAGAGTAGGTCAGGGCCAAGTTCTCAAGGTCAAGCAAGAGTAAGGCACTAAACAAGGTGATGTACTGTGCTGTATAGTTCACATTCATAAGAAGACAAAGGTGCCAGAAATCTTTCAGCCGAGCCACAAACAGAACTACACGTGACACTGCTGTGTCTACTTACCTTGAACGCGAACTGGACGAGGAGGTGCTATATTTTCTACTTCTTACAGTCGCGTCTTGAAGGCCTTTCCGTGATCTCCCCCGCCCTTTCCTACAGGCGGCAGAGTTGTTATTGGTGGTAGTCCCCCCCTCACCATGCACACTACCCGTGGGGGAGGCCGTGTTACTACGGTTATTGTTATTGGTGCCTTGCGGCCCTTTGGTACAGTGGGAGCAGCACCAGCTCGGAGAAGTTGGTCGTTGCTCTAAGGGAGGTGAAACACAGCTCATGTGATATCCGTCATCACATGAGCTGCATAATATAAGACTGCCCAGTACCTGAAACACACAACACAACATCTTAGCAACGTCTTCCTCGGAGAAATGTTCAAGTACGGTTAACAAGACCCCTGACACGGCGCGAGACTGGAGCCCAGTATCGTCACACAGTATCGAGGATCTCCTACACCTGTACCTAGTCTACCTATATAGAGATGAATTCAATATTTAGTTTGGACTAGTTTTAATTTATCTATTTCTCTATTATGACTGAACAAAATTATATATATTCGAAATAAAACCTTTTCTACAGATATATAGTACAGGTTCTGAGGCTTTAACCAAGAATGATTAAAGTTCTTAACAAACACCTAAGAAACACAAGAGTCAACATGACACCCCGACCAAACTGTCTCTTGGCCGCTACAAACAGTAAACAACAATATACGTACTGTACCGTAAGACAGTATATCACCGACTAATTATAACCTTGTCTTTTTTTTTATTTAAGCTATAAAATAACTAAAAATGAATAGCGATTAGATTAACAACAACAATAATGTACAATGGTAGAGTAGTAGTACAGGTAGTAATAGTAGTAATAATAGTAGTCATAGAACAGGTAGTAATAATAGTAGTAGAGTTGTTAGTAGTAGTAAAAGGTGGTAGTAGTAATAATAATAAAAACCATATTGAAGAAATAAACAACAACGACAGTATTACCACCACGACCATCCCTCACCTCGGACCCCGTTTTCCGACACACTATGCAGGGTTTACAGTCCTCGCACTGCCAGCCTTGTTTTTGTAATCTGACGGACGCGGAGGGATCCAGACGCAGACACTTGGGGTGAACCGAGGAGCCGCAGGACCCACAGTGCACAAACCCGCCGTTAACACTCTTCTCCGTCCCCAAGCACTCGCAGCATATAGCCATTGTGGTGTTCTGTGAGAGAGAGAGAGAGAGAGAAAGAGAGAGAGAGGATAAAACACGTGGATTTGTGTATTGTACGTCTATTATCAACCTCCTTCATAGCTCCTCCTCCTCCTCCCCCGCCCATCCCCATTCAGGAATAATACAAAATTATTGTATTTGTACTGTACTTCCACTGTAACCCCCCCCTCCCCCCTTCCCCCGTGTAACATTATAAAAAATAAATAAATACCTCTGTACATAAATACTCAACCAAATACATAAATTATCCACAAAATACATAAATTATCCACAAAATATATAAATTATCTACCAAATACATAAATTATCTACAAAATATATAAATTATCCACAAAATACATAAATTATCTACCAATTTCATAAATTATCCGCAAAATACATAAATTATCTACCAAATACATAAATTATCTACCAAATACATAAATTATCTACCAAATACATAAATTATCTACCAAATACATAAATTATCTACAAAATACATAAATTATCCACAAAATATATAAATTATCTACCAAATACATAAATTATCCACAAAATACATAAATTATCTACCAAATACATATATTATCTACCAAATACATAAATTATCTACCAAATACATAAATTATCTAGCAAATACATAAATTATTCACAAAATGCATAAATTATCTAGCAAATACATAAATTATCTACCAAATACATATATTATCTACCAATTACATAAATTATCTACCAAATACATAAATTATCTACCAAATACATAAATTATTCACAAAATACATAAATTATCTACCAAATACATAAATTATTCACAAAATACATAAATTATCTACCAAATACATATATTATCTACCAAATACATATACAGGTACTCCCAGACTTACGACGGGGTTAGGGACCGACATCCAGGTCGTAAGTCGGAAATGTTTAAATAACAAATAAAAAATCGAAAATGGATGTCTCTTTTTCTTCTCAGCACCACAAAACTCTCACTTTTAAGCTTGCCAGCCATTTTAAAGTGAATTACAGATGAAAATTTTGTCTGTGTACTGACTTTGGGACTCAAAAATACATAATTTGACCACATTTTGGTACGACTGAGGCGGTCGTAAGTGCGAGTGGACTTGAGTCGAGTAGGTTGAAAGTCGGGGAGTACCTGTATTATCTACCAAATACAAAAATTATCTACGAAATGCATAAATCATCTACCAAATACATAAATTATTCACAAAATACATAAATTATCTATGAAATACATAAATTATCTACCAAATACATAAATTATCTACGAAATACATAAATTATCGACCAAATACAAAAATTATCTACGAAATACATAAATCATCTACCAAATACATAAATTATTCACAAAATACATAAATTATCTATGAAATACATAAATTATCTACCAAATACATAAATTATCTACCATATACATAAATTATCTACGAAATACAAAAATTATCTACGAAATACATAAATCATCTACCAAATACATAAATTATTCACAAAATACATAAATTATCTACGAAATACATAAATTATCTACCAAATACATAAATTATCTACCAAATACATAAATTATCTACCAAATACATAAATTATCTACCAAATACATAAATTATTCACAAAATACTGACACACAAGACACATAATACAATGTCCCAATCTTTTACAAAATTCTTCTAACAAGTTGCTCTCATTCTATCACATAACATGAGGCTTTCACACAGTAACACTTCCCACCATCCAGTTTATAGTAAGTGTTCCAGCCAGTCCAATGCTTATCATGTTTTGGTTGTGGTGGTTGTGGTGGTGGTGATACAATTGATCAAACTTTATTTTTTTTATTTAATTTACAAAGTTAGTTGATGCGGTGATTGTTGTTATGGTGGTTATTGTAGTTGTTGTTTTAGTAGTAGTTGTTGTTGTGGATGGTTTCAGTCGAATTAGAGTTTATGTCTGACCCCCCCCCCCCTCGTAACCTCTTTAGCATGAATCTGGTGTCCCCTCCTCACCCCCCCTTACCCTACAAACATCTTTACACGATGGTGGTCTGACCGAACAGTTCAGTGTTACCAAGTGTTAAGTCAATCTAAATACGAGTGCTTGTTTGAATACCTGCGCCTGTGACTATGTTATCACGCGCACACACACACCAATACTGACTCACCACCCCCGAGTCACTAACCCTCATTTCAATAGTCGTATTTCCTTCAACACTTCCTAATTATGACTCACCCACTGACTAGCACTGACTCACACCATTTCTCCTGACTCAACAACAAACCTTAATGACTCACTCGATATCTTCCAATCCTGTGTGTGTGTGTGTGTGTGTGTGACCGTCACCCCATCCCACTTCCCTTCCCCATACCTACTTTGTGCAGGAAGGATGGAGTGGGTGGGTGGGTGGAATGGGTGGAATGGGTGGCAAGAGCGTGACGGGAGGATCAACTGAGACCACTGTAAGGGTAGGGGATGGTAGGGGATGGGGGGGTCATGACTCCTCTACTGTCAACAATGGAATTCAACCTTTCCACCCTCTCCACCCTCTCTCACCACCCTTCCCTCCACCACCACCACCCCTCCCTCCACCACCCCTCCCTCCACCACCACCCTCTCCCTCCACCACCACCACCCCACCCCTCCCTCTCCACCACCACCCCACCCCTCCCCTCCCACCACCACCCACCCCTCCTTCTCCACCACCACCCACCCCTTCCCCTCCACCACCACCCACCCCTCCCTCTCCACCACCACCCACCCTTCCCCTCCACCCCTCCCTCCCCTCCACCACCACCCACCCTTCCCTCCCACCACCACCCCCTTCCCTCCACCACCACCCACCCCTCCCCTCTCCCACCACCACCACCCTTCCCTCCCACCCCTCCCTCCCTCCCACCACCCACCCCTCCCTCTCCCACCACCACACCTCCCTCCCTCCCACCACCACCCACCTTCCCTCTCCCACCACCCACCCCCCCTCCCTCCCACCACCCCACCCCCTCCCTCCCCCACCACCCACCCTTCCCTCCCCACCACCCACCCCTCCCTCCCACCACCCACCCCTCCCCTCCCACCACCACCCCTCCCTCCCTCCCACCACCACCCCTCCCTCCCCTCCCACCACCACCCCTCCCCTCCCACTCCACCACCCACCCCTTCCCTCTCCACCACCACCCACCCCTCCCTCTCCACCACCACCCACCCCCTCCCTCCCACCACCACCCACCCCTCCTCTCCACCACCACCCACCTTCCCTCCCACCACCCACCCTCCTCTCCACCACCACCCACCCTTTCCTCCACCCCTCCCTCCCCTCCACCACCACCCCTCCCTCCCCTCCACCCACCTTCCCTCCCACCCACCACCCACCCTCCCTCTCCCACCACCACCCCACCCCTCCCTCCCCACCACCCACCTCCCCTCCCACCCACCCACCCTTCCCACTCCCACCCACCCACCCACCCCCTCCCCTCCCCCCACCCCCCCCTCCCCTCCCCACCCACCCTCCCTCTCCCACCACCCCCCCTCCCTCCCCCACCACCACCCCTCCCTCTCCCCACCCCCCTCCCCTCTCCACCACCACCCACCCTCCCCTCCCACCACCACCCACCCCTCCCCTCCCTTCCACCCACCCTCCCCTCTCCCACCACCACCCACCCCTCCCTCCCACCACCACCCCACCCTCCCTCTCCACCACCACCCACCCTTCCTCCCACCACCACCCCTCTCTCCCTCCACCACCACCCCTCCCTCCCCTCCCACCACCACCCACCCTCCCACTCCACCACCACCCACCCCCAGCTCACGTTACAGACCAAGAGGCACAACACTATACAAGGAATATAATAGTTCACGTGTAGTCCCCCTCACGTACACTATATACAACTACCTGTAATTAGACACCGACATGCAAACACACGCTCGGGCCGAGGGGTCATGGCGGCAGGAGAGATTCTGTACCTTGTCACACTGTAAACGCTTCTGCGATTCACCTTGCACAGGATGTGAGGGGTGCCCAATAAACTAGCCCCTCCGGAGCAATCTAAAAAAAATCTAAAATCTTGTCACCCACAGCCAGCCAGCCAGTGTTCCAATCAACTAACCAGGCCAGACAGTGCTTCAACTAACCCAGCCAGACAGCCAGTGCTTCAATCAACTAACCAGGCCAGACAGTGCTTCAACTAACCCAGCCAGTGTTCCAAACAACTAACCAGGCCAGACAGTGCTTCAACTACAGGCCAGTGTTCTAAACAACTAACCAGGCCAGACAGTGCTTCAACTACCCAGCCAGTGTTCCAAACAACTAACCAGGCAGACAGTGCTTCACAGCCAGTGTTCCAAACAACTACCAGGCCGAACAGTGCTTCAACTAGCAGCCAGTGTTCCAAACAACTAACCAGGCCAGACAGTGCTTCAACTAACCCAGCCAGTGTTCCAAACAACTAACCAGGCCAGACAGTGCTTCAACTAAGCAGCCAGTGTTCCAAACAACTAACCAGGCCGACAGTGCTTCAACTTCCAGCCAGTGTTCCAAACAACTAACCAGGCCAGACAGTGCTTCAACTAACCCAGCCAGTGTTCCAAACAACTAACCAGGCAGACAGTGCTTCAACTAACCAGGCCAGACAGTGCTTCAACCAGGCCAGACAGTGCTTCAACTAGCAGCCAGTGTTCAAACAACAACCAGGCCAGACAGTGCTTCCAGCTAACCCAGCCAGTGTTCCAAACAACTAACCAGGCCAGACAGTGCTTCAACTAACCAGCCAGTGTTCAACAACTAACCAGGCCAGACAGTGCTTCAACTAACCAGGCCAGACAGTGCTTCAACTAACCAGGCCAGACAGTGCTTCAACTAACCAGGCCAGACAGTGCTTCAACTAACTCACTCAGTCAGTCAGTCAGCAATCCCTCCAACACTCGTAGAAAGGAATCGTCCCTTTATTAAATAATGAGAGAGAGATCCACCATGCCACTGTACACACACACAGACACACAGACAGACA